GTTGGATGTCATCCACACATTCTAGATGCTTGGCATCCTACAAATGTACGTGCATCTCGTTCTTTTTTACCTCACACGTGCAAAATATGGAATGATCTTCTTCCTGAGGTTTTCCCTGAGTACTATAATATGGGGGTCTGCCGTGTCTTCAGGTCCCTTAAAGGCCCGCAACGCATTCGCAACTCCTCGTGTGTTGCAGATGTCTATGAGCGGCGATAGCCACTTACCAGGTGGATCGTTTGCTCGTTTGTCCCTTTTTTCTATAAAAAAAAAAACATTTAGATATTTGTGTAACTTACACTTAAGACCGCTATGAATTTATAACATAATTTTAATGTAGTAACTGTTATTATAAATATAATTTGGATATCTCCATCAAAGCTAAATTATGATAATGTACTTATCTTGTTCATCTTTCTCTTTGTTCGGAAGCTTTTAACCAAACATAAACAACAAGATTACGCAGGGACCATCTCTTGGGATATTAACATATAAAGATTTCATCATTTATTTATTTATTTTTTATTTCGTTTTGAATTTGGAAAATTTAAAACGAAATGGTTGCTATTTTTATCATATCCATAATTATACTCGTATATAAAGCTGAATGATTTGTTTTGTTTATTTGAAAGCGATAGTGTATAATAAACACCTAAAACTATAAAAAATTATTTGAAGCCATTTACAAGAAAATTGAATTAATTTGAAATTTAAGATTGTAAAGTACTTAAAAATGAAAGTAATAGAATGGATGTTAAATTATTTAATTAGCAGCCATTAAGTATAATGCATGCTTTATTTAAGACAGTGTAGTGCAGAAAGCTCAATCATTATTAATCAGATTTCAATGTGCTCTTTGTTTTAAACAGATTACAAAAACTAATTAAGAAAATTTTAGTAAGACTATAAAGTGTAAAATAAATTAATATAATTTTTTTTAAGAAACAAACCTTTATCTCCTTCTATACATATAAAAAAATTGTAAATAAGCCGAATCTGTACATTAAGTATTTTTTGGAAAATCTTATTGAAATAGACATTATTATCGATACAGAAGCCGAATCTATAGTTTTTTTAGAATTTTTGTCTGTCTGTCTGTGACCGCATCACGAAAAAACCACTGGACAGATATTTGGTATTATGATAACTGGTCCTCCCGGTCAACATATACATAGAATACTTTTTACTACGGGAAAATATCTCATCTCTGAGAAACCTATACTAAACGGTTAAACGTAAATAGGGACGAACCCGAGCGGAGCGAGGGTGAGTCGCTAGTATCATATAAATTGAGTAATGTAATAAATGGATTTGTTTTAATTTAAAGTTTGTTTTTTAGGTATTTAATCGTATTCTTCTCAGCGAACCCTTTTATTTCATATCCATATCATGGGGATGCATATAAAAAACATAATCCACCATCGTTAGGAGTCCGCCATGTTGGATTTAGAATGACGTCACTTATCTAACCATGCATTGTCATTTAAACTAAACATGTATGCAAAATTTTAGCTCAATTGGTTGAAGATAACTGCTTTAAAATTCAGTTGCAAGATGTGACCTGAACAAACATTTGCATATAAAATTTGCAAGTTAAATAAAAACTTGTAAAAAAATTCTTGGTTTTTATAAAACTAAAAATAGTATAATATGAGATACAATAATGTTACATTTCATTTTAGTTAGTATGTATACCACTTATATAAATACACTAGCAATGCCCGCGGCATTTCTTAGGTTTTACATATTAGTATACTCTTACATTGCAGTTTTTGTATTTTTTCTCAGAAATGAGACATTTCTCCGCGGTAAAATGTATTATTTAAGTTAGAAAGTATTAGTAGTTAAAATTTTATTGATATTTGTTGACCCGGATAACCAGCTATCACCATACCTTTCATCAAAATCTCTCCACTGGTTTTTCTGTGATGCAGTAACAGACAGACAGACAGACAAAAATTCTAAAAACTATAGATTCGGTCTCTGTATCGATAATAATGTATATTTCAACAAGATTTTCCAAAAAATATTTAATGTACAGATTCGGCTTAGTTACAATTTTATTATATGTATAGATTTTTCTCGTATATAACACAAATACATACATAAATAACTAGGTACTTAATTACTTGCAAATGCCATTAAGCCCGAAGTCCAATCAATTTGTAAGATCAAATTACCCGTATAAAGCAAACCAATCCTATAAACCTCCGGATTATTCGGAATTCATATTGGGAATGCCAACTATTGGAAGGTATCAATCAATGTCAACAAAGAGTTCGTATCTACTTACGAATTTTGTTAGATCATACCCTTAGCCTCGATATGAGTATAAACTGTTATTTATTTTCTACCTATCTCTAAATATATTAGAAAACATGTGATTTCCGCCAACCCCAAAGTCCGTGCCCAGCAGTGGGACTTTCAAAAGGACTGAATACATACACGAGTATGTATGTACGAACATACAAAATAACTAATTAAATAGAACTGTAATGCTTAAACATTAAGAATCAAGGCAGAGTGGAAGAGTGCCGCCGTCAAGTACCAGGTGTCGTAAGAACGAAAATGGGAAACAGGCGGCATAATAGTATATAAAAACTATTGTTTTTAATATGTTTCGTTCGTTTTGTTGTTATTGATTGATATGTTGCCATAGACTAAAAATAAATATTTTGTTATAATACTACTAGCTACTGGAAAACTAAAAAATTTTTAAAAAAGTACTAAAACTTGAGCAAGTGTGACAGAGCCCTCCTTATGAAAGAGGTTAAGCCAATTTGCTTCTGGTGAGCCTCAATGACTCTCGCGTGATAAAATTAACAAATGAAAATAAGCGCGTTTAATTCAACAATATAAACTAATAAATATTAAATTAAAAAAGTTAAGGAATATGGGACTTACAGAAATTAAGAAGCTAAATTATTTATCTTACTAAAGTGCCTCTATCCCATAAACCTCACTTTTGATTGAATTCAGAAACATTTCACGTGTCACGTGTCATATGTTGAGTAAGGTTGCAATGTTTCGCGATTTATGTCCCACTCGTGTCTCACGAAAGCTGCGCAGTTAGATTTTATTAGAACTCAATTTTTGGGGACAAATTTCATAAAAGTACAAATTTTCGACGTTCTCTGAATTCTTTTGTTAAAAAGAAGAATGTTTTTTTGTTAAAATTATATTTTTAGTTAAAAGAAAAAACCATATTTTAACTTTATCGATTACTTAACTAGCATTGTCCGCGGCTCCGCCCGCGTTCAGATGACCAAAAAGCAAATTCTTAGGTTTTACATATTATTTTCATAGAAATGAGATATTTTTCCGCTATAAAAAGTATCCTATATGTTGACCCGGATAACCAGCTATCATCATACCAAATTTCATCAAAATCCCTCCAGTGGTTTTCCCGTGATGCGGTAACGACAGACAGACGACAGATAAAAATTCTAAAAACTATGGATTCGGCCTCTGTATCGATAATAATGTCTATTTCAATAAGATTTTCCAAAAAAAAAAACATTTTTTGTAATAAATGTACAGATTCGGCTTTGTTAGAATTTTATTATATGTATAGATTAAAAATAAATGTGCATAAAAAACTCTGACATGTTATTGTCCATTACATCCGTGAATATAATTTCCTATAATCGTGGTAGAAACGTATCTATTAAAGATGATAGCTTTTACTAAGAACGTCTACAAATACATAAATGGCTATGAGACAATAGATTTTCTTATTATTTATCAAAATACCTTGTCAATTGTACCCTAACCTCATTGACACGTTTTTTGCACTTCCATTACTATCCTTTACAAAAACTGTGAGAAATCTATACAAATGGGTCTCGGTTTGCGACATTATATTGTGGCACTTGTAAGTGGTAATCATTATCTTTGAGAACATTTTAAAATGTATTTTTAATCATAAAAGCCAGATATGATAATTTAAATATTATTGCATCAAAATAGGCTCTATAACAATATGAAGTGACCAATATGTTTTCTGAGTAAAAAAAATATTGGCTTATATAGAGTAACAATGCTTTAACTGATAGAAAACGTGCACTAGGCCAAGCTCTCTGTAGGTATAATTAAGATGAACACTAATGAGCAAAGGAAGATGTTGGGAAATTCAATCTGTAACAGGAAGAAAAGTATATGAGATATTTCATATACTTTCAACTTAATTTTCACTTTTTTAAACATGCTTTCTAAATTTTACTGGTATTTATCATCGGCTACGCTTACGAAATTCATTTATAGATAATAGTTGTCGGAAATCGAAAATGAAAGCTATAAATTTTATTTAAGTTTACGTACATATAAAAACCCACTTAATGAAGAAACAAAAAAAACGGGACCATTAGTAATTTTATTAAGTACTACTACTAGCGACTCACCTTCGTTTTGCTCGGGTTCGTCCCTAGCTTGCTTCCCAATACAAACTTTTATCCCCATTTTCACCCTCTTAAGGGATGATTTCCGGGATTAAAAGTGTCCTATGTCCTTCCTAGGTTCTCACATTATTTTTTTACCAAATGTCATCTCAATCGGTTAAGTAAACCCAGAGATAACCCCTACAACGTCACAAACTCACAATCTCATAAGCTTACAAACTTTACCTATTTATAATATTAGTATAGATAAACTCTTTTTCGTATATTACTATACAAACGAAATATAATTTACATCGGTATATTAATAAAAATAATAAAAATGAGAATTATGATTCTTATATAATTTGCACTTTCCTACACATCGATATATTATGTAAGTGCAAATATAATTTAACCTTAACCTTGTGCAAACCGATCTTCTCTATTTATTTGACACTTACAAAAGTTTCATCAGAAGTGTTGCGGCCACGAGGATGCTGCGAGTCGTTATCTTTTTAATTCTATCTAACTGCAACAATTCTACAACTACAGTAATCAGTCGCCCAGTCGCCAGTTCTAACCCACTGAAGGAAATAGCTATACAGAAATATAGTTTTACAATAAATGTTACTACTAGTACTAGTTTTACTAGGTCAGTTTATATGTACTAATTTTTTTAATAAAACTATATTTCCGTAATTTTGTTGCGGATTTATTTTGATTTTGGTTTTGAAAATGTTGGATTTGTTTTGTATGATTTACAGCAATCATGGTCACGGGAGAGACAGAAGTCCAAAAATCAAAATAAATCCGTGAAAAAACCAAAAAGATTTATTTCAGATGTTAAATATTCACGTATATCTGAGTAAATATTAATATCTTACATATTAAATAATGCTTAATTTTCAGCGTTAATTTTGATTTCCTGCACAAAAGCCCAAAATCAAAGAATTCAGCGTCCTTTCGACAATGGCCACGGATGGGATATAAGGCTTGCGGTGCCTGGAGAGCCCGGCAGCGATTATCCCGTATTAAATTCGATACCACGAACATCATTCACGTGCTCTGGAAAAGAACCAGGTAAGCTTCGTGCTAGCATAAGCTTTATCATTTCGCTTTTAGAGATAAGTAGATCTGTAGTTTTGAAGTATCGCACTTCGAAACTCAAATTTTATAGTTAAAATGTTGATAAAAGAGATTTCCTCAATTTTTAAATAATACAAAGACTATATACTATAGGTATCTATACTCTCTCTTTATGTGTGTTTTTGCTTGTTTGAACATCCGAACCTCTTGACCTATTTAATACCATGCCTTTTTGAAAACCGCTATTTTGTAGCCTATTTGTTGAGGAAAGTTGTATAACTTCACAAAAAAACTATACTGGAGCAATACATAAACTACACGGGCGAAGTTGCCGGCTATCGCTAATATTAATTATAATTTGTACTATTATTTATAAATTATTAAGATCCCTCACAGAATTAAGGGTTGCTTTTTTAATGTGTTGAGTGACAGTGTGAATTTTGAAATAAAAATATATTTACGAGAACTGTTATTATTTTAATGGATAGTTCATCCATTATATCATTCATCCATTAATATCTTATTTTAAAATCCAAAATACCACACAATACTAATACATTAGTCGACCTGAAATTCGTAAGGCCTGATATTTTACAATTATGACGAGACAAATTCTTTTATTTCTCCAACCTAAAGCCTGTGATTTTTGGTAAATTTAAAGAGGCATAGGACCTCATGTTATTGTACGAGTATACATTAATCTCATGTTACAATTATTTCATTAAAGTGTGATATATAAAAAATATTAAAGAACATAAAGCTTTGGAATTCGAAACTCACATCAAAAAAAGGTAATTGAAATGGGAAAAATTTTATGAATTTCAATCAGAACGTAAAAGGATAGAAATATGAATTCTTCTATGATTAAAAAAGAGCGTGATACTAAATTCAGCTGACTCTGAAAGCGTTTTTGGTTGGATCGTGTAAACATCCATCCATCGTATACCCTTGAAAAACACTTGAAATACGTCTCAGGTTAAGATAATATTGCTTTAAATATCACGTGTTGTTAATAAAAATAATAATCATTTTAACTTTAATTTGAGCAGAGCAAGATTTTATTAAATACCTAAAACAAAGACATGTCTCAAATTATCTTACACGTGCTATTGATTTTATCAATTACTATATTTTACATAAGCAATGGTAGCCCAGTGGTAACGCGCTCGCTTGGGAACCGAAATGAAGCGTGTTCAAGCCTGGGTCTTGCATCTCTGATATTCTCATGTGCGAATCAACTTCAATATGATTACCACTTACTCGTACCTTACGGTAAAGAAAAACATCGAGAGGAAACTATGTATTTTATAATATTCTTTTTATGCTTACAGGGTATTATGCAGATACAGAAACCGATTGTCAAGTTTTCAGAGTATGTACACTAGGCACTACATATGGATTTCAATCTTTCTTATGCCCAAATGGAACTTTGTTCAATCAAGCCGTATTTGTGTGTGATTGGTGGATGCAAGTAAACTGCCAGAAGTCAAAAGAACTTATAAATAGGAATAATGACAAATTTGGGAACTTAAAACTAGGACCACAATTCATGTCTGATATAAAAAAAATGATAACACATTCTATGAGAAACCCTTATGATAAAGTCTATAGTAAAAATAATGTAGTTATAATGCAAGAATACAAACCGCCTTCTGGACAGCTCTATAGTGGAAACTTTTACCGAAATTCACAAAAAAGTGAAAATTCTTTTTACCCAAATACACCACAACATAACCAAGGAAACTCTTTTAGAGATATATTTTCAAATTCAGATATTTCATTTGCAGCTTCGACACCTACCACTCAATTTATTCAACATCACAATACTTTTAATAATCAGAAACAAACATTCCCTTATTCGCAATTAAATAAAGCACAAACTTTGCCAATCACAAAATCTGCTTTAATATCCAATGCTCATGGAGGTCAATCATCACAAAACAATAAGCAATATACACCATTTAACAGGTCACCAAATTTGTCACCAATTAACTCACACTTGTATAACAATAGAAACTCAAATACAGGCAAGCAAACAACATATACGATAGACTATTCAAAACAACAATTAAACCAACATATAAAACAGGAAAAACAATTATATACCCCTGGACCTACACAAGCACGGTTTTCTAAAGATATCGTTAGCCACGTGGATAAAGAAACGAAACAAAATTTGGTAAGTAACGAAACACAGCCAAGGATTATAACTAAAACTCTAGCATTTCGTAGAATAGTAAAAGATCCGAAAAGTGGTACTCCTAGGTCTAGAATAACCTTTAAAACGTGGATAGTAAGACCATCTAAAAGTTCAAAGTTAATTACTGTTACAACGCCTTTTCCCCATAATGATAACACTAATTTCACAAAGACTTTGAATCCTGGTAGTACCACTAATATCAGTTTTCCTTTAAAGCCATCTTTATATAGTGATTCAAACAACAATGGTCCTGATCCATACAAATATAGTCCATTAAGAATTTATAATAGACAAATTTCGGCGATAAAAGAAGTTCCAGATAATCAAGTATCATCAACATCTCCCTTTACAAGTTACAAATATTCTATACCCACTAAAGCATCTCCTACTTACTTAATTCCTACAACTTTCAAACCATCTCCTGTTGAATATATTCCACCTATTGACAGAGCTAGACAAATCTCACGACAATATTTATTACCAAATGATGATTATGAGCAATTAGTTCCCGTCAGCAGTACTCCTGAACCGTTGTTTAAAGCTCCCTTAGTAGAAACTAAATTTGAACCTAAATTGTCCATTAACAAACAGTCACGTATCAATACAAACAATAACAATGTCACATTTTCAGACATTCTGACAAAAGAAAAATTAGATATAACAGTAAGCGATATCGTTAAAGACACAAATGAAATACTGGAAAACGACTCTCCAGAAATTACTAGACAATATCAAAAAAATACTCAATTATTAAACTATCCTGTTGATAATTATTTACCACCTAATCCAGAACCATATCAAGAAAGTGACGAAAAGCTTATTTTGCAGCCTCCTCCAATATTGCCAAAAAGTTCACGACTTATTGCGACCTTATCCCCAAACTTAGAACCACCTTTTGAGACTTATAAAATAAATCAAACTTTTAATAAAGTATCTCATTTACCACATTTGAAGGAACCAAGTGTACTAGCTAACACAATTGAAAGAACTGTATCCTTAAAAATTACTATACCAGTAAACATTGCTGAATATTTATTTAAAAAACATGGTAATAACGATTTATATAATTTAGAGATTTTAAACACGCCAAATAATAATTATTTGGTACTGACAAATAATTTAACTGAAAATTCAGGCTCTAACTTTATTCCTATTGGTAAATTAATTCAAAATAACATATCTAATATTTCTGATTCACAGGACTTGGTGTTTTCTTTATTAGCAGACTCTATTAATACTGCTAAAGAATACAACAATGTGGCACAACTAAGCATTGCACAACCTACACCTTCACAATTACAAAATGATGAATTAGGAAGAATATCAAAGGACATATCAAAATTTACTTCATCACAACATCCAAGGCCCAGGCCTTCTAATCTTGAAATTAAAGCAGAACAAACTATACCAAAAACACAAACGGGAAATACAAACTACTTAAGCAGATTCACACAACAGCAGAGTGAACACTTACAATCAACACCACATAATATTCTACCTACACAAAATAATAAGAGCCTACTTCAACCGAATGAGTACAAAAAGAATAGTATCTCCAACTTACCAGCAAACTCTAATAGAATATACAGTGGCCAACTTTATCAACTTCCTGTACCCGATGTAACAAGGCAGATTTATAACTCGCCTAATCCATCAATATCAAATTTTATTTTATCGAATAGCTTCCTGCCTACCTACAGCCCTCAACCAAATTCTGAAGCTGAAGTTGAAATTATACCCTCTCAAATCATACCAACTTCGTCTCTTCAATCAGCATTTAATGAAAAAGATGTAGCGTTAGATCAAGGAAGATCCGCTAATGTATTCATAGATGATTTCCAAATACCCACAAATGGTATATCAGCACAAATCCGCGATAACATAGTTGGAACCATACCTCATCCTGAGAATAGTGAAAAACGTATTCAATATAAAAAAGACCAGACTTATTACTTTTATTCGCATTTAAATAATAATAAAAACGATGACTCCAATAGTGAGCTAGATCTATCCAATAAATTATTTTTACTAAGCAATCTATCACATCCTACGTTTCAATTAATTCCGTCAGTAGGGTATAAATTAGACAACGAGAAAGAAAAACAAAATCTTTTAAATGTTTTTCAGATAGACGAGTATGGTAATCCAAAAAAAAATAAACAAAATGAAAATATAAATTTTAATCGCCGCCAAGACATCAGCAGTGATATAGATTTCACTGTCATGCATCCAACTTCATCTACTAAAAGTCAAAAATTTAGTAACTTTAATGCTCTATACAATGGACCGACTTCATACTCTGCTCGCCAAGCTTCAGTAGGAAGTTTAGAAGCAAATCAAAATATTATAAAAGATTCTTACTTAAACTCTAGATTAGAAAAATTTGATACTTTTGATAAAGATTACGGTTATCCGAAGATTACCCCAGCGAAGAAATTTACATTTTAAGTATAAATTAAGATAATGTAAATAGAGAAGATAATAAATATATTAATTGAAATAGATTTAATTTATTTAGCATACATTTTTATTGTACTCCTCATAGTTTAGCATTGTATTGTATACTTTAAAAAATACCAAATATCTATTTGGATAGAATTTACCTTGAATGTAAATAAAAATATGCCTGTACTAATATAATATTAAGAATAAATGTTTAATTTATATGAGAATACAAAAAAAAAATTTTGTTTTTCTGTCCATGTAGAAAATATTTTACATACACCAATAACGTTAATTAACCTTAAATAAACTTGTTGCATAAATTACTAAATGTGATCAGATTTTAAATAAAAAAGAAACAAATTAGTACATTATCTTGAAAATAGATAAAATTCAATATATATGTTGCAGGATGATTTGGATTATTCAAAATACCTAGGGATATCGTGAAAACACGGATAATTAGACAATGGTGAATACATTTCTCAATCTTACTGGAAAAAGATAGGGTTTTTGTAAAAACATGTTCTAACCTAGCCTAACCAACCTTAGCCTTAGCCTTTTCTTTTTAGCCTTCTCAACCTACGTTATCCAAGTCGGAACTGTCGCGTTATCAAAAAATAAAATTTACCTAACCATTGTCTAACTATCCGTATTGTCGCAATGTCCCTAGTGTTTTCACGAAAATTCTAATTATCAAATCATTCTACGACATATACAAACTTTTTTGTATTAAAATATTTAGGCGCGAAAATAAGAACTGCTGTCACGGTTGCCATGACAACCAACAAAACAAATGCTCGATTGTTTTATCAATAATGCTAGGAACATAGAGTATATTGCTACTGGCTAGGAATCTATGACAATTAAAGAAAGCTTGTAAGATTTAATTTTAAACTTAAATGTTGTTGTGTTCTTAAATAAAAAAAATTTTAGGAGAACAATTATTGGCAGGTATGTTAAAAAATATTTTATATATGTCTAATAAATAAAATAAGGTACAACATTGTGTTTTCAATATAACATTTTTAATTCATGGACGAATTAGAGACCAACATTATGACCCGAGTGCAATTAGTCATTATAAATGAAAAATAACGGATCCCAGATGTAATGAATGGATTTAAATAATTGTTAAATTAAAAAAAAATAGAAATCTTCACAAAAAAATATCTGGATTTTTAAATATTTATTTTCATAGTAAAATAACTATTACAGTTTTTGAGGTTGTTTATACAACTTTCACGCAAAAAGTGCTGAACCATTTTAACTAAAATTTGTGTAGTGATAACTATTATTATTCACGTCAACATTTAGGAAACCTTTTACTACAGAAACATCTTTCATTCCCATTGGAAAACATAATAACTGGTTCTATCGAGTCGTTCTTAGAAATTTATTACATGTCTAACACCACAGTATTTTTCGAGTTTCGAGTCCCTACGCAAAGCTTTGAAAAACTATTTTTCAACGCTTTCCGTCCCCTAAGTTCTCGGGGGTAGCTGGGCATCGGGGGCATTTTACGAATATCTATTCCTTAAGTACCTGCTAACATTTTAAAATTATAAAACTTCAGGTTTTCAATATATATTTTTTGTCTTAAAAATAAACAGATTCACATTGATCTAAAAATCTAATCTATCTAAAAAATGGGTCTTGATCTAATTATATATTTACGTATATACAATTGTACATAGATCATTTTTTCACACCTAAAAGTTAAAAATTATATTTTAAAATTCTTTATTTTTGATTATTATAGAATGGCTGAACGAGAGAAAGAATATCACATAATTGATTCAGAAAGACAGTCAACATTCGATGAGGTAGAATCGGAATTAGATTTTAGAAATGACCCTCGTGTGCAGTGGTTTAAAGAACGCATTCTTAGCTACATCGGTATAAATGACGAAGAGCTCTTCTATAATATGCTCGACGAAGGTGATGCAAAGCAAAAGTTGGCTTCTTTTGTTACATCACCTTTAAAACAAAACGAATTGTCGCTAGATAAAAGGACATTTTACGTTTCAAAAATAATTGTTGATAAACTTATTCATGAGGATAAAGAATTTACCGAATGGCGTAAGTAACTTTTATGAGTAATAAGTAACTTTTTTTTATTCATGTGGAAACCCCTTTACGGGTACCCGAGCGCGGAGGACGCACGGGGCATGTGAGACTCCTGTCGCGAGAAGCGCGATAGACTACCAACTAAACCACGGTGATCCCTATCGCAAGAGACAGAACCACAGAATCGCTTTCGCATTCGACCGCGAAAGTAATAAGTACCTAAAGTATTGAATATATAATATATCTTAAAAAAATTGCAGTCTTTTGTAAATTTTATTTATCGCCGAGTGTCATTTTATTTATGCCAGAACCCACCACCTGCATTAATAATCCAAATATTCACTTGGTAGGAATCGAAACGTGAGATCTGGTGTTAAGTGGAGTTTAATTAGCCTTTCTGTAACATAACATACTTACTATCAATGTCAGCAAATATAAATTACATGCAGGGGAAGGGGAGTGTCGGTGTTGTCGCATCCTCTTCTCCTGCAGCCGTTTGTGGTGAGCCCGTTCGCGGGCGTTTTGGAGGTTTGCCCAATAGGGTGGGCTGGTTCAGGCTTAGGCCGCTTATTTTTGCAGGTGCACACTTCGGTGGGCGGTGTTTGTGTCGTGTGGGGCTGCTCCGGGTACTTCTCTGACCAGCAGAGTGGACTTGGGAGCAGCCTCACGTAGAGGGTTGATAGTCTTCCCATAATGGGGCTGTCCCGCTTGGGGCGGCCTCATAGTTGGTGGTATCCGCCAACCGTCGGGGCGTCGCGGTTGTATGCGAAAGCGATCCCGTGGCGTCCCACATGGCGGCAGGGGGGGGAAGTTGGGTTTTAGTGCGTAGGCCGGTCTCATTAAAAAAAAAAATATAAATTACATATGGTAGATTACAGAAACTGACCGATCTTTCGGCAATTAACGAATAAGAACTAAGTATTCAGATATAAAAATATGCTGATTTTATCCCATTCGTTAGTAAATGTTCATGATATATTGGTCCGATCAAGAATTTCAGCTTATTGGTATATAATTATACAGAGTACATATGTACGTATGTACACTAAAATAATAAATTTTTAATTTAATATTAATGGATATAATTACTACTTATAATTTTAAAACTTCTTATTTCAATTAGAAGAAAAAAATTATAATACATAATTTTTTTTACTAGGAATTATTCCTCCTCCTCCACCGCCACCACCAACAGTAAAAAAGGGCAAAAGAGGGAAAAAAACCAAAACCGAACCGGTACCAGAAGTAGAACCAGAAGAAACTGAAGATGATAAGCAAGCTAAAAGTATGAAGAGTATGAAAAGCATGAAAAGCATAAAGAGTATGAAAAGTATGAAAAGCATGAAAAGTATGAAGAGTGTAAAGAGTGTTAAAGGTACTAAAAATTTTTTTTAGTTCACATAGATATCGAATACATAATATTGTTTTTACTTTTTTTCTTTTCGCCAAAATTTTTGCACTTTGGATATGACTCGAAGAGGATAAAAAATCGTAAAAATAAATAAGCATAAATTAACTTCATCTGATCATTGACCGATTAGACATATATTTACAAGAATAAAATAGTATTTGTACAAATGGTCATTTAATTGGGGTTGCCAAATGTATAATTATAAAATGTATACTCTGCGAAAGTCGTAAGGACTTTTTTACTAAACTCAACAACTCTAACGTCTTAATACTATTATAACTAGAACTTACATGTTATGTCTTAATCATAATCATTTTATAATATATTGTATCAAACAATAGTATATTTTTGTTTAAATTTTATCGCAAAAGGTTTTAATATTTGTTTTTTTTTTGCAGAAGGTGACGTAGACGAGGGTGAGTACTGAAAGTGAAGTAAAACTTAGTTAAGAGTAAAGCCAAGATAATTTATGTCCAAACTATAGGGGTTAACTTTTCTACTATCTATAATAAGAACTTTGTAATTTTTTTAATACAAAGTCTGACGTTAAGTTTTTTATAAATCTAAATTAATATGCATCTTATTTTTAGAGTCCTCTTGCTTTCATTTACTTATTATTGCGGCAGCGCTGGATTTACACTAGGGGCACTCGGGGCTAGTGCCCAGGGCGGCAAATTTTTAGGGGCGGCAAAATTCAGTGGGTGGGAAAAAAAAATTCTTCGCGTTATCGAAAATGCTTTTTTTATTTCACAAAAATGAAAAATAAAAAATATAAAGTACTAGGTAATTTTTCGAAAAACTGATTTCATTTATAAATTATTCCTGTGAATTAAAATAATAATAATAATTAAAAAAATCAAACTTTCAACATTTTATTAAAAAATTTGATAATAGGCAGCATTTTTTATCTATGCCCAGGGGCGGCGCTAAGGGTAAATCCGGCACTGTATTGCGGTTTATATTTGTAATCGAAATCGAAGAAATTATTAATGTAATTAATTAAGAAAGATACGTATATCGCTCAAGCTAACACTTATTATTTTCTTTTTAAAGATGAAGAAGTAGACACAGTGGCAGCAGCAGTCACGGATATATTCGATATTGAGGAGGGAACGAAAACTTCAATCGATCTACGAATAGAAGAGGAATTACCAGTAGTCGCTGAAGATTTGTATTCGTTTCCACCGCGTAATTGTTGTTTATTGCACATTTATATATATATATATATATATATATATATATATATATATATATATATATATAATATTGTTCCTATGGTTTTACCTTATTTCATATAAGTATAGTTATCATTATCACTTAATGCTTTAACAATTTCTTCACAGCTCCTGAAGATCTAGATCCAGATGTAGATGGAACTTTGGAGTTTTACACGGTCATTGTGAGTAAAATGATTTAGTTTGATATTCAATTTAAATCGTATACTGTAATCGAATTTCTACTACAAATGCAAACTTTGTATGTGTGCATATGTTTGTTATTCCTGAAACGGCTGAACCGATTTAAATGAAAAATATAAGACAGATTAAAACAACGAGGCTGTTGTTAGACACGCTAGACTAAAATAAAATTTATTTTCTTTACCAGAGATCCGTCCCGCGTATAATACAATATCCAAAATTAGTACCAGTTTTTGGAGCATTTACTCCTCAAGTGACTCATCGGAACAGAAAATATATCTATTTCATAAGACAGACCCAGGACGAAATACCGTTGTCTGAAACACCTAGAATAACTAAACTTAAAATGCCACAATACATATTAGTGGGTTCTACGAGTGGGAAAGTGTTGATGAGCCTAGGAATACAATTGAAGGAGGTAATATCGTAATCATATTTTAAAGTTATATTTAATTATTTTTTTAGTCCGGTATCCGGTAGTAAAATTTGGCAGTAATAACTTTTATTCATATTTTGAATTAGCTATACAGTGTGCACTGTACAATATTGAGTATACACATTCGACAACAATTTAAATTATTTAAATCTTTCGGTAAGTAACTTAAGTAGCTTAGATCTAGCTCTGTACTAGGTCATAGCTACGAAACGTGAGCTATGGTTGATATAAAAACGTACAAATAGACACACAGACAATTACTACAAACTCTGTCAATATATTTTATTTATGTTTTGATTACTTTCCAAATGTGTGTCGATGACACAACAATAAATTTTAAGAGGCTTTCAGTTAACAATTTTGGTGTTATAATTTTAGCATCTATGTATATAATTAGTATAGAAATCTTTATGTATTAAAATGGAAATATAATACAGAAGCTTTATAACATCTATTATCTATTCTAATATTATAAAGAGGAAAAATTAGTTTTTTTTTGTTTGTTTATTTGGATCGAATAGGCTCCAAAAGTACTGAACCGATTTAGATGAAATTTGGTAAGTAGATAGTTTGATACCCTGGGAAGGAAATAAATTTTTTTAGTATTTTTCCCGGAAATCATCCCTGAAGGGGGTGAAAATAGGGGTGAAAGTTTGTGTGAGGAAGCAACTTAGGGACGAACCCGAACGAAGCGAGGGTGAGTCGCTAGTACATAATATTAAAATGACTATAATGGCACTTGAAAAGCTTATCATAATCATATTATAGCTTAAGTTCATTATACATACATATAAGGAAGCCATCTGCTAAACGAGAATAGAACAGATGTTACCGATATCTACTTGAACTAATTAATCTCTCTAATTAAATTTGTATCATACTTATAATTTATATTATAAAATATCTGAACATAAAATTATATTCAACATATTTGTTATCTATCTATATGTATACTAAATATCTATAGTATCTAATAAAATGATTCAATATTTTCCACCCATTTTCAGGCGTCTGAATATTTCGAGATTTCATACTAAAGTTTATAGCTACATATGTTCTTGTATTACTTGGAATTCTTACTATGATCGTAATAAAATATATTATAACTTCTGAAACAGTATTAATCTGGCTCTGTAGAAACAAAAGTTGAATTTCTATTACTTTCTTACATTTTTAGTGCCTAGTACTGAACAAAACCTTTTTTTATTTACTTGGATGCTTTTAACATATAATAATTTAAAACTTACACATTGCGAAATTTAAGCGAAATGAAAAAATATTTTTCATATTATTAAATTGTTGAAATATCAGAATAAACACATTTAACATTCAACAGACGTTTATATCGTTGTTTGAGAAGCAATTCAGGGAGATCACAAATATGACTACTGATGTGTCCTCTACAATTCTCCCGCGCCAAATATCTTATGCAGGTCAACATTACACGATGGAAGATACTACTTCTGAGGTATGAAATATTTTAGTACTTAGGCCTAGTACCTGGGCTACCGAGCTTCGCTCGGAGTTTTTGGCCTACAGTACAATTTTCTTTTTTTTAATACTAAAAACTTGAATAAATATTTAAAAAAAAAAACAAAAGTAAAAACTTTGTATGCGACCGAGATTCGAACCTGGACACCTGTGATTGTTGATTTTGCACCTTGGCCGCTTGACCACGATGCTTATGTCCGAGCGTGCAATTAACGACCATATTTTGAGTGGAATAAAGCAAAAGAAAACTGCATGAAAACTCGAAAACACGCATTTTCTCTGACATAAGACTAATCTAGATCGCCCTCAAAACCCCCTGTATGCTAAATTTCATGAAAATCGTTGGAGCCGTTTCCGAGATTCAGATTATATACATATATATATAAGAATTGCTCGTTTACATATATTAGATAATAATAAAATATTTAGGTTAAGAAAACATGTGTATTTTACCATTCGGATAGATTTAAGAGTAAGAAAAATAACATATTCTACTTATAATACTATTTTTTCTCTTTACAGGTGAATTATTTACGCCCATCAGACTATCGCAGAATGTCTAATGTAGCCAGAGGCGAGAATGCAGAGAGAAGGTAATAATAATTCCTAAAAAAAAGCTTTAATTTATTCCTTTGAACTTTATTAACTTTATATTTTCTAACATGATTTTTTTATATGATAATTCCAGAAAAAGTTAATTTTTGTTTGTTTAGGATTAAAAATATGAGATCGGAATCTTTTGCGGCTCCAAAGAAACCCAAAGTAGCGAGACCTTCATCTTCTATATTAGCAACAGTTAGTATATACTTTAATTTTATTTCTAACGCAATTTCTTAGCCCATATAATTAATTAATATACAAAAAAAAGTATTTTCAGATTTCAAATATTTTCATATTATAAATAAATATAAATAAATATGTTGGGACATTAATACACAGCACCATCTAGTTCCATGGTAACCTACGAGGTATGTGTTATGGATACTAGATAGTTGATACACTACACATACCCGCGACCGCTGGCACAGCAAGTAGGGTCACTACAAACTGAGCCAAACGTGTCGTCAAAAACTTTGTATGCGACCGGGATACGAACCCAGACACCTGTGGTTGTCATACTTGCGCCTTGGCCGCTTGACCACGATTATAATATAATGACCCAGGGTTGCCGTCCATATTTCTGCCCCATATAAATGTTACTTTATGCAATTAATTTCCTTTTTTTATAGAAATATAGCATACATAGTTTCGCGCAGTTTTACCATATTCATCGCAATATTGCTGTGGTTTACATATTCTCTTTTACCATGTATTCAAATCGTATTGACCAATGTTTGTTATTTTAAATGAAACTACCTTTTCGAATTTTGTCCCTATTTTATTTTGAATTTATATTTCCCATATGGACATGGGAGAGACAGGCCAGTCTCTCTCGTTACTATATTTGCTGTAAAGCATTTTAAAAATAGTGAATAATTTTTTTAAATATAACTATAACAAAATCCATAAAAATTATTTCATTCAAAATGTCAAATATTTGCGTAAGTCTAAGAAAGTATGATGTTTTGATAACTATGAATTAGATATATATGCATTTTTTTACCATTTTTTCGTTTAAATTAGGAAGCTCCAGAATTTGGCACCATTGAGCTGGAACCTAAGGAAGTTGAGTGTGAAAAGAAACCGACCGCATCAGAAGTTATAGCGGATATTAAAAATCTCGTTGGTATCGTTGAATGGTGAGTCTAAAAGTAATACTATTTTACCAAGTTTCAACACATAGCGAGTTTCTTTTTACCCTCTAGACAAATAGATGAAAGATATTGTTATTTTTATGTGTGTTTGTACATGTATGTAGGATCTGGGGATCCCAATAAAAACGTTTATGGTACACTAATTACTATTTATTTTTTTTAAATAAGAAAAATACAATATTAACACGTCTCGTCGTGTCGTCATTATCCAAACATCCTTCTTTTTTTTAATCATCGTTCATTCTATTCCATTCTTAAAATTATATCATACCTCCTCTTTTATTCTTAAAATATCATTTCACGTATACTCATCTCGCAAATCTTACATGTATAAGGTATTATTAATAATGATTACATTAAACTATAATAATTTAGTAATTAAGTTCAAAATTCTTATCAATCAAAAATTAATTTAAATTATTTTTTCTAATAATGACAATATGAAGACAACTAATCTGAAATAATGGCACGTGCAGTCAAACTCTACCCATCGTAGTTACAGTTCCCGACGTCGACAAACAACACCGTCTCAATTTAGCATCCTGTCTAAACAGGACTCTACGTAGAGTTAATGTCATTAAGACGTCGGAACTTGCAACATAAACACAACTTTAACATCCGATGTATCTAGCACGGGAGCAACTTTTCTCATATCGTCACGCGTTTGCTGGTGTTATATATAGTGTTTTTAAATATCATCTATACTTATTATAAAAATAAGTCCCCCGGCCGCGTCTTTCTGTCCTCCTGTCTGTCCTCCTGTCTGTCTGTACGCGATAAACTCGAAAACTACTGAACGGATTTTTATACGGTTTTCAACAATAGAAAGAGTAATTCTTGAGGAAGGTTTAGGTATATAATTTATTATGCTTTTATGTAAATTAGCTGAAATACGGCGACAAATGTTGAAGAGGTCGCAAAAAATCTCGCCAAATGGGAACTTTCCACGCGAACGCCGCGTAAACTAGCAAAGATACAGTTAAGTAATGTACTAGAGAATTCAAAATCTATAAAAATGCTACAAAAAAGTCCGCGATAGCATATCTCTATCTCTTACGGTTGACTTACAATAACCACTTTTATGTTAACATTTTTAATTAAAAACATTACGTTATTTTCAAAGTTATTTTCTTTAGTTCGGTATTAATCCTTATCCAAATGAATATTTTAGTTAGCTTAGTCATTTAATGCAGATTAAAATTGCTCTTTACACTAAATCAATCAGATGAATAGTTTTTGAGATATCGTAGAAGTAATTAGTAGCGAAACATTTTTAATGCTTGGCGAGCATTGAGATGCCTACGGCGAGTCCATCCCCTCTGCCCCGCATCGCTCGACCGCCTGCTCAAGCTATATAAACCGGGCGATGTAGCGCGCGATCCTAGGATACTTTTTACCGCGGGAAAATATCTTATTTCTGAGGAAAAATACAAAAACTGCAATGTATGAGTATACTAATATGTAACACCTAAGAATTTAGTTTTTGGTCATCTGAACGCGGGCGGAGCCGCGGGCAATGCTAGTATTAAATATATGATACTTTTACTCTTTTTTGTCTGTTGCCTTTTCATAATAAATTGTATGAGCAAAGTTATTTGCTTTAAATACAAGTTCATACTTCAAATATATGTCAATCTTAAGCCCTCCATGACCGCGGACACGCCGGCGTTACAGTTAACAATAGATTTCTTAGAAATTTAATTAATTTCTTAGAAATCTACCTGGAGATGTTAATAGAAAGTTTAACTATGAATTGCTCTGAATATTCTAAATTTAGTGTTATGTAGGTATATACTCGTATCTATGTTGTTAAAGCTTTGGATATGGTAAACAGTTCATATTTATTACTAGCAGAATCCGCAGTTACGTCCGCGTTCAATCTACAAAAAAACCCTTTGGCTTTATGTTATACAGCGACTCACTCTCACTTCGTTCGGGTTCGTCGCTATGTATTTATATAATAGTAGCAGAACCCGCGGCTCCGCTCGCGCTAAAACTACAAAAAAACTCTAAAATGGTAGATTTCATACAAACTTTCATCACCTATTTTACCACCTTATGAATTTAAATTATGATGAATTTCGAAAAACGCTAAAACACGTATTCGTTTAATCGTATTAAAGAACATTAATACCAAGTTTCAAGTAATTCTGATCATAAATAATTTTTTGAATTGTATTATAACGTATTTTCCTGGGAGAAAGACATAATTTCCCGCGGTGAAAAGGTAGCCTATTTCACTCTCCAGCCCTCCAACTATCTCCACACAAAATATCACTCCAAACCGCCAAGCCATTTCAACGTGACAAAAAGACAGACAAACAAACAAACAAACAAACAAACAAACAAACAAACACACTTTCTTAATTGTAATTTTAGTATGGAAGTATGGATATGGATTGTTCATACAAAATACTAAAATCACTAAGGTGAAAAATACTTTACGACCTATTCTCATACTTATCAAATATACAAAAAAATCATTAAAATCACAAACACCGTGACACGAGATATTTATATATTACATTATGTCACCTTTATTATGATCATATTATGTATGTATATACTAGGACTATAGAACACATTGAAGGTGAAATTCAGCTACCAATGCCAAATATACCATCGTTAATGGAAGAAAAACCTGGTCATGTGGAGTTTAATGATCCAGAGTTGAATAGACAACTGGAAGAAGCGGTTATGATGTGGCAGTCTCATATTGATTCTACTATATCTGCTTGTTTGGGCAAAGTGAGTAGTCTCAATTTTTAGTCATTATTATATATTTGAAAACTTTTATTTCCGCTTGAATTTTAGACATCTATATAGATGTGTAAATGTATTTTTAACCCCCGACGCAAAAAGAGGGGTGTCAAATGCCGTCGATGTCTGTTTGTTCCTGTGTGTGTGTGTGTGTGTGTGTGTGTGTCCGTCTGTGGTATCGTAGCTCTCAAACCGATGGACCGATTTCGATACGGTTTTTTCATTTGAAAGCCAGTTTCATTGCGGTGGTTCTTAGCTATGTTTGGTTAATATCGGTCCAGTAGTGTAAGAGTATCAGCTCTTTTCCAAATATATGTAAGGCATTTTGGCGTGTTATTACTCGATTAAGTGCTTCACGCGTGCCAGTATAATCATTAAATGACAATTAATTTGCATAGGGGTTTTTTATGTATAATTACTAATTTCAACATAAACCTTTTTTGTTTAATTTAAATCTAAACATTAAATTATATTATTTTTTCTGATAAGACACGAGAAGGTGAAGGTCCTGTAGCAGAATATAAATACTGGCGCGAGAGGGATGCTGAAATCTCCTTACTAGTTGAACAATTAAAGCAGCCAATGGTTGTTAAAATATTGGCAATTTTGAAAAAGTCTGCTTCTCCATACATAGAGGTAAGAAATAGTTAGCTTAATTTCTTAATCTTGGTAAGTGTCCAGAATGGCTCGACCGATGTGGCTAATTTTCGTTTTAAAGTATTCGTTTTCGTTTGAATATGGCTTATAGTCAAAAATTTAGGATGAATTGTCCGGAAAATGCGGAAGTTCGAGAGAAACTATAAGTGATTTTCTTTAAAATTTTTGTATGACCTCAAAATTCACTAATAAGTTTTTTTAAATATAACGAGTCACGTCAATCGGGTCTCCCAGTATGTAATATATTTCTTAATAAAATGAAATTATGATGCAGGAATTCCAAGGCTACAAGGAGAGACTAATGGAGCAATACAACTTGGCTGGAGACAATCTCAAATTCCTATCGACGTTAATGCGATTCTTTACTGTAAGAACTTTCCATTCTATAGTACCCAAAGCCATTAAATCACTACATATTATAAAATAAAGTCCCCCCGCCGTGTCTGTTGGTCTGAACGCGATAAATTCAAAAACTACCGAACGAATTCACTAATAGACGCAGTAATTCACAAGAAAAGCTTGGATAAATAGATAAAAAAAAGATATAAATCATTAGGGTTTTATGTAATATAGCTGATATATGAGGATTATTATTTAAGATATCGGAAAAAATCATGCCGACTGCTTTATTAACGTACGCCACCTAAACCAATAAAGTTATATGAACACAAAATTAATAATTATTGCTCTTAAAAATGTAGCAACACTATATGTGCATACTATAGGTACGTACGTACCTAGGGACGCATCCGAGCGAAGCGGGGTATGTCACTAGTACAGTATGAAACTAAAAAAATATTTCTTCTAGGTAATAGAAGATAGCACTCCATTGCAACAAGTAATAGACATGTTACCAGAATTAGTTGAAAGCATTTACATGATGTGGGTGCTTTCTAAAGGCTATAGAACTGATGAGACAATGATACCTCTGCTTGGGAGAATTTCATGGGCTTTGTGTCATAAATTGGAGAGATTTTTGAACGTCCATAAACTTTTTGAGTAAGATTTTAATTGCACCAACATTTTCTTTTATATAAATGATTAATGGGAATACCTTCGTTTAATATTGATTATCTAGCTATGTTATTATTTATATTTTGTGCACTATCGTAGATAGTTTATGTAAATTTTATTAATAGTATGAAGGTTTGATAAAATAAATATTTTTTTAATAAATCTACACAATAATAAAAACTTAAAAAAACCAACTTCCAGGCACTAAAATGTAAAAAATAACTAAACGGGGGTTTTCATTTAGAATAGATACCTAATCAGTTATTTTCGAAGTCGGTAAAAAATACATATTTACCTATTAGATATTCATATCTTAAAATATTATCGGCTGGCACCGACTTCGAAAATATCTGAGTAAAAGCTCGACCGATTTCGATAAAATTTATATGGGACCACCTGGGAAGTATTCCCTTTGAAACAAAAAATCCAAATCGGTTCAGGCGTCTTCGAGTAATCGGTGAACATACATTAAAAAAACCGACGAATTAAGAACATCCTCTTGTTTGGAAGTCGTTTCAAAATGAAATTCGTGGGTAAACACAGAACCACTTGAAAACGGCTTAATAATATCGATTATTTTTTTAAATTATTCGTAATAAACCGAGTAAGGTTTTCACGGCGAAAAATTAGGAAAAATTGGGAAATTTGAAAGAAACTGAAAAAAAAAACACAAATGAATTAATTGAAATTGAGATGGGTAAACGTCTTTTCGGTCAGCTAATTGTAAATAAAATAATATTCATATATTGTCCTATAGTAAATCAAACGAAGAAATTTTATCACTAGCGCGAGCGGGACAGAGAATAATGGAGATGTGGCACGAACTGTACAAAGAGACGCGACGGAACATAGAAATAAGCGGGAAGGGCGCGCGTTGGGAGTTCGACCAACCGTTACTATTTACGCGTACTGATTATATAGGAACCGTTGCGAGAGATTTGGGTGATGTTGTACAGGTTTGGAAACTTTGTAATCAGTTTTAAAGTAAATAGAATTTGTTTTAACTTAAGATTGAAGGGTAAAATGTTCGTTATGAGTTTTTCGTAACTAGTTATTTGATCTTATGATGAAAATTTCGGTCTAATAATATATTATCTTCTATTGTAAAAACAACATACAGATAATAAATTATATAAATATAGGTAAATGTAGCTATATAAATCTCAAATATAGGTAAATGTAGCTGCACTTATCTCTAAAAGAGATTTCAGGCGGTCAACACTTTTTAATTACAAAAAAAACCGTAACATTTCTATGTATGCGCTTATAAACATTTATAAGCAAGGTTTTCTTGTATTTATGGCATTGTTTTCAGTGCTTTAATATTATTGCTATAATAATTACTCCATATTGATTAATATTTACTTTTAAAGTTACCTAATATTCGAATCCAAAATTAAATCACAAAAGATTTACATTAAATACTCGTATAATATTTTAGGTTCTCATTGACTTTGAACGTATATTCGGCAATGAATTAAAATCAATAATAAGCGATCCAACTCAAATAGACGATGTACGAAAGCGTGTGAAGAAACTAGTTTATCCAATACGTACTATAGATTTTAGCGTATTCGTATTTGATAATAAAGAAAATTGGGATGTCATTATGGGAGACTTTTGGAATGAGGTTAGGTATCTCGAGGAAGAGGCCAAAAATTATATAAACCAGAGTTTTGGTAATTTACGGTAAGGGTTGCACTTTTTATAAATCCATAAAATTAATAAAAAAGTTAATATTAAAAGATTTTTCCACTGTTATAAAAAAAGTGTGTGTGTATTTATGTACGCACGTAAGAAGTTATACTTCTTTGGCGTAACAGAACAAAAATTGCTAAAGATTTCATCCCATATGTCACAACTCTCTGTCTGTAAAAGGAATTCAGCTAACTTCATCATGTCGCTTTTTGGCTGTCAGTGTGCGCGCGCATACTAAAAATTTTACTCTCATACTTTTTTCCAAACGTGCCAACAGAAGTATAACTTCAAAAATACATTTTTGTAATAAATCTTAATACACCATTTTTATATTATTCTTTGTATTTATTTTTGTTTAAACTTTTATTCAATAAAAATGTAGGTCTGCAGAAGAAGCTTTGGATGTATTATTGAAATTCTTAGAATTCGATACACGAGAAGCCATAAGGCGACAACTGTCCACTAAATTCGACCTCGTGATGAGACAATTCATCAAGGAGATCACGGCAATAGAAGATAAATTTACAGTATACTCATTTTTTATTAACTTTTAAAATTTTCTTTTGTAAAAGAAGTTTTATCAAAAGCGTGGTCCATTTTTTAAAATTAGCATAGACCTATACATAAATCAACATTTTTCAACATCAAAATACAATTATGTGGCTTATAAAGGCAATTAAAGAAACTTTTATCTTAAGTACATTCAGAAGGAAAATATAATAAACAACAATTGTTTGTTTTTTTTTAACATTTAAAAACTTTACAGCGTTTTAGAAAAAATCCTCCCTTACTTCGAAATCATCCACCAGTAGCCGGTGCTATATACTGGGCAAGAGCTCTCTTTAATAAAATGAAACAGCCCATTATGAAGTTCCAAAAGGTATTGAATAACTTTGAATAACTAATAAGCCTAACATTGAATCATATTTTTTTATGGGACATTAACACATAGCACCATCTAGTTCCATGATAAGCACAAAGCTTGTGTTATGGATACCAGATGGTTGATACACTACATATATATAAGTTTAAATACAAACACATTATAAATATAAACACCCATGAATGGAGTACAAACATTCGTGCTCATCACACAAATGAATGCCCCCAGCGAGACTCGAACCCGCGACCGCTGGCACAGCAAGTAGCACTACAAACTGAGCCAAACGTGTCGTCATTAAAACGCAATAATAAAATTTTGGAAAAATAAATATTGTATAATAGTAAAAGTATTTTTCGATTTTCTCTTGAATGGGTCTTAATGTAGATTACACTGTGCAATACATGCTGAATTTTGTAAGTGTGTGTGGATGACGAAATTGGTCTTAAATTTGAACCTTCTAAGCAACGCCTTTCGGATGGTCCAATAATACAGATGTGTACAGAGGAAAATAAATGTTCAGAAATTAAATACCTATACATATAATAAAATTGTGATTGATCGGAAGATATTGGAGAAAAACTATCATAGAGGGTTTTTATTGACGCAATAGAATCCAAAACAATGATTTTTAAAATTTGTCTGTTTGTCTTTTTGTTTGTGTGTTTATACGCGCTAATCTTAGAAACGGCTTAACCGATTTGGGTGCGGTTTTTGTTAATGTACTGTGGTAAGCTTCATTTAACATTTAGTATTTGTTTTATTTCATACATTAAAAAAGTTATATCAATTTTTTTACTACATATATTTTAATAATACATATCTTTTTTAATTTATAATTAGGTGCCAGAATTAAATGATTGTGAACAAAAGAAAACTGCCTTCTTACAATACAAGGCATTCTCAAAACTTATTAAAGAGTATGAAGAAACTAAATACAGGGAATGGGTGTCAGACGCTTCAGAGTTCGTCGACAATGTTATGAAAAAAAATATACTCCATGTTGTTTTCAAGAAACAAGATGGTATATTAAAAAACATTATTTATATTAGTGTTTTTAGTATACTTTTATATTCTTTTGTTAAACGTTAGGTATTCATAAATCAAATAAAATGAAAATATACTTCATTCAAAGAGACTTTTACAAGTACCTTTGAACCGTAATTTTTTTCATTTTCTATATTTTAATTAAATGTCAGTTTGTAAGTCCGTGAGCAATCTACCACCGGCTAGGAAGACAGTTTTGCTGAGAAGAGCCGAAATTCAACAGTTGCTCTTTTGAAATAATGTTTACAATATTGCTATACAATAATTATCCACTTACGTATTTATTTATACATACCATAAATAAATACCCAACTATAAAAGACCCAACCACAAAGATCTAATGCTTACATATAATAGATAGCCTATTTTCGTATTGAATCAGTAGTTTAACATCCTTTATTAACTACTCCTATAAATATGGACTTACATTCTTGTTGTAAGTTACGTATTATATATTATAACTAGCATTGCCCGCGGCTCCGCCCGCGTTCAGATGAGAAAAACCAAATTCTTAGATTTTACATATTAGTATACTCTTACATTGCAGTTTTTGTATTTTTTCTCAGAAATGAGACATTTTTCCGCGGCAAAAAGTATCCTATATGTTGACCCAGATAACCAGCTATCACCATACCAAATTTCATGAAAATCCCTCAAGTGATTTTTCTGTGATGGGGTAACAGACAGACAGACAGACAGACAGACAGACAAAAATTCTAAAAATTATAGATTTGGCCTCTGTATCGATAATAAAGTCAATTTCAATAAGATTTTGCAAAAAATATTTAATGTACAGATTCGGCTTAGTTACGATTTTATTATTAATGTATAGATAAATTTTTTGATTTCATTCTTTTTCCTGGACAGGTCGGAGACATCCAGTAGTAAAAGCTATTTTCTCTTGTTTTCAACCAGAACTAATAAGGCATTATCGCTTTAATATTATTAAATTTTCAATATAATTTAGAGCCTGCACCGTCAAAAGCTCGTGGAATGCAGCTTACAGCGGCAGGAAAAGCACACGTAGCTAAGAAGAAAGCATCGAATACGTCAATCAAACCAATTGATGTAGTTAACAAAGAGATCGCTGAAAAACGACGAAGGGATAAAGCTTGTGAGTGTTTTAATCTATTTTGGAAGTCATAAGTTATATTGAAATCTACGTATTAATATGTATAGAAAAAACTTTGTACTTTTTAAGCGTATTGCGCGTATAGAGAAGTATAAGCATTGGCCTAGTTTATGTGGAAATGTATATGATGAACTGACGGCTAAACTATATTAAATTAATTTTTGCCCGTGGCTCCATTTATTTGTATACTAGCGGACCCGACAGACGTTGTCCTGTCTACACGTCTTTAATTTGAAAATTTCAAACTTTTTTTAATAATCTTTTTGATGAAAATTATTATTCAAATTGTGAATCTAAACCATTCACAGATCCCCTTGAACACACACAAAAAATTTCATCAAAATCGGTCCAGTCGTTTGAGAGAAGTTCAGTGACATACACACTCACAGAAGAATTATATATATAAAGATAATTACTCAGCTTCTAAGAATTTCAGCGTGTTGTTGTACAGTTCATAACCTTCATTAGCTTTTTACTAATAAATAAAGCTGAAAAGTTTATTTGTTTGTCTACACGTGCTAATCTCTGAAAGGCGAGAACCTATGTGAAAATGATTTTTCGCACAGGCCACAGGCCGCAGGTAGATGCTACATACAAAACTTTGACAAAGGAACATCCAACTTAATAAATCGTGGTTGTATTTCGACCACGAGAAAATCACTAATATATACATTTTCTAGAATTAATACTATATGTTTTGGATAAAAAAAAATACTATCTAGTTTAAAGTAAACCTTACAAAAGTTTTTTTCTAGAATTTTCGATAGCTCAAAATGTTTTTTCAGTAATGCTAATGAGAATCCCTGGTCAGCACTACGAGAACGTGCGGTCGCCGAGCTCCGTGTCGCTGCTTGCGAAAGAGGGTTTGGTTAGAGTTTCATTACAGTTTTAAATGTAACCAATATTCTGTTAATTACGGCAGGTGTTCGTATTTATCTTTTCCAATTTGAATCTGTCTTTAACTCTTTACTTTATATTAAGGTATAGAATAGATAGATAGACCCTTTATTGCACAATATACAAGAAATACATTAAAAAGATATGAACAGCAGGCGGCTTTATCAGTAGAAGCAATCTCGTCCAGGCAACCTTAGGGTAAAGGAATCAGTATACAAAATGGTAGGCGGTGCAAGTACACAAGTGTAGGCAAGTGCCTACATACATACATACATATATTCATATATAATATATTACATACATATATATTACATACATACACATATCGATCCATCGATCGATTAAATTATATTGAATGAAGCCCTTTTTGACATTAGAAATGCGTAACCGGGATTCGAACCCGCTTCACTTGGTTTTCCATGCCAGCGCAACCACTGGGCTGTAACTACCAATGTTTATTATTGTACAGTAAATTTATGTATGCTAGAGGTTTTTAAGTGTTTATTATAATAATATTAATAACAATTTTCTAAACCATTATTTTTGTACGTAAAATACATTTTCGAATTTTATTTCTGTGTGAAATCTAGAGTAATAAGTATTCAATATAATAACTTGCTTGATTAAATATTTTATATTTTAGACTGATGTCACATGGAGAGACATGACGGTCCATAAACTATTGCAAGAGTACGGCATCGAGTTTCAACCTAACTTCGACAAGCACATCTTCCTTATTATACACGAAGCGGGACTAATGGAGAAATTGGGTTAGTTATTCAGTTATCAGAGATGTTTATTTGAAACATATTTAGCAATTGAACTAAAATTGGACCCAGTTATGCAAATTTTTCTGTCGATAGTTGCACTTGGGTAATGTTTTGTTTTTCTGGTTATTTTAAAATTGAACAATATTTATATAAGTATTGTTTATTTTTTATAATTATTTTATTTTTAATAATAAAATACTTATAACTCTGTTGGTACTTTTACGCACATAGCTGTTTTTTGCATAACTGGGTCCAATTATAAACGGGAAAGTTCGTATGTGGGGTTTATAATCTTTATGTGGGAATGAGTCGATTGATTTAGATGTTTAATAAGCAGAAGTTCTATGGCCAGCAATACCAAATAAGCTACTGTAGTCTCCTGTAGGTGGGAACACCCGAGCGAAGCGAGCGTATGTTAATTTTTTCATATGCTATACCATATACATTTAAATTATAAACAACTAGCAGAACCCGCAGCTTCGCTCGCGCTAAAACTATAAAAAAACCTCTAAAAAGGTAGATTTCATACAAACTTTCATCCCCTATTTTACCCCTTTATGGGATGAATTTAGAAAAATGCTAAAACACATATTTACTTAATTGTATTGAAGAGCATTAATACCATGTTTCAAGTAATTCTGTTTTCCCGTGGGAAGGAGATCATCTTCCGCGGTAAAAATGTCGGTAGCCTATGTCACTCTCCAGCCCTCCAACTGTCTCCACACAAAAATCACGCTAATCGACCACTCCGTTTTGACGTGAAAGACGGACAGACAAACAAACAAACAAACAAATAAATACACTTTCACATTTATAATATTTTATTCATAATTTGTTTATTTATTTATTTGATTGTTTGAACGCCCTAATCTCAAGAAATACTAATCCGATTTAAAAAATTATTATTCTTGCATTAAATAGCCCGGTTATTGACGAAGGCTATATATCATATAATATACAGTCTATCTATTCCATAGATACTAAACATTAAAACGTACCTAGCGACGAACCCGAGCGAAGCAAGGCGGACTAGCTAGTATTTTATAAATGTAAACCCTTCTACTTACAAACTAATTAAAGACTTAATGTAGAAATACAATGAATGTAGATAAAGTTACATGTCGGGGTAATTAAGAATGGTATAAGGTTACTAATGCACGCGTTTTTACAATACCATTATGTCAATCTAAGGTTATATTGAGAAATAGGTCTTTTATAGTAACAATCTAATAACTAACACAATGTAGGTATGTTGATTGACCTATTAATTAATTATCTACAAAAAAGATCTATGTATAACAAAAATGAAAAATAATTTACTGGCGATCTGAGGTCGGGAAGTTGGAGGGGATGAGTTTTTAAGGGTAAAAAACGGTTTATCTCGATTTCCGGCAAAACTACAAGTCCTATGGAAAAATATAATAATAATATATTATTATTTTTATTATAATGAGACTGTTATGTGTATTAATTAGTTTATATTTTTTTACGAGCAACGATTTGATGGGAATTTTCATATATGTAAATCGACTTTATGAATTGAAATATAGGAACTGTTTGTTTTGGTACTTATATAAAACGGTTTCCTTAGAATATTAATCTGAATATTATTTTAGTAACAAATATTGCAAGTTAAATAAAAGTTTGTAACAAAGTACTCATATTATCATAGAAGCAAAAAATTATTACTAAGATAAAAATTTTAAACAATAAAACTACGTTAAAATTCTAGGATTCGATCTCCCAGCAAATATCCGTGACGTATCGATGCAGAAATTTCGTCTCTACTACGAGCTAGAAGCGTTAGAAACAGTTATATCGAAATATAACAAGAGTTCCACCTCTCTCAGTCCTTCTGAGACGCATCTCATGAAGAAACACCTCCTGGATATGGAGAGGCACATCCTGCCAGGACTCACCAGGATCACTTGGACTGCTTTAGGGATACAAGATTACATCAAAGATATAACAAAAGGTAATGTGTAGCATATTTAGTTTATTAGGTTTTATCATATATATGGCTCAGAGGTGTGAATGTAGATTAACTCGCGATGTATTATTAATATTACTTGTTTATTTTAAAAAATCTATACATATAATAAAATTGTAACTGAACCGAATCTGTATATTAAATATTTTTCGGAAAATCTAGTTAAAATAGACATTATTATCGATACAGAGTCCGAATCTGTAGTTTTTAGAATTTTTGTCTGTCTGTCTGTCTGTTACCGCATCACGAGAAAACCACTAGATAGATTTTGATGAAATTTGGTATGATGATAGCTGGTTATCCGGGTCAACATATAGGATACATTTTACCGCGGAAAAATATTCATTTCTGAGAAAAAATACAAAAACTGCAATGTACGAGTATACTAATATATAAAACCTAAGAATTTGGTTTTTGGTCATCTGAACGCGGGCGGAGCCGCTGGCAGTGCTAGTATTATATAAATATTAACAGCATTTTACTTTATTATTATTAATCACTAATATTCAAATTCAAAATTCAAAATTAATTAAGTTAATGAAAGAAAAAGACAATCTTCATAAAAAAATCCGTAAGTACAACAACCCTCGGGACTATTTAAAATTCCAAATAATCCGAAGCCGCTGCCATAAACTCTACGATATCTGTCACAATAATTATAAACACAACGCTGAGTCAAATATTTCCAAAAACCCAATGTATTTTTGGAATTATTTTAAACAGAAAAAGAAATGTGACTCATCTTTTCCCGCATTAATGAAGCTGGACAACAGAACTGCCAGTACTGGTACTGATATCGCTAATCTATTTGCGAATCATTTCTCCTCTATTTATACCCAAACGGCTAGTCAACATCCAATTAATAAATTACACCGAAACAGTAACATTCCACAGCTATCCAAGTTTAAATTCCTAGAGGCAGATGTGGCAAAAAAAATTAAAGCATTGGATATTCAAAAGGGGACAGGTCCAGATTGTCTTCCGCCCATTTTTGTAAAACGTTGCGGTTCCGGTCTTGCATTCCCTCTCATGCTGATCTTCAATCGTTCCCTCGATGAAGGTGTATTTCCAATTCTGTTTGCTTTTCAAAACTGTTTGAAAGTTTTATGCATCCCATCCTCACCAAACAACTGAACAACTTCCTAACAAGCGCCCAGCATGGTTTTAGAAGCGGCTTATCAGTTACAACTAACTTGTCAAACTTCACTTCAGATCTAATAGCACAGGTAGATAAGGGACAACAGATAGATGCAATTTATACCGATTTTAGTAGCGCATTTGATAAGGTTGACCATCAAATTCTGATAAACAAGCTTTCTCAATACGGGATCAGTGCCTCTTTAAATAAATGGTTTGAATCTTATCTAAGCCGGAGACCTCAGACTGTAGTAGTAAATGGGTTTGAATCTGAGAGATACATCGCTCGCTCCGGGGCACCACAGGGTTCCCATCTGGGGCCTTTGTTATTTTTAGCCTTCATAAATGACATAACCACTGAGATAAAACATTGTAAGTGCTCACTCTTCGCCGATGACCTAAAAATCTATAAAATTACAAAGTCAGACGAAGACACTAAATTAATACAAGAAGATCTCGATAGAATTACAAATTGGTGTGGCATCAATGTATGACTCTTAATGTTAACAAATGTTTCCATATAAAATATACTAGAAAGAAAAAACCACTTGTCTCAAGTTATTCGATTGATAATGTAGTATTAAAAGAGTTAACAGATATCAAGGACTTAGGAGTTACTATTGACAGAAAGTTAAATTTTACATCACATATAAATAATATTATTAAAAAAGCCATGCAGTTCCTCGGATTCATTAGACGCAACACAAAAGGATTTACCCGTAGAACCAAAATTATTTTGTACAACGTGTTTGTGAGAAGTTGCCTTGAGTTTGCCAGTATCGTCTGGAATCCTTCCTATCACATACATTCCCAACGTATCGAAAGCGTACAACGCGCTTTTACAAGGTACCTTGCATTCCATGCCACTGGTATCTCACATAGACAACCCTATAATCAGAGATTGGTTGAATTGAAAATGATGTCTCTTCGAAGCAGGCGGGAGATACTTGATTTGTGTTTCTTGCATAAAGTAATCAATTATAAAGTCAAGTGCAGCAAGCTGCTTGAACGGATTCCCCTATCAGCACCAAGTAGATATCCTCGCTATTGCAATTCTTCTCAAAATACATTCCATATACCTTTCGCTAGAACGCATCTCGGTAAGCAATCTCCCATAGCTCGCATATGTGCTAAATATAATGAAATATCTCGAGCTCTGCCTGGCATCGATATATTTCACAACTCTTATGATGTATTTAAAAAAAACTCACCGATCATCTATCGGTGAGTCTTCATTTACATTGAAATAAATATATATGTATATTCTTTTTTCCTTTTTCCCCCCTTAGTGTTTACATGTATTTGTTGGTGAATGTTATGTACACTAGTTATTGATATACATATCAGTGTGTGTTACTTTTCAATTTTCTTAATATGTTGTGTGTTAATGTTAAATATGTATATTGTAAGTGTGCTTATAAAATAAATAAATAAATATCAATTTATTGTAAAATCTAATTTTTTCTTACACAAATATAAATATCATTACTTATACCAGCTACTTAATACTCGCATGCACAAAAAGAAAACTCTGGCTTACAATTAAAATTTTATGCACATATTACAGTTTTTACTTATGCTTATTATTTACTATATAATTTTAAGGGGAAAATTCACTACAAGCTGTATATCAACAACTGAAAATGGTAGAAAAAGAAATTCAGTTTTTGCTCGATCAACTGGAAATGTTCGATTTGTTCCCTCTCGTTCGACCAAAAAACTACGTCGATCCTCAAACAGGAGAGCCCGATGAGACTTGGCTTTATCCTTGCAAGGTAAAGTAAGATATTATTATCTTATTCTTTATCTTTTCAAGGATATCTTATTTTTTGATTAAATACTTATCCGTCCGTCCCTTTGTTTATATAAACTTATACAAATGAAATTTGAGGAAGCCAATATTCTGTATAGATACAGGCTACTTTTATATTAAAAGCAAACATTTTATTAATAGTACATCTGACACAAAAAGGCAGTGGTAGCCCAGTGGTAACGCGCTCGCTTGAGAAACCGAGTGAAGCGGGTTCAAATCCCGGTTCTCGCACCTCTGATATTTTCATGTGCGAATCATTTCTAACATGATTACCACTTGCCTTACGGTGAAGGAAAACATCGTGAGGAAACCTGCATGTCTGAGAGAACTTAGCAAGTTTTCTAAAGACATGTGAAGTCCGCCAACCCGCACTTGGCCAGCGTGGTGGACTATGGCCTGATTCCCCTCGTACTGAAGGGAGGCCCGTGCCCAGCAGTGGGACGATAAAAAAGGGCTGAATACACATACACATCTGACAATTCAAATAATTTTATTATTTGCCTATTGTTTGCTCATTTACTTATTTTATTAACATTTTGTTGTTCTCGAATCCGCCATACCTATACTTATATTATCTCTGAATTTTATCTCTCGTATATTCATGACAAATATTTCCATTACACTTTTCATATTTTGAGGCGCATTTTAGCGAAGCAACTAACGCTTTACGCGAGTTTAATAAACAAAATTGGTATTTTTGCATATAATTTACTTATTGCATTAAATATAAAATTATAATTACACAACATTAGACCAAGATAATTTAGTTTTTACAATTTTAGACATATTTTGTGGAAGTTGAACACGAGCGTCTAGAAAGAACCGCGATGCTGTCGCGTATCTACGATCGCATCGGACCTAATTTAATGAAACTGGAATACTTGATACTCGGCACAAGTACCGGAAAATCAGATGTTATGTCCGCTTATTATACGTTTTGGGAGAAAAAAATATTCAAAAGTTTAGTTACGTAAGTACATCGTTGATTAGATTTTTTTAATTATTAATACTAATATTATGTAGGTGCATTTAGTAAGTTGCTTCTTAAAATACAGTAATCATTCTGTCAACGCAAAACGCCTTACTGACGTTTCGGAAATAATATCAAATTTTTTTTACTATTAATTGTCTTCAATTTCGCACATCTATACAAATAAAAATGAATGTTGATAAGCGCATAACTGAAGAATGGCTGGACCAGTTCGGCTATTTTTTTTTCGTATGTTCCTTAAGGTCCACGGAACATTTTAATAAAGAGAAAAAATGAAAAATTAACGAAAAAAAATTAAAATTTATATGGTTAACGCTGGCTAATAACTATTTATAACTATTATATTATACAAGACGTCTCAATCTTTAAATGTATAAATTTTCTTTTGGAAATATATGTATAGTATAATAGCTTTATTTCTTTTTGCATTAATACGTATATAAAAATTGTATAGATTTCGATGTATTTTGTGTTTTTTTTTATAACGGCTTATCTGTGCTAAAATTTCACCCTTCGTCACCGGAAGTATGCAGGTAGTTAAGCAGTACTGTAACTCCTCCACAGTTTAACCCTAGAGAACCTGCAGCATTTCCAAGCGAGCCTCAGTGAGAAGATGCCGCTGTTCCAAGTGGACGCGGTGCTCGCTCCGCCCGACATCGCCATGCGCCCCACCGCAGCTGAAGTCTGCAATATACTTGGATATAATATCAAACATTTTCTCAATAGGTTGCTCTCAGATTACACTTCTTAGATTTTCTTAGACATGAATTTTTGATATCTATACATATAATAAAATTGTAACTTAGTCGAATCTGTACGTTAAATATTTTTTGGAAAATGTAATTGAAATTGACATTATTATCGATACAGAGTCCGAATTTATAGTTTTTAGAATTTTTGTCTGTCTGTCTGTCTGTCTGTCTGGTACCGCATCACGAGAAAACCACTGGACAGATTTTGATTAAATTTGGTATGATGATAGCTGGGTATCCGGGTCAACATATAGGATACTTTTTACCGCGGCAAAATATCTCATTTCTGAGAAAAAATACAAAAACTGCAATGTTCGAGTATAATAATATATAAAACCTAAGAATTTGGTTTTTCTTCACCTGAACGCGGGCGGAGCCGCGGGCAATCCTAGTGTTTAATACAAGTATCTTTTCGGATTTTTTTTATTCTTTATAGGTAGTTAGTTGTTATTTAAATTAAACTTTTAAGGATATTTTAATAACTTTGCTCTTTGAGTATAGGTATACAAAAATAGCACTTTTTTATATTTTTCACTTAAAAACCTTATTAGGACTAATAAACATTTTTTAATAAAATAGCCAATGGGTAGATGGATGGATAGATCAATGGATAGACGGACAGCGTAAGTTTACAAATATAAAACGTTGTGTGTATGTGAGTACGTGTCCGTATGCGTGAAATAAAAATAAAATAATAAAATGCTGTTCGATTATAAGTGTATCACTCAGGAATCATGGCTGGACGGATTAGACTATATTTTTTAATATCCGTTATAGTCCGTAATAGTAAGGAAAGGACAGCGTCAAAAGTAGAAATAAAAAAGTATATTTTATTTTTTTATTTTAAAATTTCTTTATTTAATCCACATAAATTATTAAATTAAGTACATTTCTAGTGTAAATTTAATCCTAGAAGTACATATTAAATACTATTATATTTGTTTAACAAGTACACAGACTTATATAAAACTTATAGCAAAAGGTAACATGTGCATATAGATAATTTTTATTAATAATTTAACAGTATATCATTTAAAGTATGTAGGCTTTAGAAAAGCGATTACATTTATATCATAATTTTATACAAAGAAAAATAAACCGTGGTCCGTAGATGTAAATAAAATACCAACTAAAAGCAAGTATATTAAAAGGTATTATCACCGTCTATTCAATCAGATTGACAACATTCTCTCGTTGGATGAAGAAGACCTGCCTCCCGTGTCCGCCGCAGCGGGTCGCCGCCGCCACCGGCAACGACTTCTACGTCTTCTCCTACTTCGAGGACATCCTTCGTGTTGTAGCCATCAATGATGTCACTCTGCTCATACAAGACACCATTTATAGACTTACGCAAGACATAAATGTGTATATTCAGAAGTGAGTATAATTTAAATAGTGTTTTAAATTCAAAAATTTATATACCTCACACATTTGACGACACGTTTGGCTCAGTTTGTAGTGACCCTGCTTGCTATGCCAACGGTCGCGAACGCGGGTCCTTCTTGGGACATTCTTTTGTGTGATGAGCAGGAATGTTCTTACTCCAGTAACGGGTGTTTTTGTATTTATAATATATATATGTATTTAAAGTAAAACTATTTGGTATCCATAACACAAGCTTACCATGGAACTAGATGGTGCTGTGTGTTAATGTCCCAACATATTTATATTAATTTATTTATTTATCTGAGAAACAACTATCTGGTTAAAATTTTATAGACTATTATTATCACCTGTTATATCTTATAAAATATCTATCAATTATTACGAAAATGATAATGCAGACTCGTTATTCGATAAAAGAAATCTCATTTCTTCGTTAGAGTATTACAAGTAGATACAGTAAATTTAAAGTAACAGAATATAATGCATACATTCATTGTTTTAATTATTGTTCTAACAAGCATATCTATAATAATTTTGTCCAGATGGCAAAAATATCAGCACCTATGGGGATTCGACAAGAACTTGTCCTGTGAGAAATATATACAAAAAAACGAACAAATTCAGAAATATGATGAAAAGTTTTTCTTCTTCGAAGATATTATATCTGATTTAGATGCTCATGTGAAATTTGTGGATATTGGAGCGATTAGAGTGAACTTGAGGCCAATAATACAGCAAGTGCAGGGACACGCTCAGGAGTGGAAAAACATCCTCGGACACTGCATAGCGGCCAAGACCCGGATGAACATGTATGACCTGAAGAATCAGATCGAGGTTATTATAATTATATATGCTATATATGTATACTGTGTCTGTATATCTGATCTGATATTATTTAGTAAGCATTTTCTTATTATATATTTATAGTATTTTTAAATGTAAACTTTAATCAATTTTGATTTTATTATTATTTAAATCAATTTTTAAGTATGTTTATCCTTAGACGATTTAGAATCACAATTGGACCCGGTAGGTGGTGCTGCAATCGGGTCCAGTTGTGAATCTAGACCACCCAGAAACCCACTGAAGCATACACAAAAATTCATCATCATCAATTTAATCAAAACTGGTCCAGCCGTTTAGAAGACGTTTAATGATATACACACGTATTTAAATAATAATTGTTCGTATTACTACTTATTAGCAACTTACACATTAATTATAATATAAAAATGTTAGCAGATTAGATTAAAACAATAACTTTAATCACTTTTAACCTCTCAGTCACTTCGAATGACAATGAATATGAATATAAAAGGATTGGAGGACTTCAAACTGGTGATGGCGACCATCACTCAAGTGCAGCAACTTACTACAACGGCTGAAGTCAAATTCAAAAATATGCAAGAAATATTCCACATGCTTCGGAAGCATGGTATCGATGTGAGAAAAGTTATTTTTTTTAAACAATTTTTAAGCTTACTTTTAGAATATTGTTTATAATAATGTACATTAACTCTTTAAATTCTGGTCAAATTCCACTAGTTAGTGTTATATTAAGCCAAGAACAAAGACCTAAAATCAACTCAAATAATAAATGTGACTCTATTTTCAAAATTATGTTATTATTCGATATTATTTTCTTAATGTATTATTTACTAGGACTCGCCCTCGCTTCGCTCGGGTTCGTCTCTAACTTGCTTCCCAATACATACTTTCTTCCCTATTTTCACCTCCTTGAGGGGTGATTTCCGGGATAAAAAGTATCCTATGTCCTTTCCAGGGTATCAAACTATCTTTTTACCAAATTTCATCTAAAACGGTTCAGTAGATCCAGAGATTATCCCCTACAACGTCAAAAACTCACAAACTTTACCTCTTTATAATATTAGTATAGACTATCATATTATGATATTTAAAAAATAATATTTGAAATAACGTTTTCTAGGTGTCAGATGGTGATTTAGATTTCGCTAAAAACCTTGAATCGTCCTGGGGTAGTTTGTATCAAACTTCACTATTCAGAGGTAATACTCTAGAACAGACGAAAGAAAAGTTTTCCAAACTAAACGTAGTGGAAATTTCCAATTTCCTCAAAGAATTGGATGATTTTGTGGAGAAGTTTGACAATGAAGGGCCCTCCACTGTTGGCGATGATATGGATAGAGGTCTATTACTAATTGAGGTTTGATATTAATTTCTAAACTTTATATCATGAATAAATAATAAATTGCTTGATAATCTGATTTTTATATTCTCATTCAAATGAACTTTAGTCAGTATGGCTTAATATAAGAATGCGTTAATTATTTATTTCGGGAAAAATAAAATTTAAAAAATGCTTTAATAAATTTTAAAAAGCTTGGAGGCGCCGGGTATCGATCCCGGTACCTCTCGCATGCTAAGCGAGCGCTCTACCATCTGAGCTACGCCCCCGATATATTGAGTTGTCTAAATATCCTACTACGTATTAATACATAGCCACGTCGTACGTGGACAGGTTACGAAATGTTATCTAAATGTGAAGATTTAAAAAAAAATATTTTTTAACTAAATGAGTCAAAGTTTCATGCTTAAAATACGGGTCATATTTTAAATAAAAAATCTTAAATAAAAATATCATAATATATGAAGGTAGATTGCTTTGTTAAATTTAACTAAAGTATGTACACTCGTAATACAAATTTTGCTATTACTTACTTTAAGGCGGTATCATTTTATACTTTTTATGTATATATAAATTATAAACTTGTTCTCCAGTTTACCTATCGTAATTAAGTTTGTTTTTTAACGAAACACACTTAAAAAAACAGTAAATTGGAACACTGGTTCTTAAGTTAAAGCTCAATTACGGGCATACATTATGGTTTTTCATATTTAAAATAATTTAAAAATTTTCAATTATTAGGAATATACGAAATATTTCGATGAATTAGAATCTCGTAAAAAGATCCTTCAAGCTGCGGAACAGCTTTTCGACAATCCTCTTGCGGACTTTTCCAGTTTCAATCGAGCGAAAACAGATTTCCAAGCGATGGAACAAATTTATAAAATATACAAAGCTCAAAAGAACGCGAGGGAACTTTGGGCTAAGACTTTGTGGGTTAATTTGAACCCTCAAGCGCTTGTTGACGGCATTGAACAGTTCTTTAAAGAATACAGGTAAAATATGAAATATTCACTAGTAAAAATATATATATTTTAAATTTTGCTTTAATTTAAATAATAATAAAAGTAAAATAACGAAGCCGATCATTTTATTCATGTATTATATGTATTTTTTTCATAAAATAATTCGTTCTTTAAAAATTAGGTATAGAGACTTTATTTTTTAATTCATACGTGGTTTGTAGAAAATTGCCAAAGGCGGTCCGTCTTACGAATACAGGCTTGATGTTGGACCTCAAAATGAAACAGTTCAAGAACGTCGTGCCCCTTATGGTGTCTCTTAAAAACGAAGCGATGAGAGAACGCCATTGGAAAGAATTGATGGCTAAGACAGGTAATTATAGTCCAACTTGTAGTTCTATGTTATATTTATTTTAAAATTTCTTTATTAAATCCACATAAATCAATAAATTTAGTACGTTTCTAGTGTAAATTTAATCCTAGAAATACATATTAAATACTATTATATTTAAAAAAAAGTTTTTGTTGTTCTATTAGTGTTTGCCCTATAATTCCATGCAAAATACCTATAATCTAAAAATGCCACGCTAAAAGTTTTTTTTTGCTTATATCCGGACAATGATGCGTTTAAAAAAATATAAAAAACAATTTCTTCATGTTTACAACGTGTCTTTAAAACATGAAAAACATGTTCTAGAGTTATATTTTTCTAAAAATGTAAAACTATCAAAAATGTTATCTCTAAAAATCATACCAGCAACCATTCGAACGGATTTTCCGTATTTTACTATCACTCTAACGGTTCATACTGTTTGCTTTTTTATTTTTATTGATCAAATATGGATGGACTCTACGAATAAGTCAAAAGTGTTTAATTAAAAAACTATAGATATTAGGTATACAATATGTATAAGATTTTTTTTAACGTTTAGAAATGCATTTACGCACGAGTTATGGGACTCACCGGCAAAGCCAGTACTACCCACTAAAACCCAACAAAGCCTTCCCCCGTCTTAATGGGGCGTCGCAGGATCGCTTACGCATTCAACTACGACGCCCCGATGGCAGGTCTGCCGAAGCAGACCACAACAACCACGGGGTTACTCCAAGGTCCAGGAAGTACCAGGAGCAACCCGCATGGTACACCGCCCTCCAAAGAGGGCCACCTCCCACCCTCCGTGTGCGTTTCTTGGCTTCGCGCCCGGCTGTATTGCCGGGCACTACTGAGCCGCCCACCACGACAAGGGGAACGCACGTGGGGGGGGGGGGGGTGTATAACAGATGCTAGGATATATCACAACTTATAAAATATATTGTATGTTATTAATAAATATTTATTATTCATCTTGATATTTTAGATATTGTACAATGTGCATATAAAATGTGTATATGTCTATAAATAATCATTCTTATACTTAAAAAAATGTGACAATAAATGGTGTAATTCTCGCCGTATCAATGCAAAACCTTAAATTGGTAGCACTTTCTGTTATCTATACTAATATTATAAAGAGGTAAAGTTTGTGAGTTTGTGACGTTGTAGGGGGTAATCTTTGGATCTACTGAACCGATTTAGATGAAATTTAGTAAGAAGATAGTTTGAGACCCTGGGAAGGACAAAGGATACTTTTATCCCGGAAATCATTCCTTGAGGGGGAGAAAATGGGGATGAAAGTTTGTGCGGGGAATCAACCTAAGGACGAACACGAGCGAAGCCAGGGTGAGTCGCTAATAGAAGATAAAGATAGTTCTAATCAAAACCTTTGGTTACAAAAAAAAATTGCAAATATAATTTTGTAAACAGGATCAAATGAATACAATGTATTCATTTGATCCTGTTTACGTTGGATTCTCCGATACACGTGTATAAAATCTGTGTTACCATTTAGATAGACAAATATTTGTATAGTATACAAATAAGTACTTACTCTCGAACGCTTATTATTACAGGCCAGGAGTTCGACATGTCGCCAGAACGATTTACTTTGGAGAATATGTTTGCTATGGAGCTACATAAATATCAAGATGTTGCTGAAGAGATAGTCAACCACGCCATAAAGGTGAAATGATATTTTACTTTATTTTTATAGTGCCAAATATTGATTAACACATAATGAATTTCAGTTTGTTGTTATGTTGTTGTATTAGCTTTTTTCCGTGACTTCTCTAGCGTAGTAGATATATAGCTCAATATTATACGTTACAGGGTAAATAAATATACAGCCTATTATAAAATAAATGAAATAAAATGCAGATGACACTTTTTACTTGCAGTATTTTTTAAATTCTATGAAAAATGCCGTTTCAGTTTTCAAAATTTCAAGACCATTCTCAAAAAAAAAATTTTAAAATAAAAGAATTGTTTGTTGCCCGCTAGGGCTGCCTTGAATCAGGGGCCCCTTGTGACCGCATTGGTTGCATTGACATAATTACGCCACTAGCTTGAAATGAATCAGGATATGTTAAGATAACTTTAACATATAATATAAACATTTTAACATGCTTATTTAGTACAAATAAATTCAGAGAAACTGTAACAAAGGTAGTGTAGAACTATACGAGTAATTCTATAGAGATTCCTGTTTTTTGTCGTTTGTACGAAGCCCTAACAATTTCTTACGGTACTGGGAGTTTGTTCATACGTGAAATATATTTTAAATATTTATTCGTATGTTCAAGCCAAAATAACAATTTTTAGGATTCTTTCTATTTGTACATGCATGGCGTGGCGGGACCATGATTAAGGAATTCATTTGACCATTTTTTATTCTCAACTTTATGAAATTTTACATGTTAATATTATTTTATCACAGGTTTAATTTTAGCTTCTTGTACTATGTGGTTCTTTCTAGACAACAAAAACTTAAAAAAAACCGACTTCCAGGCACTAAAATGTAAAAAATACTAAACGGGGGTTTTCATTTAGAATAGATACCTAATCAGATATTTTCGAAGTCAGTGCCAGCCGACGCATAGGAAATCTAATATCTTTTGATACGTAAAATACATATTTACTATTAGATATTCATATCTTAAAATATTGTCCGCTGGCACCGACTTCGAAAATATCTGATTAGGTATCTATTCTAAATGAAAACCCCCGTTTAGTTATTTTTTACATTTTAGTGCCTGGAAGTCGGTTTTTTTTAAGTTTTTATTTTTATATTTTTAGTGTAGACATAATAAGCAGGTAATTTGTAGGAAGAAAGTTTTTAATAATATATTCGATTAAACAATTTCTTCAAAAAATATATTTATTGTTGATTTTTTTTAAAACCGGTCGACCGATTTCGATAAAATTTATATGGGACCACCTGGGAAGTATATTCTTTCAACCAAAATAAAAAATCCAAATCGGTTCAGGCGGCTTCGAGTAATCGGTGAACATAGATAAAAAAAAGATTCCTACGAATTGAGAACCTCCTCGTTTTTTGGAAGTCGGTTAAAAATCAAATGTGACCCAAGTAAAATGTCAAGTATTACAGATGTTTGTCTATAAATAAACACAGGAGCTCGCGATCGAGAGAGGCGTGCGCGATGTGCAAGAAACATGGGCGAACATGGCCTTCACAGTGGCGAGACACTTCAACCGTGGGGAAGATCGCGGCTATACCCTGAACCCCTGCGATGAAGTTGTCGTCAAGTTGGACGATGATGCCATGTCATTACAGAGCATGGCCGCCTCGCAGTGAGTACTACTGTGTATTTAAATGTTTTTATACGACACAAGTATCAGACGGTTTTTCTGATTCCTGAGTCCTGTTTCTGGTTTTTGTTGTACCGATTGTAGTTCCTGACAATCAATAAATATTCTTTTACTGTTTCTTTATATATGCATAGCCTCAAATATGTAAGAAATTATGCATTTGTCATAATCTTAATTTCATAGAACATAAACCTGAGAAGTTTGTGTTTGAACATAACCGGTCTTGTTTTTTCCGCATCAAGAATATTTCTGCGTGCTGCACTGGGTTAATAGTCCACCTACTCAATCTTGAACTTCTATATACGAGTTTATTTAATATTACAATATCCAACATAAACCCCAATTTTCCCAGATTTATAGGTCCATTCCTAAGCGTAGTGCAGACGTGGGAGCGTCGCCTCGCGCTCATATCTGAAGTGATAGAGGAGTGGTTCGCAACACAGCGCAAGTGGCTCTACTTGGAAGGAATATTCGTTGGGGGTGACATCCGTACGCAATTGCCCGAAGAGGCCAAAAAGTTCGATGATATTGACAAGTCTTTTAGAAAGGTATCAGGGAGTGGGTATTTGATAATTGTGAATTGTGCTTTTTACTAAATATTTTGAATCTTGACATAAGCGTGATAGATTTTGTATTAGTAATCGTGCAAAAACTCCTAATCCTCCTCATTTATATTCACTTTATTATTGTACATCACAGTAATAAGATAAAGATGGTAAAACTCATCTATCTGTTCGTATTTTTATTTTACTTATTATATCAAAGAGCAGTAAAAAGTTTCGAGTAAATTTGCTCAAAAAAAAGTTTTTCCCATAAATGTGTAATAACTTTTTCACCTCATTTAAATATGGATTTATGATTATTGACTGACATTAGTGATTGTGTATTTTTAGCTGTATTTTTCATCTGTATGGACAAAAAACTCAATTGTTTCGGCGGTTTGGTCTGAGATTAATGGATTATTTGTTCATTTCATGTTCCGTTATTTTTAATCTATGTAGATTGGTAAAAGAATAAAATTATTGATAATAAAAAATATGTATATTCATAAAAATTCGTTTTTGTAGATAATGCTGGATACTGCCAAAAGGCTAAATGTTGTAGACTGTTGCACCATCAGTGGGAGATTAGAAGAGTTTGTAAACTTAGGTTTGGGTCTTCAAAAGTAAGTACATTTAGAAACAAGTTTTTCTCCTTTTACTGTCTATAACATTTTTCTGCATATCACAGTTAATATGAATCAATTTTAGATGCCAAAAATCCTTAAATGATTATTTGGATTCAAAGAGAAGAATATTTCCAAGGTTTTTCTTTATTTCAACCGACGAGCTTTTATCTATCTTGGGAAGTAGCGAATGCAATTGTGTACAGGAACATATGATTAAGGTATATAATCAATAGTTAATATTCTATAATACCACTAGCAGCTCACCCTCGCTCCGCTCGGATTCGCCCCTAGTTACTTAAAAAATGGGGGGTGGAGGTAGAAGGGTGAAAAATACTTTACGACCTATTCTCATGTATACCAAATATACACAAAAAAACATTAAAATCGTTCAAGCCGTTTCAAGGGAATGTGACCAACACCGTGACACGAAATATTAATATATTAGATTTATATATTAGATAAGTCAACAGACATTAATACAAATCTTTTAGAAACAATCTATAAAGAAGAAATCTGATAACAATCTAAATCTTTATCATCAATCAAGAAAATAGCGAACAAATTTTAGCTAATTAAACAACGTTTATACTGTCATTAAACCTCGAAAAAGACCTCCAAAAAGCTAAAAAAAAGATTTCATTAGTAAACAAAATGCTTACTTATCAACAACAAACGATTTAAAAACAATTAATTTAACAAAAACTTACTTATTCTACAAGATCTTAATTAAAATCCTGTATATAATATATATCGTGTATATATCCTGTATATAATTTATATATATACAGGATATATATAATATATATCCTGTATATATATAAATATTATAAAATATAATATTTGCTAATTTTTGCTTTAAAAACATTTGTGCTAAATCTGAGACATTTTCGTTGTTCTGTTAATTTTAAATGTAACGATAAAATTATTGTTTTTTTTATTACGTTTTATCGTTTAGTATAGATTTCTCAGAGATGAGATATTTTCCCGTAGTAAAAGGTATCCTATAGGTATGTTAATCCGGATAACCAGTGGTTATCCGGATTAACATACCTGTAGGATATGCTCCAGTGGTTTTTCCGTGATGCGATCACAGACAGACAGACAGACAAAAATTCTAAAAACTATAGATTCGGCCTCTATAGCGATAAAAATGTTTATTTCAATAAGATTTTCTAAAAAAATTACAATTTTATTATACATATGTATAGATGTACTTGACATGTTATTACAGATGTTTGATAATATAAGAGCTTTGGATCTGTACGTGGATCACACTAACCGCCCTGTTGCTGCCAAAATGATATCCGCTGAAGGAGAGGTTTGGTTTTTATTTAATATAAATATTATTATACTACGGTAACCATTTCTAGAATATTAGATATACAAGGTTCGCTATTTTAATGTATAATAAAACAGTCATTAATTGATTATACTAGCTACACTAATGACGCGAATGCACAAATTACAGATACCTTTATAAATCAGGCAGTTAAAAATCATGAGAATGGGCAGGATGAAAAAAACAAATAAGAAATACAAATAAAAATAGAAAGACTAGGAAAACAGGAAACGGGGCATTGATTGTCGGGAAGTTGACGTGGGTAAATGCTATCCGTGATTTTTAACTGGCAAAAGGAAATAAGTAATAGTTTAGAATAAATGATTTTTAATAAATTTAACTAAACCTAGATTTAAAAAACTTATATATTTTAACTAGTTAAAATATATAAGTTTTGAAAAATGATGCTGTCTTTTTCTAAGATATCTTACTGATGTATAAAGAAATATTTTTAAATATGTTTAATGTTTATAATAAATTTAATAATCATTCGAAAAATTACCACAAAAATAGTTGGACATAGCTAAAAGTTATTTTATTTCATATAAAATAACAACTGTGTTTATTTAATAGACGTTTCAGTACTTATTACTAATATTTTTCCTATTTATGTCAATAATTATAATTAATCAATATTTAAAGATAATGGATTTTCGCTACGTCGTCTACACGGAGGGCAGAGTGGAAGACTGGATGAACTTGGTACTAAATGAGATGCGTAATACTAACAAGTTTATTACAAAAAAAGCTATTTTCTACTATGGGAAAAATTGGAGAATTCCCAGGTACTGCTTGTTTTCTAAAACTTAGGTTATATTGTTATTTTACTACATCATCTTCATACCAATTTGGAACCTAACTAAACTGTCCATATAAGCGCTACGGCGCGGCGGGTTCACAATTGCCTATCTGAATGATGTTTTCCTTAATAGAGATAGATCCGAGAATCCGTACAAACTATGTCGAATTTCTATCGCTAGTAAGGTAAAACACAAACAGATAAGTAATTATTATTGGGATACAACAAATACGATATATAGGTATTTGAGCTAGAAAAACTTTTTTCGTTAATTAAAATTCGTATGCGACGTACCTACAAAGCGTAGCCATAGACAAATGAAAAAAATGTGTGTGTGTACTTATGTGCGCACGTAAGTGCCTAGTAAATTATACTTTTTTGACGTAACAGAACAAAAATAGCTAAAGATTTCATCCCGTATGTCAAAACTCTCTGCTTATAAAATGTTTGCAGCTAACTTCATCATGTCGCTTTTTGGCTGTCGGTATGCGCGCGCATCGTAAAAATTTTACTCTCATAATTTTTTCCAAACCTGCCACAAGAAGTATAACTTAAAAAATATATAGCTTTATACTTATTTGTAAGTAATAACCAGAACAGAGTGGATAATGGAGTACCAGGGCATGGTGTGCCTCGCCGCCAACGGCGTGTGGTGGACCGCCGAGACGGAGGAGACGTTCGTGCGCATCCGCAACGGCAATAAGCGCGCCATGAAGGAGCACCTGCAGCAGCAGAACGAGCAGCTGGACGGGCTTGTAGTTAAAGTTAGACAAGGTATGTTACATTTCTTAGCTTAGCTAAGTGATGCAGAAGTGAGAAAAGGTGTTATAGTAGGGGAGCCCAAGAGGGGATTTTGCAGTTAATCAAGCGCGGCAGATTAACATAAGGGCGAATCCCTTGGGTTCTGTTGAGTACCTCAACCATAATATAAGTCCTCTATATAAGGGCGCGCGTCTAGGGCAGCCGATCAAAATATTTAGAAAATATTTTGATAAGGTATAAATACTTGAAACCGTCAGATTAAGGTATGGTGGGCTAATTACATCCAGAAAAGTGTGCAATTCAATAATCTGCCGATTTGCACAAGCCGGAGGGGCAAAAATCGACTATAAAGTTTATGTTGATTTTTGCCTACCATTATATTTCCAGCAACTATAATTCTATTACAAATATTCTTTTGTTTGTTCCTGGTATGGTAAGTCCTAAACAGATGGACCAATATCAATGCAATTATTTAATTTGAACTTTCAGACATTATTATCACGTGAATGGCGTGAAATTTCAAAGTCAAAAGTGGCCCAAATATTTCGTCAAATATAAAAACCCACTGCCCTTTTGCTATATGATCTTGGCTGACACACTGCTGTGTATCTCGATACGTATCGTGTGAATTATCGTGATAGGCTTACCACGTGAGGAAAACCGCAGGCTTCCATTAATTTAGTATATTATTCATATTTGATTTCGCAGATCTATCATCAAACGATCGTTTAAAGTTCCGCACAATAACAACAATAGACGTGCACGCGCGCGACATCATCGAGGGTTTCGTGCGCGACAACGTCACCGAGGCCGCGGAGTTCGAGTGGGAGAGCCAGCTGCGCTTCTACTGGATGAAGAAGGACGATAATTTGTGGATAAAACAATGCACAGGTATTAATAATTACTATGGGATTATTTTTGCAGATACTGATTTTGATTATTAATTCATTTCCACTATCGACTAAAGACTGATTTAAAACTTGTAGAAAACTTTCTAAAAATCATGCTTCTTAATCTTACGATCTTAAAAGTTAGACAGAATATTTATATATGTAGATATGTAGATATTTTTAATCAATTCGTACTTTTCTATGTGTACACTTCACATAATATATACTTAATATGTTAAGCGATATCAGTAATTTTACACAGATTTTAATTAAAAGGTTCGTTCCATATACTCGTAAATGAAATGAAAAAAAATTAACCTTAAAGATAAAATATATAAACAAGCTTTTTAAGATTAATATTCGTGTGGAAAGACTATCAATTGAAGTCGATTTATTGTTAGAAGCGGATAATTTATTATTTCCACAGGACTGTTTGAATACGGCTACGAGTACATGGGTCTGAACGGTCGCCTCGTCATCACGCCACTAACGGATCGTATATATCTGACCATCACTCAAGCTCTTACAATGCAACTTGGAGGAGCTCCTGCGGGTAACATTTATAATATAAATTACTGTTACTTTACGTTATTTATTGTTGTTATATGTATCTTTATCACTTCACGCTACTGTTATAAATAAGAATGTTTCTATATGTTTGTTACACCTTTATACTGAAACGGCTGGACGGGTTTGGATGAAATTTTGTACACAGATATTCTGACTTAGAGTACAACATAGGAGTAGTAAAATCTGATAGAATGTTGCGCTACCTCTATGTAATATTAAAAAATACACCTCCGGACTTACTTAATTTAAAATGCCATTTACTTATTATAAGTATTTTTCTAAATACATATCAAGGGTATAGAAAATACGAAATGAAACTAGGTAGGTGCGTAGTTTAACAAAAAGGTCTTAATTTGACTGAATTAGACTTGTACTTTTAAAATGACATGGTAGTTTTTACGTTTTTTAATTTAAACCTATAAAATTATACCTAACATTGTAGTTCAAAGATTAGCAAAATCCATGTTTCTTCGATGCCAACTAATCTGGAAATAAAAAATATGTAACCAGTGTTGGCTATCTACAGTTCATATCACCATGCAAATCTGAGTCCAAATAGACTAATAATTATACCATGTATCAATACCACTTATTCCCAGGTCCAGCCGGTACTGGCAAAACGGAGACAACAAAAGACCTAGCAAAAGCCCTAGGGCTCCTCTGTGTTGTAACAAACTGCGGTGAAGGCATGGACTTTCGCGCGGTGGGACAGATACTCGCAGGGCTCTGCCAGTGCGGCGCGTGGGGCTGCTTCGACGAGTTCAATAGGATCGATATATCCGTACTCTCAGTCATATCTACGCAACTACAGTGTATAAGGAGTGCTTTGCTTATGAAGTTGAAACGGTTTACGGTTCGTGTTTTAAGTAATATATTTTATATTTTTGATTGTATGGATGATATTCTTGTCTTGGTGATGTCTGAAGTGATTCAACCTGAGCTTGCTTGAACAAAATACTTGGGACTTATAATATAAATAACCCATAAGAATATCATAATACACTTTAAATACACTTCAGTTTAAGATAATTATTTTTAAAACCCCATTTTCGCCTAAGTGTTAAAGTACACAGATACTTTATATATGTCACATACGAAGTCAAATGAAAATAAAATATGCTCTATTTAAAAAAAAAATTGTTTTTAAAATACTTTGAATAAAATAGCTCTTTTTTAACCGCTAAACTTGACCATTTAATAATTTAATTAGTATTTTACTTTACATTTCCATATAGTTTGAAGGTCAAGAAATAGCTATGGACAGCAAAGTAGGTATCTTCATAACAATGAACCCGGGGTACGCGGGGCGCACGGAGCTGCCGGAGTCTGTGAAGGCGCTGTTCCGACCCGTCGTCTGCATACTACCAGATCTGGAGATGATCTGCCAGATATCATTGTTCTCTGATGGGTTTTTGACTGCCAAGGTAATGTTGGTGATTACTGATTAGTTTTTTCAAGTGGCAGGTTTAGGGGTTAAGGAAATGGATTAGGATCGATGGATACTTTTGTGGATACTTTTATCAATGTGTACATACATAGACATGGTAAAAAACAAATATCCGAATAGAGCAGTCGATCTTGATCAATTTAAAAAAATATAATTTGTGCTCGTTCTATATAAAGGTCTTATATTTAATAAAATTTCATGAAGCATTGGACATTATTTTATGCTAACTAAATAATTATTTAAAATGTTAAGCTTTTGATCAGAATATTTTTTGTGAAAAGTACGCAATTAAATTTTTGAATGGGATTTAATGAAATTTCTTTTTAATTATTGCATATAAATTATTATTTGATCCATCAAAACAGTAATCTGCACATAATGAATTCTGTTTCCGTGGTGTTATCAGGTTTTAGCTAAAAAGATGACAGTTCTGTACAAAGTGGCTCGAGAGCAACTCTCCAAGCAATCTCACTACGATTGGGGGCTTAGAGCTTTAACCGCAGTGTTGCGAATGGCGGGGAAACTGAGGAGGGATTCCCCCGGATTGAGTGAAATTATGGTACTCATGAGAGCACTTAGGTATAAATAATTTGATAATTAATTATTTTAATGATATAATTTCACAGGTCTGAAATATCTAAGTTTGATAAATTATACGAATGAATATGAATATTTTCTAGTTTAAGTTTGATTACAAAATAAATGGAAGAGCTAAAATATACTGTCTAAAATTTTTTCCTTACTTTCGATTTATACAAAAAAAAAAAACATTTTTTACCAACTAGGGATATCATATTACTTACTTCTCTTTAAACTGGTTTTTTTTTGGGTTCTCTCGCACAATAGTCACTATAGTAAATTTGTTATTAATTTAATCAAGAAAAAAACTTTGAAATAAGTTAGATATATTAAAGAAATTTATAGATAATTACTATTATTATCAAAATTCATAAACAGAGACATGAATCATCCAAAGTTCGTCTTCGAAGATGTGCCATTGTTCCTCGGGCTCATCAAGGACCTGTTCCCCGGCCTTGAGTGCCCTCGCGTCGGCTATCCGGACTTCAACGTCGCTGTCGTGGACGTGTTGGAGAAGGGCGCATATATAGTTCTACCTCATCAGGTATTCAAAATTTTACAATGATTTATACTATGAATTTATACAGAAACTAGTTACTCCCGCTTCCAGTTGGTGCACCCCTGGCTACATATTGTACTGCGTGTAGGAGGAACAGACATACACAATCACACACATAAAAACTTTCACATTTCCCTATTAATATCATACGAAAAATATTTCACATTCATTTATTATGTAGTGTGATTAAATGGGTAGTAATACACAAATATACCGTGTAACCAGGCAGTTAAGGAAGCCCTTAGTTCAGTTTAGCATTCATGGCTGCCAATTCTGAGCTTCTTGATTCGAGTCCCAGTTCGGGCCAATAATTATAGTTGTTTTGCACTCTGGGGTCTCAATGATCAAGTATACATCATGCCTACGTTCTCTCACCGCGTTTGTCGCGAACCTGATGGTTATTGGTTCTATGAAGGTTTCAATAATACAACAGATAACATAACACTATACTAGTAGTAATACAGAGAACATTTATGTTTGTGCACTCACTTGTGTACCCTTATATGAATCTTTCGAGAAATGGCTAGTCTAAATGAGTTTGGCCATCATGGGCGAAATCCGTCAGATGGATATTATTGTTCTTATTATTATACTAATTGTGTTTTAATGTTCTTTAGAATCTGAATAAGAACTAACTATATCATTTAATCTATATCATTCTCATTTCTTTTTTTTTATAATCTTTTGCTTTTTATTTTCTGGTACTACTTCTTGTGCGTATATCTAACTCAATTTTGACTGCTATATATTACAATCAAACCGATTTAAAGCAGTCGCCGAGACCTCAATCTAAAGTTCAATTTAAAGCTCGTGTGTCTGCTAGAAATACCTTAGAATTTTGATGATAAAAATAAACAACTTTTACCTGCAATAATTCGTATACTGCAGGTTAAAATTGTATGTATAATTTGGAAAAATATCTTGTTATATTATGTTCTCTTAGTCATGGAAAATTCTTTCTTTCTATCTTTATCGACAACGAAGTTACAAGGAGGTCGAAAATGTCCGGAATAGTTTCGAGAAAAGAATGGGAGGAATGCTGTTAGCAGCTTACCTTTCTTTTGCTCTACTTGATGAGGACATTGCCGTGTCCCCAAATGAGAAATTACTAGTAGTACAATTCTTTTCAACTATCCAGGTAGACAAAATAGTGCAAGTGTATGAGACAATGATGACAAGACACTGCACGATGCTGGTGGGTCCCACCGGTGGCGGGAAGACTGTCATCCTACAGACTCTAGTGAAGGCACAAACCAATCTAGGATTGCCCACCAAACTTACCATTGTTAATCCTAAGGTATTGAATAATTTATGAAATTTGAAACTTCAATTTATTGTCAAAAATGAGTCTTTGTATTATTAAAAACATTGTTTGGGTAACTTATAAAAAAATAACGCATAAAAATAACTATTAAAAATTATCTTTTTACTGAAATTCGATAGGTCTTTGTTCGAAGTTGTTGTAACTAACGTTGAATAACTATTCAAACTAAACTACTTACTTCTCTTACTAAGTGAACCTTTTAAATAAACATAAATAAATACCACACTATATTACTACTTTAAACATTTCAGGCTTGCTCGGTGATAGAATTATACGGCATTCTCGATCCCGTTACCAGAGATTGGACGGATGGACTTTACTCCAAAATATTCCGGGAAATGAATAGGTAATTGCATGTTATTTATGTATGCGCAAATGTTTAAATTAACGTTTCGAACATTTTACAGCAAATATGGTCACGGGAGAGATTAAGGTGACAGATGATGTGATGATGACTCCCCATAGTCTATACTAATATTATAAAGAGGAAAGATTTTTGATTTGTTTGTTTGTACCGAATAAGCTCCGAAACTATTGGACCGATTTAGATGGAATTTGGAAACAAGATAGTTTGAGACCCTGAGAAGGACATAGGATAGTTTTCATCCCGAAAATCATTCCTTAAGGGAGTAAAAATGCAGATGAAAATTTGTATGGGGAATCAGTCTATCTATCGCTAGCTATACAATAATTTAGTACAGTGTTAACACAAATGTTTGAATCCCATTTTATATAGCTTCGATTTTTTTCTAGAAAACTATACCTATCGCACGATACTAACAATAATTTAAAATTAAAATCAAAGACCAGCAGACAGAGACGAGCGTCGTTACTCTCTATTCGACGGTGACGTGGACGCGTTATGGATCGAAAACATGAACTCGGTAATGGATGATAACAAATTGCTGACTCTCGCCAATGGAGAGAGGATCCGACTGGCTCCATACTGCGCTCTGTTGTTTGAAGTCGGTGATCTGAACTATGCGTCGCCCGCGACCGTGTCTAGGGCCGGTATGGTGTTTGTGGACCCCAAGAATCTTGGATATCAGCCTTATTGGGAAAGGTAATTATAATATTTTTATAGATATTTAATGCATAGATGTTTATATTGTTTGTTTGTTTGTTTGTTTGTATGAATGGGGGCTTATATTATTATTTTTTACATTGTGTAGTCATTTTAATTGTTCGATAGATAGATAGGGTGCCATTAATCTACGAATTAGGTATCCGGTCAATAAAGTAAGATAAACAACATCATAGATACAAAATATTACTAATTTATCATGTACGTAAGTGGTGGTACGATTATTTACGAATAGTTAGAAATTATAATAGTTAGCAAATATTTCGTCCGAAGTGCCGGATTTTTTAAAACCAACGCTATTATTGAAGAATGTGAAAATTGAGTAGGTTATCCATATAATGCATTTCAGTTTCGGTAATACATATACATATAACCAGTAGTTCCTATAAATAATGATTAAACACATCAAACTAATATTATAAATACGTAAAGTATGCGTGTTGTGTGTTAGTCACTCCTTCCTTCTCGCTGAAACGGCTGGACAGATTTGGATGACATTTAATATACATATAAAGTAACATAAAAAGTAACTCGTTAGCTACGGCTTCTACTACGTCGCTAGTAATACGTAAATAATACAATTATTTCTTCAAGATGGCTCCGAGGCCGTTCCAACGAAGACGAGCGCGAGCAGCTCTCCGGCCTGTTCGAGCACTACGTGGCGGGCGCCATCAACTACATCGTGTTCGGTCTCTTTGGATTGCAGCAACAAACACCCTTGAAGACCATCGTACCGCAAACACCACTCAACTTGGTACTATATTGTTTATATAATTTAATATTTTTCTAGTTGTTTTAATTGTTTTAGTTTTATATTAAAGTTACATAAGATATAAATTATTATTTTTTAACAAAAAAAAATCATACAATTTGTAACAATAAATGAATTAAGATTTTTGTTTTTAATAACATTTAGAAGCATCACCTAAATATATATATATATATATATATATATATATATATATATATAACATCTAGTCTAACGACTTATTACTTATTCGTTATTTGATTTATGAATGTATAAATTAAAAGCATGTAATATTAAAAGTGTAACATTATCTTAAAATAGTAAGTAGTATGAAATAATATTTTATGTATGTATGTATTCAGCCTTTTTTAACGCCCCACTGCTAGACACGGGCCTCCCATCAATACGAGGGAATCACGCCATAGCCCACCACGCTGGCCAATTGCGGGTTGGCGGACTTCACATGTCTTTTGAAAATTTGCTAGGTTCTCTCAGACATGCAGGTTTCCTCACGACGTTTTCCTTCACCGTAAATCAAGTGGTAATCATGCTGGAAATGGTTCGCTCATGAAAATATCAGAGGTGCAAGACCCGGGATTTGAACCCGCTTCACTCGGTTTCTAGAGTGAGCGCGTCACCACTAGGCTACTACTGCCTGTGTTAGGACTTATTAGTTATTTGATTAACAAATATATAAATTAGAAGCATGTAATATTAAAAGTGTAATATTATAGTAAAATAGTAAGTAGTATGAAAAATTGCCTCGGTGGTGTAGTAGTAGCATGTACACTCGGAGGTCCTGGGTTCGAGTCCCGGGTCGGGCCAAGTTTAGTTATTGAGTCTTTCTGTACAGTAAGTCTCAGTAACAGCCCGGAGTTGGGAAGCTGGCGGTGTTTCACCCCCGTGCCTCGGAGAGCACGTAAAGCCGTCGGTCCTGCGCCCTAACTCTCACCGGTCGTGTCGAGTGGTCGTCCCACCGGAGTATGTGAGTGACAGGAATAGAGAGTGCACTTGTGTCTGCGCGTACACTTGTGCACTATAATATCTCCTGCGCAGTTGGCTAGTCTCAATGAGATTGGCCGCCGTAGCCGGAATCGGCTAGGAGAACATCAGTATGAAAAAATATTATCAGTATGAAAAAATATATAATTTAATAATATTCCATTAGGTAATGCAACTCTGCTACATGATCAGTGGTCTGCTGCCCAATAGAGAGGACAGCAATGAGGAAATAGATCGAACAGTCGTCGAGTGTGTGTTCATGGTTGTAAGTATAATATGTGGTTGTAAGCAAATTTAACTTACGAAATTATAGTTGTTGTTGTTACATCGTGTAACCAATATCGAAAAACTAGTTACAGCAACCATGTAACTTGTTTCATATTTTTTTGGTTGTAATAATATCCTGAATTCTTTCTTTAGATTTATTTCATCCAATATGCAACAATAGTTTCGGATTGCAGTAATGTTACAAAAAAATTCATCATACAAAATACTATATATATATATATATATATATATATATATATTATGCCATATGTCAAGTTTTTATGTTATAATAGTTCGAAAATAGTTTTATCATATGAATGCTAAATTAGTATATGTAAAATATAGGTATTTGCTCAAACTAAAACTTTTAATTAATATTACTTATGCGAGCCGCCTTTTTTAGGCTACAGTTTTTTATCATGACTTTGTCGTTTTCAATAGGTACATATAATTTGTTATTCTGTAAATTTTAACTGTAATAATGTAAGTGAACTATTATAAAGGAAAAAAAAATAATTTAAACAACAGCTTTCCAACATCGACTTTTGCAATTAAATACAGGGGCACTGAGAATACGAATCAGTGACAGTGACGCTTGACTTGTGGTGGAGTAGCCAGAGCGTTCAAAACGTGAAAACCTCAGAATGCAATTACATTAATTGAAATATAGAATAGACGGATACGGAAAATGATTTAAATAATCTATACATATAATAAAATTGTAACTAAAACGAATCTGTACATTAATTATTTTTTGGAAAATCTTATTGAAATAGACGTTATTATCGATACAGAGGCCGAATCTATAGATTTTAGAAGTTTTGTCTCTCTGTCTGTCCGTCTGTTTGTTACCGCATCACGGAAAAACCACTGGAGAAATTTTGATGAAATTTGGTATGATGATAGCTGGTTATCCGGCTCAACATATAGGATACTTTTTACCGCGGGAAAATGTATCATTTCTGGGGAAAAATACGAAATCTGCAATGTAGGAGTATACTAATACGTAAAACCTAAGAATTTGGTTTTTGGTAATCTGAACGCGGGCGGAGCCGCGGGCAATGCTAGTATTAAATATAATTTACTTTAGAGAAATAACTATTTAATTTTTAAGCATTATTTTTTTAACTTGAAGTTTGTGCATTAATAAATTCATTTAGATAACCTTTAACTTCACGTTAAAATCCCAACAGTTTGAAGAAATATTTTTTTCTTCAAAATAAAACTAAAGATCGGTTTAAAAAAATTAAAAACACAAAAGAAACGTTTGATAAACATTGTAATATCTATTAACATCGTGTCATAAGCTCGTATTACCTTCATTCATTGTAACTGAATTCCGAGGTCAAACCCCTTCATATTGTTGGATGTCGATATTCGATATTCCAATTATTTGATTACACCGCGCTCACACGGGGTAGTTTTTATTGTTCACAATTTAATATTCTTCATCGTAAATTAATTAAATCGCCTGAAAAGACTTTCTATAAAATTTATGCAACAAAAATCGGTTCAGCTACGCATAAGTTAACAACACAATTGTTGATACAGGTTCTTTTTTGAAAGCGAAGTACCGAAAGACGAGCACGCTTTCGTGTTTTCGTTTTCGTGTAGGCGCGACTATAAAATATTACGGACAGGTTGTGACAAAATATTTTGTCAAAATTGACCATGGAAATTCATTTTTAATATTTTTTAGGTCGATAATATTCATTAACTAAAATCACCTCGTCTGAACGTAGTGTAAAAACTGAAAAGTAAGCCTTATGATAATATGTTCTTTTTAAACTAACTACCTACTAATGGAATTGATTACAAGGTTTAGCAAAAATATTCAATATAACAAATATACATGTCTTACCTTAAAATAAAATTCATAATAAAATCTATTTTGAAAATTAATTTTATTCAAATGATATTAATATAAAAAATATTCATAATGACACTTAAATTTTGGAGGCGCCGGGTATCGATCCCGGTACCTCTCGCATGCTAAGCGAGCGCTCTACCATCTGAGCTACGCCCCCGTTATCTTAGCGATGCAATTTTACAAACCATTGAAAAAAATATGTTTTTAATGTTAATGTATTATTTCATTTTGTTAAAAACACGTTTGGGGCAATTTGCTGCATAATATGTTTCTTATTAAATTAAAAATACAAATGGCTGCCCTAGGGGCCTAGACTGATTAAGCTAAAAACTTATATTGAGTAGGTACTGTAAAACTGTGGGGAAAGAATTACAGAAACGCTTTTAACACTTCATTTACGATACAAGAAAAAAACATGAACAAGTTTAAAATTAATGTATTTTTAAATGTAAATGTTAATTATATGCAACTGAATCATCCAATTGCGCAATAATATTTAACAAAGAAATTAATTCAGTAAAATGAAGTAAAATTGTGAGCGAATATAAAAAGGGGATGATTCCGATATGTTTTATTCAACATTTTGGTACAATGAAAACTGTGTATATTTGAATAACGATTATTGAATTTAAAATATGGAAAATTGAGTTATTTTTATTGTAATTATTCAAATTTACTCCAATGAACCACACCGATGGAGCTCATCAGCACTCTACACTAATTATAGTGACTGATTTCTGTATACCTTCTCAATATCTGTTACGTACTGAATATGGTCAGTAAATATTTACTCTTTATCTCTGACTCAAAAGGACTTGTAAATAAAAAATACTACAAACAAACAAAAAATCTCGCCCAGCTATAGATATGGACTAATCATAATATATCTACCTAAATATTATTTATAGCTTGTGTTGTTAAAAGGAAATGCAATAACATGCCGCCTCATACTTTTAATACTAAATTTGAAAAAAATAGCAAATGTAGAACATTTTTACTATCTACTTATTGATCTTTCAAAGAATTTCCCAATTATAAAAGGAGAATAAAAAAACGCTTACGAATTATTTTTACATTTTGTATGTTTTTTCTAGAATTAATATTATATATATATAATATTATTAAATAAGCTAATTATTTTCAGTCCATGTACAACAGCCTCGGGGCAGCGATCGTTGATGACGGACGATTCGACTTTGATAATTACGTAAAGAAGGCTTGCCCGATGATGTTGGTCGAAGATACTCCGGAGAAAAAAGCTACTACTAGTAAGTACTTCATGAAATTCTATAAAAATCTGAAATTTAATGATGTACTCACTGACAGACAGTGTGTAGACAAAAACGCAAAGTAAAAAAGGGAATCTACACATATAATAAAATTGTAACTAAGCCGAATCTGTACATTATTTTTTTTTAGAAAATCTTATTGAAATAGACATTATTATCGATACAGAGTCCGAATCTATAGATTTTAGAATTTTTGTCTGTCTCTCTGTCGGTTTGCTACCGCATCACGGAAAAACCACTGGAGGGATTTTGATGAAATTTGGTATGGTAATAGCTGGTTATCTGGGTCAATATATAGGATACTTTTTACCGCGGAAAAATGTATCATTTCTGGGGAAAAATACAAAATCTGCAATGTAAAAGTATACTAATACGTAAAACCGAAAAATTTGCATTTTGGTCATCTGAACGCGGGCAATGTTATAGTACACAATATATTTACTGTACATGCTAGCATAGGGCTGCATAGTTTTACCGGTACAGCTGTTAACTATAGATTAGCCTAAAGGAACAGCTGAAGAAAATTGTACCGATTGTTTTCTATAAATCCACTCTTATGAATCTCACTTCCTGTAAAAGTGCTACAAAAACGCAGATATGAAATCTATAAACATAATAATAAAATAGCATTTATTTTTGAGATGAATTATTATTGATATATAATATTTTCAGTCTCCATCCATATATATACCATATATATAAGACAAGTCCTGAAAGCTTTGTCTTCATAAGTACAAAAAGTCTCAAATAGCTTCAATTAATATTAATAAATAAAATTATTATTTTTGTAAGAATATGATTTTTTTATTTCATTTTAACCTTAGGAATGTTTCTTCTTCGAATTCAAAAATACGTTATATTTTATTATAGTAGGGGAGCCCAAGAGGGGATTTTCTGTAGTTACTCGAGCGCGGCAGATTAACATAAAAGAGGTTACCTTGCACTCTATTGAGTACTTTCACCATAATATAAGTCTTCTATATAAAGGGGCGCGTCTAGGGAAGCCGATTAAAATATTTAAAAAATGTTTTGATAAGGTAAAAATACTTGAAACCGTCAGATTAAGGTGTGGTAGGCTAGTCACATCCTGAAAAGTGTCCAATTCAATAATCTGCCGATTTGCACAAGCCGAAGAGGCAAAAATCGACTATAAAGTTTATGATGATTTTTGCCTCTTAGGCTTGTGCAAATCGGCAGATTATTAAATTGGACACTTTTCAGGATGTGACTAGCCTACCACACCTTAATCTGACGGTTTCAAGTATTGTTACCTTATCAAAACATTTTTTAAATATTTTAATCGGCTTCCCTAGACGCGCCCCTTTATATAGAAAACTTATATTGTGGTGAAAGTACTTAATAGAGTGCAAGGTAACCTCTTTTATGTTAATCTGCCGCGCTCGAGTAACTACAGAAAATCCCCTCTTGGGCTCCCCTACTATTAATACCTAAAATTGCTTATCGAGCACTTCGATATCGTTTTTAATATTTTATCTTTATTAGGTATATTTAACTTGGTTTTCGTCTGAGAAATAACACACTAGTAGATATTAGATTTATTAATAAATATTCATGTTGGTGAGTGCACTCTAAGCTCCTTGACTATTTATGATAATTTCTACGAAATATGATCTTTATATATTTTTATATCCAATTAGTCTTAAGTGTTATTATTGTACGCGAAGTTGCTTTAATCCTACATAATATATTATTATTTTCTAAGAATCTTTCCAATTTGTAGTACTTAGTACCTACATTTTACGGCATTCGAGCCCAGGAAGGGAAAACATGCTACTTAATCTACAAGCAAACATACGCCTATAGTATTTACATTTTATATAGTAAAACAAAGTTGGGTTTGTTACAACACTTATAACTCAAGAATTGCTAGACCGATTTTCCCGATCTTTATTTTGTTGGATTTGTCTTCTCCTCGATTAGCAGAATAACTAATAAAACATCGGAAAAAATCACGAACAAAAAATGAAAAAAAAAACTATTCCATAATAAGCGTCAAAACGTACCTGGGGACAAATTTGAGCGAAGCAAGGGTGAGTCGCCAGTATATATATAGACATAAACAAAGTGGGATTTGTTACAACACTTATAACTCGTGAACTGCTGGACCGACTTTTATGATCTTTGTTTTGTTGGATTTGTTTTCACTTTGAATAGCGCAATTACTATTAAAACATCGGAAAAGTTCACGAAAAATTTGGAAAAAAAAGCATCTATTCCACACTAAGCGTCAAACGGTACCTAGAGACGAACCTGAGCGAAGCGAGGATGAGTCGCTAGTATATAACATGTAGTTAAGTTTCTTTTTAATCTTGACTTTTTATCAAATAAAAAGTGCAATCGCACTGCAATACGATTGATCAGACATATTTTTTACTTTTTAGAACACTTTCCCATGGGTTTCCCATCGCTATACGATTACTGCCTTGAGTTGACAACTAAAACATGGGAAGCTTGGGAGTGGCTAGTCCCTGAATACATTCATGACAGGGACCTGAGGTTCTCTTCCATCCTCGTACCGACTGTCGATACTTTGAGGATGACGTGGCTGATAAAAATTATGGAGAGTGTATGTATTGGATATTTATTAAATGTTTTTTTTATTATTTTCTTGAAAATACAATAAGTTGTTTTTCAAAATGATATCTAACGCAGTGTATCTTGTGCTCCTTAAGCACTGTACAATTTCACGGGTTCGTATTTTGCATGATAAATGTTCTTTTTATATTGTAAGTATATATTGTTCTTTCCCATCTATTTTAGACTTTTAGGATTACAAATTAACAAAGCGGCCATATCTCATGTCGTCATATCAGTCGATAAGTGACATATAAAGTGAATTCATGTACATATAGCAAATTCCAAAAATGTAAAGATTGACTTTGTAAAGAAATCAGAAGTTCTGAATTCATTTCTATACCTTCTTGCGTATTTGAGAAATCCACTCTGGAATACACATATATTGGATGATTTGATCAAAATTAAAAAATAAATCATATTTTATCTTTTAGGTCGAACGGCCAGTGCTGCTTGTTGGTGACACGGGCACGTCTAAAACAGCTATCATCAATAATTACTTGCGAGGACTGCCACCTGAAAAATTTGTAAGTACAGTTTTAAAATGTTATATAACAGATATGTTATATACCTGTCTGATATAGGTATTGTTAGTTGTTATTTATGAGGTAAAAAAATGTAAAAAAGGAACCCTTATAAGGTAGATCACAATCTTGGCCGTCTGTCCGTCTGTCTATCTGTCCGTGTGTCATCACCAATTTTCTTAAAAACGGGTGGATCTATCAAGTTGAAATTTATACCAAATACTGAGGTCTATAGTCCCTATTAGGTGTATAAAAATCAAGGTCCTGAGTTAACACAATAAAAATATATGGACAAATTTAGATTTTCGCGAAAACTTGTAAGTACCAAAATTTACCTAATTTAACTTTAATTTTCGACTTTTTTATTTTTCGGAATTTTCCCTTTACTTATGCTATAAGACTTTGCTTTTAAGCAAAATTGACAATTCTAGGTCAACCGGAAGTACGGTATAGGTTTTGGGTCAAAAACCTATATGGTAGTTCCCGTTGACCTAGAATCACGAAATTTGGCAAAAAGCAAGGTCTTGCAGCACAAATAAAGGAAAACTTCCAAAAAATAAAAAAGTCGAAAATTAAAATTAAACAGATTTCCTACAAAATTGTACGGAACCCTCGGTGGGCGAGTCCGACTCGCATTTGTCCGGAATATTTTTTTTTATTTCAGTTATCTAACAAAGTTAAATGAATTAGGTACCTACTTTCAAATCTTCTCCTGAGGACTATTTTATCAATGTCAAAATACATTTTGTATGAGGACTATTTGTGTTACTGATAAAATAATAATAGAATTAAGTATAGAACACCAAAAATCTAAGTTACATTAAATCCTCACGTTTTACCCAGGAACGTGATGAAAATCATATAATATAATCATGAAATAAGTACCACACTGTAGCACGACATACACTCTTCCCATCGTCGCGTCGTCTTATTTACATTACGCCGCGCCGTCGTCATTCACACAAATCGAGATAGCACTGTAGTAGCACTTTATGATTAAATGTAAATATAAAATAATAAATAAAAATAATAAATAAATAATAAAATAAAAAAATAAATATAAAATAATGTAAAATCTAATAAATATATTAGTAGTTTAATAAACATTATGTCTGAAAAAGAGCTCATATTTTTTTTTGTTGTGCAAAATGAGTGTTATGCCATATGGTATAGTTTATTTTAAGCGGTCGACAATATGTTACAAAACGAGAACGCCAGAAATTCCTATGTCGGCACGTTCTACTTTCTCCGCATGCAAATACATAGTTTAATTTAGATACTTTGCATAACGGGGGCGTAGCTCAGATGGTAGAGCGCTCGCTTAGCATGCGAGAGGTACCGGGATCGATACCCGGCGCCTCCAATGTCTTTTTTGTAATGAAATTAAAACAGTATGACAGTGTTCTGATTTTTTATTGTATTTAAATAATACTTAACCAGTCTAATTAACGTGTAGTATAAATGGATTTTTAATAAGATTTTTATCATTGTTATGATTTTCATTTATAATAATAAATATGTTGGGACATTAACACACAGCACCATCTAGTTCCATGGTAAGCTACGAGGCCTGTGTTATGGATACCTGATAGTTGATACACTACACTTATATAACTTTAAATACATACATATTATAAATATGAACACCCATGACTGGAGTACAAACATTCGTGCTCATCACACAAATGAGTGCCCCCAGCGGAACTCGAACCCGCGACCCCCTGGCACAGCAAGTAGGGTCACTACAAACTGAGCCAAACGTGTCATCAAATATAGTAATAAATAAAAAAATATAACAGATTTTATAGACAGCAAGGGAACAATCCAGTTGCTAAATCTTATAAATTGGAATCCTCAATAACCTAACCACTGATAAAGCAATTTCGTCTGGGCCTTAAGGCTTTAATTTATACCTACCACCTAGTTTATTGGAGAAATTGTCTTAGCTGTCGGTCACATCCTCAATTTCCATACACCGTAAATGTATATTTTACCTATGCAAATATTATGTTAGTTCTAGCAAATTCACGTTTATTCATAAACTTCGTAGTATGGGGATGTAGTCTAACGTAATATTTTTTTAAAGTAAAAATTCAATTCAATAAATTGTCGTACTTATCACAGGGGGCGTAGCTCAGATGGTAGAGCGCTCGCTTAGCATGCGAGAGGTACCGGGATCGATACCCGGCGCCTCCAAGTTATGTTATCATTTTACGTCATTTCGAAAATTCTTAAGTAATTTTTCTTCATTTCTTAAGTCTTACGAAATGGGATTTCAACGATCTCCAATGTGATTTTTTTTTATGTTTTCGCGGTTTCTACTTACAATAAGTTTTTTGTTTTCGACATCTCAAATACTTTTCAGAAAACATAGCGAGTGGATGGATATATGTAATTAATTCGTGATGGACATAGTTCACTTAAATCTAAATCAGTATTAATTAGTACTATTACAATTATTACGTATTACTGGACACATTCTATTTTGCATACTTTTACTTTCCCTTAGATCGTGCAGCAGATGAATTTTTCATCGCGCACATCGTCCATGGACGTGCAACGCAATTTAGAGTCCGTCGTGGAAAAGAGGACTAAAGATACCTTCGGTCCTCCCGTGGGCAAGAAGATGCTTGTGTTTATCGACGATATGAACATGCCTATTGTGAGTTTAATCTTCACCTAATAATGTCTTATGAGATTAGTGATAAGATAGTGACAATTATGTTCGTAATTTTTGCTTAGATTTTATAAAATGACGTTACTTTATGTATTATAACTACACACTATAATACTATCTATAATATTATATATCTTTATTTCATAATTATAATTACTTAATTATAAAACTTAAAAAACTAGTAGGTATGAATTATAATATCCAAACAAGTAAGCAGTAACCAAGAAAGCATTTTCTTCCAAGTTTTATTATAAATGATATATAAATATTTATATTTGTAATAAATTTAAAAGTACATTATAATGTGGCTCATCTAAGAATCTAACACTATTTTTTTCTTTATTTAACAGGTAGATACGTATGGAACTCAGCAACCTATAGCATTATTTAAGTTATTATTTGAACGCAAAGGTTTCTATGATAGGGGCAAAGACCTCAATTGGAAGAATCTAAAGGACATTGGGTTCCTCGCGGCGATGGGAAAAGCGGGTGGCGGGAGGAATGACGTGAGTTATGTGTATCATAGTTTAGCTATCGATCTTCTTAACTTGAAGGCGATATTTATAGTCCAGTCAAATAAGGTCTGAAATCAAAATTTGAACCTCAACTTTGCACTTTTGATATAATGTAGTTTTAATGATACAAAAACAATGTGTAAAGGTTTTCGTGTCTGCAACAACCGGCAAGGGATAAAAAAAAATTTCAAAAATGTTTTTTCACAATTATTCGAAAATGGTAAAAATTAGATAAAAAAGTTTTAATAAAAATATGTAGAGCTTAAAATTTTACATAAAAAAAGTATCATGACTTTTTTTGCTTCGGTCAAAATGAACCAAGTTAGGGAGGTTTTAAGTTTAAGGGATGTGAAGGTCACATTTAGGGACGAAAGAGGAAATTAAAATTCGCTTATGTTTCTACTAACTACGATTTTTTAAAATTTACGTTCATCCCTTAAACTTAAAACTTCCATAACTCGGTTAATTTTGACCGGAGGAAAAATAGTCATGATAGTTTTATGTAAAATTTTAAGCTCTACACATTGTTATTAAAACTTTTTTGTCTAAATTTTACCGTTTTCGAGTAATTGCGAAAAAACATTTTTGACAATTTTTTTTCAACCCTTGCCGGGGGTCGCAAGCACGAAAATCTTTACACATTGTTTTTGTATCATTAAAACTACATTATATGAAAAATGCAAAGTTGAGAGCCAAATTTTGATTTCAGACCTTATTTGACTGGACTATTACTAATATGATCGATGTGGTCTTCGATAAATGTATTATTACCTTTCGACTAGCATTCGCATTTATGTGACACTAACTAACACAACGCACTAGAAAAACAAAAACATATGTTTCCAACTGAAACCGTATATTTTTCCGGGATAAAAAGCAACCTATGTGGTATTCCAGACTGTAACCTATCTCAGTGCCAAATTTCATTCAGATACGTTCAATCGTTCTTGCGTGATTGAGTAACAAACATCCATCCAAACTCCAAACATCTATACTTTCATATTTATAATATAAGTAAGATAAGATTTTCGTTATACTAGGATCCAGTAGTAATAGTAGATTAGTAATCATTACTTAAACTATATAATATTTTTTAAAACCTTAGCAGATTTCCCACATTTTATAACCCTGTAAATGCACTTTGAATTTCTGAAACATTACACATGAGTGCTGTTAACTGTTACTGTTCATGACTTATGTGACTGTAGAAAGTCGTTACTGAAATAACGTATGTCCATGCATGAGCTATTCGATTTATTTTATACGATCTTAAGTAGATCTTTAAGAATAAATGATGACATTACTTTGAAGCGAGCAGCAGTGAATGTGCGTTATTTATCTAAAAGCTCCGTTTTTATCAGATGAATATTAAGCTTTTAGATAAAGCTCTCCTATGTGAAGGCAGAAGGTGTAAATATTATAAGGGTTTTTACATATATACTACATAAATATATTCTACCTACCAGTGGCGAAGCGTCCATACAAGACGTCTTACCTTAAAATTATTTTGCTATAATTTTACATACATTTAATTTTTTATATCTATAAATGTTCTTTTGGAAATACATATATACATATATATATATATATATATATATATATATATAATAGCTTCATTTCTTTCTGCATTAATACGTATATAAAAATGGTATATTTTTGGAACGGCGTACCTCTGCTAAAATTTCACCCTGCGCCACTGCTACCTACAACGTAGACCTTTGAACACGTTAAATACGATTTCGTTTAGTGTCTGTATATCTGTATTTTTTCATTATCACTCTTTAAAAGAAATAAACAAATAAATAAACATGTTGGGACAATAATACTTGCAGTTAACCATAATTATTTTAATTTTCTAAATAATTTTATTACGACTGATTTAAAAACAACGAAAAACTAAATATTACGGCGTTACACAATTTTAAAGAAAATAATTATAAAAGTATCCAAATATAACAATCGAATATGTAAGAATATTCGGATATTTTTGTTTGTCTCGGAACACTACGGTACAATGTTTTTTCCGGCTTTTCCTGTTTATTCGCCACGATTTATGTCTACATTAAAACGTATTCGTGAGGCTTTCCCAGAAACTTTACTGCCGTGGAACATGAGAAATACATCGCTAATGTAATATGATATCGCGTAAAATGTTTTTTTCTTTTACGATCTGTTATTTCACATATGAGTACGTAGCTACGCGTGTTAGGTATAATTTATGCGGAAGTACTGTAATCGACTTAAAAATTCGGAGCTGTAAATGGAAATTTACAATTTACAATAAGCGTCTATGTTACAGTAAAATAATAATAACTACATAGTAAACACATAGTAAAATATTAAATAACACCATGAATTTCTTTTTGGTTCCTCGTTAAGGTTTTCTAAATATGCACTTCTTAGCGTTTCTTATTAGAAGCGCTAAGATAGTATATTTTTAATTTTTTTTGTTTCTCTGTCTGTTTGTCGGTTTGTAGGGGCTAATCTCCAAAACTATAAGACCGATTTAAATAAAATTTTGCATGATAGTACCTTATATCCCCGGTCAACATTTTAGATACTTAATTAAAATGTTCGCGTGGGATAGTTAAAAAACTATAGTAACTTATACAGCTTAGTACACAACCAACTTGTGCACCTAATTTAGTAAAATTTGGCATGCTGATACCTTATATTACCGGTCAAACAACAGGTTACTTTTTATCCCGGAAAATGAATGGTTCCCGTGGGATAGATATGTTTGTGCTTTTGTTATAAATAAATCAGTGTGTATAATCGTGTTTATTATCTACCCCTTATGATAAAGTACTAGGTATATTAATATACATTGTACATACATACAAAATAGTTTAGTAATATGTTAATGTATGTAATATTAAATTACAAACATGTTTTCCTTTTAAAGATAAATTATAATTACAGAGCGGACTATAAAGTATGATTTAATAATTTAAATAACAATGTTGACCACGTTATGAAACGTCGGTCGTAATGCTGTATTCATGATGCATTGCTTACACAAATTATGAGTCTGCATCTACATATATTTTTCCTTTTTTTGCATAATATATACATTGTGCGTTCTTTACGCCTCGCCACGAACAAAGTCCTGTTAATATACGCATATCAAAAATAAAGAAATGAACATATTCGTGGTTAGCTTTGGTAGTACTTTTTACTGTGTAGTATATGGTAAAAGCTGTAGGTAAATTTTTCACATAAAACGTCGTAACGCATTAAAATATAAAGAAATTTTACCGAATGCAAAAAGTTTAAAAATTTGAATGCAAGATTTGTTTGATTATGGTAAATTCAGAAATTGCGTTTTATTATGTTTTATTACTTTTTAATTTGTATGAAAATTCCCCTTTTATTTCTATTTTTTATTTATTTATACTTCTTTAAGTGGATAACTATTTACAACACTTATAGTTTATACTTTCATATTGTCTTCGTAAACATTGTTTATTAACACGGTTATATTCAAAAATGTTACTTAATAAATTTACATTCATTCATTTTATATATCTGCAGCCCATAAAATATAGCAAACACACTTTTAAATGTACATACATATATGTATAATATTATTAAAAAGAAAACCAAAAATACTAAATAATTTTAATTATCCTATTTACACGCCACGCATAAAGTAACATGGATAAACTTCTTTTTTTTTTTGCAAAAATATACAAAACTTATAATTTTACAATGGACCCACAAAACTGTTTGGCACAACACAGTTTGTCTGTGGGATCGGAGTCTCACGGTAATATTATGATATTAAAGGCTATATATATATATATATATATATATATATATATATATATATATATATTACATTATGCTAATTTAAGTATGTTTAATTATGTTAAGCTGTCCATATACTATTTTTTTAATAATTTAGCAGTTGTGCCACTTGTAAATTTAAAAAAAAAAATATTTTTTTTTTAATTTACAAATGGTACAACTGCTTACTTTAAATGAAGTACATATGTTAAATGATTTTTATCATATTGTTTCATTTCCAGGTGGATCCACGCTTCATTTCCATGTTTTCTGTCTACAATCTACAATTTCCGTCGGAGACGACGCTGAACCACATATATGTGTCCATACTAAAAGGTCACTTTTCAATATTCCCCGACGAAATACAGGACATTGTTGATAAAATCGTTCAAATCACTTTGGATTTATATAAGGTACCTACAAGCGTTTTTCCACGGTTCCGTCCGCGTAGTTTAGTTTATTTTGTAAAAAATTGCAACGTAGAGCTGAATATCGAGTCCAGCGGTGGACGAAAGCGGGCTGATTATGATGATGATGATGAGTACCTACAAAAATATGCATATACTAGCGACTCATCCTCGCTTCGCTCGGGTTCGTCCCTACTTACTTTTTAACGTTTAGTATCGATTTCTCAGAGATGAGATATTTTCTCGCTGTAAAAACTCTATATGTTGACCCGGATTACCAGCTATCATGATACCAAATTTCATCAAATTCCCTCCAGTGGGTTTTCCGTGATGCGGTGACAGACAGACAGACAGACAAAAATTCTAAGAACTATAGATTCGGCCTCTGTATCGATAATAATGTCTATTTCAATAAAAAATTAAACTCTATTTCAAAAAATATTTAATGTACAGATTCGGCTTAGTTACAATTTTATTATATGTATAGATTAGGTACTATATCTATATTTATATATTATAATCTATGTGCTAGTCTACAATAAAGTTTTGTCAATCAAATCAGTTCAATGGTTTTTGTGTGAAAGAGTAACAAATATCCAATTATACATCTATCCTCTGAAATAATACTTTTAATATTAAATATACATTCAAATTTATTAATATTATCGATCTAGTCTTATCTCTTAGGTTAAATAATTTAATTTTAGTGTATCATTCATGATTTCTGTATCTATCAGAAACTCAGAATCTTTAATAACTTTAATTCAAAATGCCTGAAGATGTAAGAATGTATACTAATATTATGTTATCTTCCAATACTTGTTAATTTATAATTAAAATACTTGGCAAAACTTAATTAAACTTGGACTTCGGATAATAATCTCCACAAGCCATTAAGTTTGATTTTATATATTTGATAGCGCGCGTAAATTAAAAATTAATGGCTTTAGTCGACATTCATTAAATGAATAATTAAAATTAGATCTAATTAAATTACTGTAATCATTATTTTTTTATCGATTCAAAAGAAGAAAAGGTCGTGTATTATATAATGCTTTCTTAGATTTACTCGAATATTTGACATTTAAAAATATAACTATCTTTTCCAATTTTATCGCGGATTTATTTTGAATTTTGGTTCCCGACATTTCGAGTGGTATACATCAATAATGGTCGCGGGAGAGACTAAGGTTTTAGATGTCTCAAAGGTCATCTTATAGATGTTACAGAGAATGCCTTCATCGCGAAAATATCCGAAAAGATTGTTTTATTTCAAAAGGACATGTATATTGTTTGGCGGATGCTTTTACACTAACAATTATGTGTGAAAAGTACTAAATAATTATAATAATGTTAATTATAACAAAAATATTATGTTAACCAGCGTGGTGAATATGACCCGATACCTCTCGCACTAAATGCTGTCAGTCTGTGCCTGTGCCCAACAGTAGGACCTTGAAAAGGGCTGAATACAACTTTAGCTTTATAAATAACACTAGCTTGATTCCTCATACAAACTTTCATCCCCATTTTCACCCCCTTAATGGATGATATCCGAGATAAAAAGTATCCTATGTCTTTCCCAGGGTCTCAATGTATCTTCTTACCAAATTTCATCTAAATTTTTCAGTAGGTAGATTATCCTACAACGTCACAAACTCACAATCTCACAAACTATTTCTTTATAATACTAGTATAGATTACAATACTGCAGCCAAACTGAACCATAATATAATTTTCATTCTCTCTAGATTATCATAGTGGATCTACCGCCCACACCAGCGAAGTTTCACTACATCTTCAACTTGCGTGACCTCTCGCGTGTGGCGGCCGGGCTTTGTTTGACGCACCCAAACTTCTTCAGTGAGAAAAGAAGCGTCGTCCGCTGTTGGAGGAATGAATTCACACGAGTCATTTGCGACAGGCTTATTAATGTTCAGGTTAATTTATTATAAGTTATTTATTTGCTACAGATTAACTATAAAATTTCATAACATTATTAATTAACAAAGTGTTATATTAAAAGTATTTAACATCTGCAGCTTCGCTTGCTTGGCAACTATGTGGGTTAATAAAATCTAGCCTCTATCATGGTAACAGGATAGAAACAGAATATCAATATGACCAGGAGGAATGTCTTTATAGTCAACACAAATATTTGCTATGATTAGAAATCGCTATAATTATTTCTTATTGGTCTTTAAAATTTAATCCCTCCACGAGCGCGGACACGCCGGCGTTACAGTTAACAATAGAATTGTTAGAAATTTAATTAATTTCTTGGAAATTTACCTGGACGTGATATGTATTATGGTGACCTTTTAAATTTATGATTCCATAATTAGTAAAAATCTTGACGTACAAAAAATATTAGGGTTACACTCAATATATTTTTAATTTCTTTGCGTACTTTAGTCTATATGAAACCGTACATAGCGTGGAAAAACTCATTTTTTATCAAAATCAACGCAACGAGATAAGTACAATTAAATTTATAAATATAGGATAATGAATTGATGCGTGGTCACATCCAAGAGCACGTAGCCAAATATTTCCCCGAAGAAGAACCCGTCTTACTCGAAGAGATTGTTGTTCCTGAAGAAGAGGAAAAAGCACCTGAAGAAGAAGAAGATGGTAAGATAAAATTACCTAAAAAAGGACAAAATTTGGAGTACATTATTTTAATCCAGATTAAACATTATTTTTTTGTTTCTTTTTTACTATATTGATTGTAATTATGCTTGTATCATTATATTACTATATTTTTTTGGACTTAACAATTTACAGAATTTATGACGGCGGAAACTAAACCTCCGCCCTCTACAATTGAGGAGCAGGAGTTTCAGGTCGAGGAGGAAGAAGTAGAAGTTGAGCGGGAATTAACGGTAAGTGATATAACGATAGTAGAAACTGTGGACTTAATATTATCATATTTGATATCTTTATATCTATATAAATAAAAATGAATCGCCGAATTGTATATACTTGTACACGCATAACTTCCGATCGACCACACCAAATTGGATAATTCTATTTTTTTGTTTGTTATTGTCAGGATAATTTTTGTATACAAATATTTTTTAACAAAGTAAGATTTTTATAAATGTCATGATATGAAAAGTGAGTGAGTGAAATAGTTTTTATCCCGGAAATCATCCCTTCAGGGGGTGAGAAATTGGATGAAAGTTTGTATGGGGAAGCAAATTTGGGACGAACCCGAGCAAAGTGAGGGTAAGTCACTAGTTATAAATAAAGACTAGCTGACCTGACAGACACTGTGCTTTAGGTATTTGAATAAATTTATTTATGGCTTTTGAGGTCATACAAAAATTGGAAAAGCCTTATATTATGATGATTTTATAAAAAGATTTAGCCAAATCGGTCCAGCTGTTCTTAAGTGATGCGCAGCCAGCGAACATCATTTTAATTTTTATTATATTGATTTGTTTATAATTACGCAATTATTGTAATAAAAGTCAAAAATTAAATTATGCATATACACGAACATATTGCATTTTGTATTTTGATACAAATAACTATATATTATTGATATACCTTAAAGAATAGTATATGTTAGTAAAATATAATAAATTTACAGCTCGAAGAGTATGTACTCCGAGATCCACTTCTATTTGGTGACTATCGGAACGCTCTCGACGAAGAGGAAGTTCGATATTATGAAGATCTGTTGGATTATGAAGCAGTTTACTTCTTGTTCCAAGAGGTGATTAAGTATAAAGAAATATCAATGAAAACAGTATAGATAATTAAATAGAATAAATGTTTGTTTTTTATCCTGGTAAATTTTGAATTTCAAGTGAGCTTGGATGACGAAATCTGCAACTGCATGGAAATGTGAAAAATGCTCAAAGGCGGATGGATTTAAATAAAATCCGGAGCAACATTTTTTGGGTTGTTTTTAAACAGTTATCATCCTAACCAGAAACATAACTCTAATTTTTAAATTAACTCAGGTTTTTTTAAAAGATTTGCAACTGATATGGAATTTATTACAATACATAGGTATATTTTTTACAGTAAAATATTAACATTTATTATAACAGAGGAGAATTTTTATTATCTACTTAAAAATTATTTTTTTCTAGTTATTATGCTTTAAGTATTTCTTATGTATCTATTATTTAACTGGGCCAAAAATGTCATCGAACTTTTAGTTAAAAATATATTCGATGTATGCGAAAGTTTTTAAGTGACAGATTGAAATGTTTTAAATAGAAATAGCTCACAAGCTATTTTTTAGTTATTTCCTAACGTACAAATGGCCTATTTTACCAACTTACCTGAAACCATCGATATATTACATTTCCTAAAAAAATATATCTCTTTAAAAATTTTGCGTGGACATGTCACGTTAAGTCAAACCTAAGAATAGAATTCAAAAAAAAAACAAAAGTTATTAAGTTTAGTTTAATTTTTTTTTTATTATCATCCGCAAAGCAATGAAAAAAATGGATTCGAAAAAAGCGCAATTCAATTTCGAATGGTGCGCTTTTTTGAGGACACTTTTGAGTTTTGAGACTAATATCATGAGTTTTTGTATAACAAATCCTAAAATGTAAACACAGCTATGAATAAACAGTAATTATTACACAACGGTTATCCATTTATACATTTATACACAACAGATACTAGAGGAGTACAACGAGCGCGTCGGCAAGATGTCGATGGTGCTGTTCGAGGACTGCCTGGAGCACCTGACGCGCGCGCACCGCGTGCTGCGCATGGACCGCGGCAACGCCATGATCATCGGCGTGGGCGGCTCCGGCAAGAAGTCCATCTGCCGGCTCGCAGCTTTTGCAGCAGGTAGGTTGTTTATTTGTGAGTGTGAATGTCTGAGTACCTGAGTGCTTGAGTGTCTGTGTCGGAGTGTTAGAGTCTCTGAGTGTCGGGGTGTCGTAATGAGGGGTGTCAAAGTACCAGAGTGTCGCAGTGTCGTGTGCCTGAGACTCGGAGTGTCTGAATGTTGGAGTGTCGTGGAATCGGAGTGTCGGAGTGATACTCGACACACTGACACTCCGGAAATTCTAAAATATATATTTTTAAATCCGTACACAGGCTATGAAATGTTCGAGATAACAGTAACTCGCAACTACAATGAGAATACTTTTAAGGATGATATGAAGAGACTATACAACCAGCTCGGCGTGGATGGAAAACCCACCGTGTTTTTATTCACCGCCACACAGGTGTCTTTTTTTACAATTATTGTTGTTTAGTTTTTTAAATATTTATAACAATCACAAACTACATAACATGTAAGTATGCACGAAAAAAGTTGGCTGTACCTAATTTCATCATAAAACATGCAAACAAAGATCATGGTTAGGTACAGTTCTGGCACCATTAGAAATATTTTTTGTAAAAAAGTATTATAATAGTTTAGATTTTCTAACCAAGCGACACTCTTTATTCTAAATAATATCAAAATTAATAAATATTTTGTACATTGCCATAATGCTTACAATTTAATTATAACCGTATCTCATTTTACTAACAGATTTTAGAAGAAGGTTTCTTGGAATTTATCAACAATATACTGATGATTGGAATGATACCTGCTTTATTCGGTGATGATGAAAAAGACGCAATCATCAATGCGGTCCGCAACGAGAGTCAAGAAGCGGGCTATGGTGTAGCTAAGTGAGACATGACTATCTATACAAATACATATAATAAAATTGTAACAAAGCCAAATCTTTACATTAATTTTTTTTTTTGGAAAATCTTATTGAAATAAACATTATTATCGATACAGAGGCCGAATATATAGTTTTTAGAATTTTTGTCTGTCTGTCTGTCTGTTGCTGCATCACAGAAAAACCACTGGAGGAATTTTGATGAAATTTGGTATGGTGATAGCTGGTTATCCGGGTCAACATATAGGATACTTTTTAACGCGGAAAAATATCTCATTTCTGAGAAAAAATACAAAAACTGCAATGTAAGAGTATACTATTAACTAATAATATGTAAAACGTAAGAATTTGTTTTTTGGCCATCTGAACCCGGGCGAAGCCGCGGGCAATGCTAGTTTAAAAATAATTTTAGAAACTTATATAACCATGCATTTTAAGCCAAAACAAACATTTACAGAGACGCAGTTTGGAATTACTTTTGCAACAAATGCGCTGACAATTTACACGTTGTATTGTCGATGTCACCCAGCGGCGACATACTGCGGAACAGGTAGGATACATTTAGAAACCAATTACTTTAGCTTAGGCACATAGAATTTAGTATTTCTTGCGAAGAAATCTTACGAAATGAGTCTTCTTGAAAAACTCCAATGTTAATTATTATAGGTTTATTGAAGTTATGCTTCTGTTGTCACGTATGGAAAAAATGATGAGAGTAAAATTTTTACGATGCGCGCGCACAGCGACAGCCAAAAAGCGACATGATGAAGTTAGCTGTATTCCTTTTACAAACAGACAGTTGTGACATATGGGATGAAATCTTTAGCAATTTTTGTTCTGTTACGCCAAAGAAGTATAGCTTCTTACGTGCGTACATAAGTACACACACACGTTTTTTTATATTTATTTCAATCATAGCTTAATTAAGAAATATGTTTTTACTGTAATGTTTATTGTAATCCTACTTATATATTTACCTACAAATACAATTATTCAAGATGTCGAAGTTTCCCCGGACTGGTAAACAACACGACTATTGACTGGCAGTTCCCGTGGCCGAAGCAGGCCCTACTCGCTGTGGCTAACGTGTTTCTCTCAGACGTATGTTATGTTGAATATAGAAATTTTATTATACTATCATTATGTTTTAAAAGTGTAAGTAAAGTGCTAAAGTAAAACCGCAATAAGGACTTTCCATTTTAGCTGTATTTATCGTGTAACGCGATATCATGGCGAGATTGTAACTTAGAATATGTCTCGAAGTGGCATCTTTAGATGAAAATAATATTCTGCTCTTGAATATTTATACAATAATACTACGTTCATTATTTCGTAACATATTTAATTTTTATTTAATAAATTATAAAATCGAGTACTTTGTATGTTTGTTACTCCTCCACGCTGAATGCTTCATAACTTAAATGTAATTTAGTATACAGTTAAAATCGAGGCTCAGTAGTAAAAATGAAAAACAGGTTCAGAAAATTCCAGAAGAATTCCGCTCGATAATAGTAGAGCACGTGGTGCACGTGCACATGTCGGTGGCGCACTACTCCGCGGAGTTCCTGTTGCGCTTGCGCAGGAACAACTACGTGACCCCCAAACATTATATGGACTTTCTCACTAACTATCTCTCTTTGCTGAATGAGAAGGACGCTTTTATTGTTGCTCAGGTAAGCTGCGTTCCTATAAATGTAGCTTTTTATTAGTGTACATTGATTTATTAAAAAGTAGATTTAAATTAAATTAGTGAATAGTAAGATACACTGTCATTTTTATGATTAAGGTGAATTAAGTTAAATAAGAATTTATAAAATCTAACAGAGTATTCAAATTTATACCTTATAATAAAAAATTAGGTGAAAATAATGCTGTATTTCTAGTGCGAACGTTTGATAGGAGGCTTAGCTAAGATTGAGGAAGCCAATGTCCAATTAGAAGACTTAAATGCTAAGTTAGCAGTGCAGAAAGTGATAGTTGCGGAACAGACCAAGGAATGCGAAATATTACTGAAAGAGATATCGACAGGCAAGTTGAAAATTATTTGTATTTATAGTCTCACTTATATTACTACCAATATGTTTAGTCGCATGTGTAACCAAATATACATACACACATTCAATATTTATGCTATTTGAACAAAAACTAACAAAAATGATAACAATAATCACACAATTACAGCGACTGAAGCAGCCGTCGCTAAACAAAACGTCGCTGCAATAAAAAGTGTAGAAATAACTGAGCAAAGTAAGGTAATAGCCGAAGAAAAATCTGAGGCAGAGGAAGCGCTTTCTGCAGCGCTTCCAGCGCTTGAAGCGGCTAGACTCGCTCTAGCTGATCTAGATAAGAACGATATCACGGAAATTAGATCTTTTGCTACTCCACCTGAGGCTGTACAGGTAAATAAAAATAAATAAATATGTCGGGACATTAACACACAGCTTTTCTACGAGGCTCGTGTTATGGATAACAGATAGTTGATACAATAAACATACAAAATTTTAAATACATACATATTATAAATAAATAAACAACATATATTTTCCAGATATATGCGTCAATATTGTATTTTTAAAATGTCCTGTATGAAAATACTTATAAAATAATATTAAATAGTATTAATTTAAAAACGTTAATATCAAAAAAAGTTTAATAAGCCATGCCTTTTGTTCTAATGAATCACAGGTCGTCTGTGAATGCGTAGTAATAATACGTGGTATAAAAGATGTGAGCTGGAAAGGTGCAAAGGGAATGATGGCCGACCCCAACTTTTTACGTAACCTTCAAGAAATGAACTGTGATCTCATTACACAAGCGCAAGTAAAAGCGGTTAAGGCTCACATGAAAAAGAGTAAAAAGCTGGATACCATGCAACAAATTAGTAAAGCTGGGTACATATTATATTTAATTCTAATGTTTTTTTAATAAAAATATCTTAACGATTTCCATAACATATTTATTCCAAATATAACATATTTATATTGTATATAACAATTATGTTTTCAGTTATGGTCTTTTAAAGTTCGTAATCGCTGTACTGGGCTACTGCGCTGTGTACAAAGAAGTTAAACCAAAGAAAGATAAAGTGGAAGCTCTAGAAAAAGAATATTCCGAAGCTTGCAACTATTTGGCATCTCTCAACCGTGAAATAGATCGATTACAGAAAACGTTAGATGGTCTCAACAATAGATATGAAACGGCAATGCTGAGGAGGCAAGAATTGCAAGAAGAAACAGATATTATGATGAGGCGATTGGTGGCCGCTGATAAACTCATGTCAGGACTTTCGAGTGAACAGAAACGATGGACTGAAGATCTAGCTGCTTTATACATAGAACAATCTAGATTAATTGGAAATTGTCTGCTGTCTGCTTCCTTTTTGAGTTACACCGGACCTTTCTCGTTCTCTTTCCGGCAGACAATGTTGTATGAAGATTGGATGGGAGATGTGTTGGAGAGAGGTATTCCTCTCACTACTCCTTTCACTGTTGAGAAAAATTTGACTAATGAAGTTGAAATTAGTGGGTAAGTACCTAAATATTTTAAGCAAATAATGAGTTTTAACAAGGGAAAATTATTATTAGCAAATTCCTTATTATAATACTTTCTTAGTACTTTCTTAGATTTACGCGAATGTTTGACATTATTAAATAAAACTATCTTTTCGGATTATTTCGCGGATTTATTTTGATTTTTGGTTCCCGACGTTTCGAATGCTTTACAGCATCCATGGTCACGGGAGAGACTGAGGTGTTACATGTCTTAAAGATATAGTTGTTACAGACAGCCTACCCACAATTAACAAAATGAAAATCATTTGTAAAAGTATATATTAATAGTGTTGCTTAGTAAGTTGTTTTTAAATAATAGCAAACTAAATTAAAATGATTATCTGTAATTAATTTTAACTTTTTAAATTACACATAGAACAATTATATGGCTTTAATAATTAATACTATATTTTTATATTTTTTATTTATGGTTATAAATATAATAATGGCAACACTAAATATAGATTACTAATTAATATTTTTAAAATTGTAATAATTATAAAAATAATAGCAAAAATTAAATAAATAATTTTCCATATTCAATTATAATTAAAATTATAAAAAATGTTTAAAGTTAAAAATATTGTAATGTAATTGGTGCAATTTTCATTTTGTTAATTGTGGGTAGGCTGTCTGTAACAACTATATCTTTAAGACATGTAACACCTCAGTCTCTCCCGTGACCATGGATGCTATATAGGCTGAAATAAAGCATTCGAAACGTCGGGAACCAAAAATCAAAATAAATCCGCGAAATAATCCGAAAAGATAGTTTTATTTAATAAATTCCTTATTTTAAACAAAATATGCGAATATATTCATTAACAAAAAATAACATGATATTTTATGTATTCAAGATGGAATTCAGAGGGTTTGCCGCCAGATGAACTATCCGTACAAAATGGTATTCTAACAACGAGAGCGTCGCGCTTCCCGCTTTGCATCGATCCGCAAACACAGGCGCTCACTTGGATAAAGAGGAAGGAGGCTAAAAATAATCTAAAGGTATACTCAAAATTTTCACCTTAACTTTGTGAATAATTTTATGTTATAGTAGAAATATATTTCAATTGATTATTATAGTTATAGTTACTTAGGTTTACGCGAATATTTGACACCTATACATACCTATAATAAAATTGTAACTTAGCCGAATATGTACATTAAATATTTTTTGGAAAATCTTATTGAAATAAACATTATTATCGATACAGAGGCCGTATCTATAGTTTTTAGAATTTTTGTCTGTCTGTCTATCTGTCTGTGTGTCTGTCTGTTACTGCATCACAGAAAAACCTCTGGACAGATTTTGATGAAATTTGGTATGATGATAGCTGGTTATCCGGGTCAACATATAGAATACTTTTTACCGCGGGAAAATGTCTCATTTCTGAGAAAAAATACAAAACTGCAATGTAAGAAAGAGTATACTAATATGTAAAACCTAAGAATTTTTTTTTGGTCGTCTGAACGCGGGCGGAGCCGCGGGCAATGCTAGTTTTAAATATAAATATGTATTCGGATTTTGTCACAGTCTAGTCATGATTTTCTTATTTATGATCCACCATCAATAACATAAATGAATAACTTGTAACAATAGGTTAGTGCTCTTTTTATTATTGTAATTATAATTTATAATTTTATAATATAATTTTAATTTTAATAATATTATAAAGAGACAGAGTTTGTTTGTTTGTTTGTTTGAACGCGCTAATCTCAGGAACTACTGATCCGATTTGAACAATTCTTTTTGCATTAAATAACCCGTTTCTTGAGAAAGACTATAGGGTATATATCACCATTCTACTATCCAAGGGAGCGAACTAGCGAAAGAGAGGAACTGTAATCATAAATGTCAACAAATCGGGCAGACTTCCATGCATTATTGTAAAACTGATATTTATAATGAAACAAATTTAACTCAGGTGAAACCGTGGGGCATAGCTAGTTATAATAATAATAATAATTTTAATTCAGTTAAAAAAAATTCTTCTCGTGAATAGGTTTTATCATTTAACGACCCACAATTTCTACGACACTTGGAGATGGCCATCAAATACGGCATGCCGGTGCTGTTCCAAGACGTCAACGAATACATCGATCCCGTCGTAGATAATGTTTTAGAGAAAAATATTAAAGGTTCATATTGTTTTTATTTTATGACTAATGTGAAAAAAATATTTTTCAGTTTGGTATGTTTTTCTTTTTTTTTAAATGAGCATGATGATGATATTTTTCTTAAATTAAGATTTACAGATTTTAGAACAGTTTCACCTACCGCTTGCTATTTTATCCTTTCTTAATAATTATGATTATATTTACTTATATTAACAGTGGAAAGTGGTAGAACGTTCGTAATGCTGGGCAGCACGGAGGTGGACTACGACCCTCACTTTCGTATGTATCTCACCACAAAGCTCGCGAACCCGCAGTTCAACCCCGCCGCGTACGCTAAGGCTGTCGTCATCAACTACACCGTCACTGTGCAGGTAATGGAAAAGTTGTATTATTTTCCATATTTTCCATTAATTAATATGCAATACGACACATATGACGTGATTGAGTTAAACACTTTCAATCCTATAAAATACCCTTATTTACTAAATTATATCTTGACTCGACTTTAAATTATTTTTAAATGTATTTTATCCTATAGATAACGTCTAGTCCATTTTTAACTACCAAATCCAGGGTCTAGAAGACCAACTCCTCAGCGTAGTGGTGCGCGCAGAGAGAGCTGACCTGGAGGAGCAGCGCGAGAGCCTCATCATAGAGACTAGCGCCAACAAGAGCTTGCTGTCGGGACTGGAAGACTCGCTACTGAGAGAACTGGCGACATCTACCGGCAACATGCTGGACAATGTTGAGCTTGTTAACACTTTAGAGAATACAAAGTCTAAAGCGGCTGAGGTACTTTTGTTTATGGTCTTCTTTTATATTTAGGATATATCATAAAGTAGCGAAACTTATTTAATTAATTGATGCCAGTTCAAAATATTGCTTATGTCAAAAATATTGCAATAATTCAATTTTGTCGTTATATAAGAAACATGCACGTATTCGAAATTATTACAAAATACTTCACTAATTATTATTATATTACAACTCATTTTATTATATATATTTTATTATATACCTCATTAGAAACAAAACTTAAAAGATATAATAAATTGTACTTGCAAAAAATGGTAAGTGAAAAAGTGTAATTGTAAAAACTTTGTATTTAATTATTTCAATATTAATTAATTATTAATTTTTTTGTATGCATGTAATATTATATTATTAATTCTTTATGATATGTCTGAGTTATTATAACAAACTAATTTCCCTCGAGAATCACTTGACATACTGGATAAATAGTGCTTGGTTCCATATTGCGTGAAGAGTGGATACACCAACACAACTAACACACCAATAAACCATAACGCTCCTTACACTTATATAACACACAATGTCATAACAAATATACTTTCATCCACTTTCTTCTCCTTAAGGGGTGAATTTCAAAAAATGTTAAAACACATATTTATTTAATTATATTAAAGAGCATTAATACCAAATTTCAAGTAATTCTGATCATAAATACTTTTTTGGGTTGTTTTGTAACGTGTTTTCCCGTAAGAATGAGATAATCGATAAAAAGTAGCCTATGTAACTCTCCAGCCTTCCAACTATCTCTACACAAAAAATCACGCCAATTCGTTAACCCGTTTCGACGTGAAAAAAGGACAAACAAACAAACACACTTTCAAATTTATAATATTTGTAATGATATGGATTATAAAGCTTAATATATTCTTAAATGTACTCAATTAAGAATTTATTATAGGTGATGGAAAAACTTCAATTAGCCGAAGCGACGACAAAAGACATAGAGAAGCTCAGGGACGGCTACCGGCCGGTCGCCAAGCGCGGCTCCATTCTGTTCTTCGTGCTGTCGGACATGGCCAGCGTCAACAGCATGTACCAATACTCGCTTTCCTCGTACCTTGATGTTAGTCGTTTTGAATCGGACTGGTATTATAAATGCGAAAGTTTGTATGTGTGTTTGTGTGTTTGTTACTCTTTCATGCTAAAACGGCTGGGCCGTTTTGGATAAAATTTACTACACAAACATACTGTAAATATAAATATGTTGGGACATTAACACACAGGACCATCTAGTTCCATAGTAAGCTACGAGGCATATGTACATATTTTATGTTACGAGTGTGTCGGAATGACGGGAGAAATCTTTAGACATTTTGACGCAGATGATTTTAATTAAAATATGTAACTTATATATTGTATTTTAATTTCACTTTAATATTTTATTGTTTCAGGTATTTTCCTTCTCATTGCGTAAAGCGATGCCGAATGTCATTTTGGCCAAACGATTGAAGAATATAATTGACATGTTGACTAAAAATGTATATGATTACGGATGTACTGGTAAGTGGCGAGAGGTTTACTTCCCTAGTTAAAAGTAAGTAGATATATATAACAAGCGAGAAATATAGGAGAAGCCGTTGAATTATTTATTGGCTTTAAAAATATTCAATTTCTTAGACAAAATTTCTTGTACAAAGGCCATGCATTTATACATATAATAAAATTGTAAATAAGCCGAATCTGTACATAAAATATTTTTTGGAAAATTTTATTGAAATAAACAATTATAATTATCGATACAGGGGCCGAATCTATAGTTTTTAGAAGTGGTCTATCTGTCTGTCTGTCTGTTACCGCATCACAGAAAATCCACTGGAGAGATTTTCATGAAATTTGGTATGGTGATAGCTGGTTATCCGGGTCAACATATAGGATACTTTTTACCGCGGGAAAATATCTCATTTCTGAGAAAAAATACAAAAACTGCAATGTTAAAGTATACTACTATTATGTAAAACCTAAGTATTTGGTTTTTGGTCATCTGAACGCGGGCGGAGCCGCGGGCAATGCTGGTATCGAATAAAAACAATAAAAAGAAAAAAGTCCCCACAAGCTTTACTTACTATTTCTATTATATATGTGACTTTGCAAAAATGTTATTTATTCAAAAATATTATTTTACTTTAAAGTAATAGTAGTAGTAGTTCTATTAGGTATATCATTATAACGTATTTATCTTATTATTAAGCTTATTTACTAAAATGTTTCTGTCGTTATTGTTGTTGTCATTATTTAAAAATATATATTTTTATAGGAATATTTGAGAGACATAAGTTGCTTTTCTCATTCCAAATGGACATTAAATTGGAGCAAAGCGAAGGAAATGTAACTCAGATGCAGCTGGATTTCTTTATCAAGGGCAATGTTTCATTGGAGAAAGCCATCAGAGCCTGTCCTGCACCATGGATACCCGCGCAGGTTAACTTTCTAGTACACATATTCTGGAATTTATTTTTCATTTGACTGGTTCATTGATCTAGTGGCTAGCATCGTTTGATCGGTCATAGGTTCGAGGTACAGGTCGGGCGAAGTATAGTTATTGGATTTTATAGCAATCCGTTACTGGGAAGTTGAAGACGCCTGAACCGATTTGGATTTTTTTTATTTCAAAGGGTAAACTTCCCAGATGGTCCCATATAAGTTTTATCAAAATCGGTCGAGCGGTTTTTTTAAAAATCAACAGTAAATTATTTTTTTAAATACTTTGTTTAATCGACTTAAAAAACTTTCTTCTTACAAATTACCTGCTTATTACGTCTACACTAAAAATGGAAAAATAAAAACTTAAAAAATAATAAAAACCGACTTCCAGGCACTAAAATGTAAAAAATAATTAAACGGGGGTTTTCATTTGGTATAGGTACCTAATCAGATATTTTCGAAGTCGGTGCCAGCCGACAATATTTTAAAATTTGAATATCTAATAGGTAAATATATATTTTACGTATCGAAGTATATTAGATTTGCTTTGCATCGGCTGGCACCGACTTTGAAAATATCTGATTAGGTACCTATTCCAAATGAAAACCCCCGTTTAGTTATTTTTTACAGTTTAGTGCCTGGAAGTCGGTTTTTTAAGTTTTTATAATATAACAAATTTTGCAGGGTTGGCAGGACATCATGAAATTAAGCGCCGAATTTGCTGATAACTTTGTAGATCTACCAGACCATATTACTACAAATCTCGAAAAATGGCAAGAGGTGAATATCTTTTCTTAAACCTAACAAATGAAATAAACAAAGCATAGAAAACAATAAATGTCAAGTCAAACCACGCTGTCAATGTTGCACTGCGGGGGAACTCTATTATTTAAACATACGAATAGAATATATACAATTTCAAGCGTCAACCAATACCGCACCCTGTATCTTATCATTTTTTAGTTTTTTTTTTTCGTACGCCCCCCAGCTGAGTCTCTTGTACTTGTGAATAATAAGAATATAATGTTTAGTTAGTTTGTAATTTTCTATGTTAATCCGTCAACTACCGCGGACACGCCGGCGTGTCAGTTAACAATAGAATTCTTAGAAATCTAATTAATTTCTTAAAAGATTACCTGGACGTGTTAAATTTAACTTTTCTGCCGTAATGTAGTGCAGTCTATCGGGTTTGAACCCCACATGAGGGGAATATATTTATATATTCACTGTTCATTCTATTCCAGTTTCTCTTATTATTAGTTCAACTGTCTTTATTATCTTGGTTAAATTAAAATATGGCGATGTGTGAAAATTAGTCACACAACATACTAAGTATTTATTTATACCCTGCACTACGTAAAAAGAATGGGTTGATGTTATTAGAGTTGTTCTTTTTCTAACCACACATTGATTGATTTATTACTTTTTTACGCTTTATTTACGACAAATGTCTCAACTGATTTAAGTAAGTCCAAGTAGCAAACATTCTAGAATAATTATCACGCGACTACAACTTAACAACACTAACACTCTTGCTAATATTATAAATGTGAAAATTTAGATGTTTAGATGTTTAGATGGATGTTTGTTACTCAATAACGCCAGAACAGCTGAACTGATTTGGATGAAATTTGGCACAGAGATAGGTTATAGTCTGAAATAGCACATAAGTAACATTTATCCCGGAAAGATTTACAGCTCCCGTGGGATAGATTTGTTTTTGTTTTTCTAGAGCGAAGTGAAGGTGAGCCGCTAGTACACATATGTACTAGTACATACGAGTATGTTTCCTACTACTGATGACTGTTTACAGTGGTTCGACAGCGACACGCCCGAATCATCGGACATCCCAGACGGTTACAAGGAACGACTCAACCCGTTCGAGCTGCTTATGTTGCTGCGCTGCTTCCGCGTGGACCGCATCTACCGCGCGCTCACCGACTACATCACGGTCACCATGGGCGAGGAGTACATCACGCCGCCTGTCATCAGGTAACCACATTGATGATCCGGTGAACTTTGTACTACTGTACTGTACTTTGTTTGATTGTAATCTGAAACGGTCAATTCCCATACAAAAGTAACAATTTCATTTTTCAATTTTTCTGCTGTTTTTCTTGGGTTTTTTTATTTTCTTTTTTCTTAAACCACCCCAGCAATTGACTTTTTTTTAGTATTAATAGTTATTAGTAACGTACATAGCCTGTTATTAGGTAATTATTATTAGTAACTGCTTCGGTGGTCTAGTTAGCCACTAGATAATGTACATGTGCGGCTGCAGATCTAGAAGTCCTGGTCCGAGTTTCGGGTCGGGCCAAAAGTGATTGAGTTATTCTGTTAAGAAAGTCTCGGTAGTAACCCAGAATTGGGAAGTTGGCGGTGTTTCACCCCCGTGCCTCGGAGAGCACGTGTCGCGTCGTTCCTGCGTCTGATCTCTTAGCGCGAACATCAAATCGACGTCCCACCGGCATGTAAGAGCCAAAGGAACTAGAGAGTGCATGTTATGTCTGCGCGTATCAAGTATACGCAGTAATATCTACTCTTCTCCTCTCTGATTTCCTCGAGATTTGCCGTCATGGCCGACATCGATCAGAAGTACATCATTGATAATGCAAAAACTAACACAGAAGGATGATAATTAATGTTTTTCACGCCACCTTCAAACTGGTCATACAAAAACTAACACAGAAAAATGGTAATAGGTAATTTAATGATTAAATTTAAAAAGAAAACGTTATAAGTTTTTTATACAAATAGACTTCTTACGGAAAACTAACACAAATAAAAATCACTACTACAAAATATTAACGCATATTCAATTACTCTGGTTGATTGATAAAATATCGTACAGCTTAGTTTTTATTTCCATATGAGCTTTACATTTGATTGTTATAAATAATAATAAAAAGATTTTAACGTTCATAAATTTTAGTAGTGTACTATCTGATAACTTGGCGCATTCGCTCAAATATTCCAATGAAGAAAATGTGTAGGTATTATAGTGAAAAATAGAAATTTTGAAAAATAGAAATTTTGTTAGAAAATTAATGAATACTTTAAGAAACTTACAGCTGCAATTTCTGTTTTGATATGAGATAATATTCATTGAACATTTATATGTTTTATTTATATAAAATGTAATTGTAGTAAACTTATAGATACATTAAAACTTTCTTCGTAATAAAGGACTTACACAATTTATACGAACGGGCTACAATCGAAACTTATAAGAAAGATGGTAAGTTATGTTAACGCAAAATATTATAAACTGTAAAAATGTTTGTTTATAATATAGGAAAAGCGGATTATGAAAATGAATGTCTTAATTTATTTGCGGGGATAAAATGGTATAATATCTTGCCAGTTGGTATTAGACATTAGTGTGCATGGAATGGTCGAGTAAAGAATTATTAACTTTGATCTTATTATGCGTATATTTGTTATGTACCTACTCAGAAAAATAGAAATAAAAAAATTAAGTTAGATCTCAAACAAAATTTAAAAAAAAAGTTACTCCGTGTAAAACACATAGTAGTTGTCAAAAAAAGTATTAAGATCGTTGTAGTGCATTTTCACGAGGACGGAGAACGAAGTCTTTTGGGGGCGTCAATTTTTTCATTTCATATAATTTGCAGTCTGGACATGATCTACGAACAGACAACACCGTTCACGCCGGTAGTGTTCATCCTCAGTCCCGGCTCTGACCCGACCGCGGACCTCATGAAGCTCGCAGACAGGTGCGGTTTCGGAGGCGGCAAGTTTAAGTATCTGTCGCTTGGCCAGGGACAGGAAGGGGTGAGTTCTTAATGGCTATTGGCTAGTTTTTTTTAATATACAATATGGTATGGAGTAGAGTATGGTTTTGGCTTATACCATAAATATTTAATATAATTAATAGGTATAAATTAATAGATAAGAGATAAAATAAAAAGTTTTGGTAAAAAAATGTATATAAAATTAAAATTATAGTCTAATATTACCTAAAAATATATATATGTACATTGTACATATCTCACGAAGATCAATTAATAAATTTTTACTAATCATATATTTTAAGTTTTAGCAGCTAAAAAAATGATGGAAAATATTTTCCCCTAATAGGCCGCTTTATCCTTGCTGGAAGGTGCAATATCTCACGGACAATGGTTGATCTTACAAAACTGTCACTTGCTAGTTTCGTTTTTGCGTGAATTGGAAAAGCAGTTGGAGTTGATGACGAAGCCACACCCTGAGTACCGACTCTGGCTCACCACTGACCCCACACCCACATTCCCTATTGGCATACTTCAGAGATCACTGAAAGGTAAATATTATGCAAATAAATAATACATGTATGACTTTTTAACGTCCCATTGCTGCCCCCCCCCCCCTTCAATATGAGGGGGATCAGGTCACACCACGCTGGCCAAATGAGGATTGGAAGAATTCACTTGTTACATTCAATTTCCTCACGATGTTTTCTTTAACCGTGAGACAAGTGGTAATTTTATAGAAATGATGAGCAAATGAAAATAGCATAGGCGCGAGACACGGAATTTGAACCCGCGTCAATCGGTTTTCCAAGCGCGCACGCTACCACTGAACCTAATACTACTTCATTTATACATATAATAAAATTCTGAGTGGAATCTGTACATTATTATCGATACAGAGGCCGAATCTAGAGTTTTTAGAATTTTCGTCTATTTGGGAACGCTGACAAATTTTGGTAAAATTTAGTATGATGATAGCTGGTTATCCGGGTCAACATATATATACTTTTTACTTCGGGAAAATATCTCATCTCTGATAAATCTATACTAAACGTCAAAATATAAATAAGGACGAACCCGAGCGGAATGAGGGTGAGTCTAGCGACTATATATAAATTTATATAGCGTATAATATAATATAAATTTAACTACTAATGTAATATAAATGTATTAATTTAATTATTTTCAATTAGAGTTCGTCTTTTCCACTAATTTTATGTTTTTTTTTATTATTTACCTACATTAATTATTTGTGGAATATAGAAACAGATATTTTAAAAAATGCCCTTTTTATTCTTCTCTAGTGGTAACTGAACCTCCAAACGGCTTAAAATTAAACCTCCGGAACACTTACTTCAAAATGCGCACCCACGCGCTAGAGGAATGTATCCATCCGCAGTTTAGGAAGCTCGTGTACGTGCTGGCTTTCTTCCACGCCGTAGTACAGGTGATATATTGCAAGTATAAGACATAGAATAAATAACTTTCTAACTAGGTTTTTTTCCGTATGTACAATGAACGTATTGTTTATAAGACAAACTGCCCCGGTGTTAATATGTAGTAGCTAACGTGTCTGCATCCGGCTGCGCATTCGAAGGTCGTTGGTTCCAGTCCCGGGTCGGGCCAAATTTAGTTGTTGAGTATTTCTGTTAGGAAAGTCCCAGTAACTGCTCAGAGTTGGGAAGTTGGTGGTATTCCACCCCGTGCTTCGGAGAACACATGAAGTCGTTAGTCCTGCGCCTGATCACTTACCGATCTTGTCAAATTATTTTTCCATCGGAATTTGGGAGTGCACTTATAGCGCGTAGAGACAAAAAATGCCTAATATCTCCTGCGCAGTTACACAGCTACTAGGACATCATTATTGTTAATAACAATTTTTATAAATTGCTCTTTTTTAAATTCTCATATATATGTCTCTTTTCTATCGTTTATTTATTTAGATAAAGATTAGAACTTGTTCCTTATACATTATATCCTTATCATAAATATCTTTGGGTGTTATTCTATTACATCAACCAAATGAAATTTATGTGAATTACTTTGTATGTAGAAACATACAATTTGCTAGTCTGTATGTACATTTATGCTGTAACAAACTTTGATTTCATCAAACTACAGTTATAAAACGTAAAACGGAAACTGCTAGATGAATTGGGTATTAGTATGCAGATAATCTATGAACTGGAATAACACATAGGTTATGTTACTGGCATTTAAAACGCACCCGAGCAAAGCCTGGATAACTTGCTAGTACTAGTATAGTATTATATGATCTGTGCTAGTACTAATACGAAACCTTTTCATGCAAAGGAGCGTCGCAAATACGACAAGATAGGCTGGAACATCGCGTACGACTTCAGCGAGTCGGACTTCGTGGTGTGCATGCAGATCCTGCAGTGCTACCTCGACCGCTGCTACGCTGCGAAGGGCCCCGTGCCGTGGTCCACACTCAAGTATTTGTTTGGTGAAGTATGTGTTTATATAATACTTTCTTAGATTTACGCGAGTACTTGACGTTTTAAATTAAACTAGGTATTTTTGCGATTTTTTCGCAGATTTATTTTGATTTTTGGTTCCCGACGTTTCGAATGCTTTACAGCAATTATGGTCACGGGAGAGACTAAGGTTTTAAATAATGCAGATGTCATTATTCAACAGTTTATGTAGAGACTTACCGGCTCGAAAAGTCATTTTCCCCGTCTTAATATTTATTTTAACCTGATACTTGAAGGTAGAGACGTAAACAATATTTTTGTATATTATGTGCAAGTAGGTACTATGTTTATATAAAAAAATGTATTGAAAATTAAAAAAGTAAGCAAAATATTTTCTTACTATGAAGGATTAGTAATAAAATTAATTTTGGTTAAATATTTAATTTTATATTTAAACAATTTTATAATACTCAAGGTAATGTACGGGGGCAGAGTGATAGATGATTTTGACAGAAGAGTTGTCAAAACATACATGGATGAATATTTGGGCGAGTTCCTCTTCGACAAATTCCAGCCCTTTCATTTTTATCACGACTCTACCTTCGACTACGTGATTCCGCCTGATGGAGAACGCGAAGAATATATCGGTGAGGGAATTATGTATTATTAAAATAAGTTTTTTTTTTTCATTCAGAGTTTACTTATGTTTCTCAATTCTACACATCAAATCATAAAATTTAACATAACAAAAAATAATATTTTTGACGTAGATCATATTTTATACATGCAAAACATTTTAAGCCATTGCTTTCTAAGTTCTTGTGAGCCCTTGTCCCAAGTTTCCGTTTTTATCACGGTAACACTACGTTAACTAATTACGATATATATGACACGGACGGTTACCCGTAGACTCAAATATTATATGAATCTTTACAATAATATTTGAAAGTTAAATCTTCCAAGTACCGCTACTTTGTAATTATTGTCTATCTCTTTTGTGCTATAGTGATAGTTTGAATGTTACGTCTGTACGTAACACTGATGTGATGTTTTTCTTAAAGATTATTTTAGAGCTTAAGAATCATAGGTATAGATAGGGTTCATTACAAACTAAAACCATTACAAACTATTCAAAAAGGTTAAATACATTATACACCGTTAACAGATTCCATCGACACGCTGCCGCTCGCGAACACGCCTGAGGTGTTCGGTCTGCACCCCAACGCCGAGATCGGGTACTTCAGCCAAGCGGTGCGCGAGATGTGGGGACACCTCATTGAACTGCAGCCGCAGACTAGTGAGCTCGTAGTTTATTATTGTTGATTTTTCTAAATCAATTTTTTATTGTTAATTTAATGAATAAATGCAACAAATTAACCTTGTACTTATGACATCTATCACATCACACACTTCTCTTTAGCTCTCAATATTATAATAGATCTCCTCAATATTGTGTATTTTGTGTGTTTTGTCAACTACTATTACCTACAGGTAAGTTGACAAAATACACAATCCAGTTTGTACACAAGATTTACTCTGTAAAAATACACGAAGTATAACAAAAAATAATATTATAGTAAGTAATAGGTAAGTAGATATATTTTAGACTTGACAAGTATCTCTTTGGCCTAATCATTTTCGTTATTCTCTTTCATGCTTCTAGCAAGTAAATTTGGTAAGTTTCGTAACAATTTTTATATTTTATGACATCACGTATCTACATATTGCCATGACTTTCTCTTATTAAAAATTATTTTATTTTTTTAATTAAATGCCGCTAGTGGAGAGTAGCGGTAAGTTTTTCAAGTTAATAACTCTAGGTACTTAAGATTTTGCAAAAAATGTTAATGTGTATACCAAATATCTTCAAAAATATATGTTTGTGTTTATAACATACATAATATAATAATATAATATAAATATGTTGGGACATTAAGACACAGCGCCATCTAGTTCCATGGTAAGCTACGAGGCTTGTGTTATGATACCAGATAGTTGATACATTATAATATATAACTTTAAATACATACATATTATAAATATAAACACCCTTGACTAGAGTAAAACATTCGTGCTCATCACACAAATGAATGCCCTCAGCGGGACTCGAACCCGCGACCGCTGGCACAGCAAGTAGGGTCACTACAAACTGAGCCAAACATGTCGTCATATGTATTCCTATAATATATTAGGATATTCATGTTTACAATTTACTCTTTTTTTAAGGTTTCTTCCTTATTTAGTTCATAAATGTTACAACTAACGATCGCGAGTGGCAAAATTATTTAGGTTGCATCTATAACAGATGTGACTGCTAAATAATTTAGATAAATGAATTTACATCACTGTATGTATACTTGTGCGAAGCTAAATACTAGAAATCGTTAATTAAAAATCATAGATTTCAGACAAATATAAAACAGACAATAATATACTAATATTATAAATGTGAAAGTGTGTTTGTTTAACCTTCTTTCACGTCGAAGCAGATTGACTGATTAGCGTGATTTTTTGTGTGGAGATAGTTGGAGGGCTGGAGAGTGACATACGCTATTTTTTACCGCGGGACGTTTACATTCCCACCGGAAAACACGTTATAATATAACCCAAAATTATTTATTATCAGAATTACTTGAAACTTGGCATATTAATGCGCATCAATACAATTAAATAAATGCGTTTTTCAGCATTTTTCGAAATTCATTCCATAAGGGGGGTAAAATAGGGTATTAAAGTTTGTATGGAACCTACTTTTTTTAGTGTTTTTGTAGTTTTAGCGCGAGCGAAGCCGCGGGTTCTGCTAGTAAATTTATAATTTTTAACCAGGCGAAGGCGGTGGCACGATGAGCCGCGAAGAGTTCATAGACACGATCGCAGTGGACATCCTCTCCCAGCTGCCGGCGCAGTACGAGGTGTGGCGCGTGCGCAAGCAGTTCGAGATGAACATCACGCCCACCGTTGTAGTGCTCTTGCAGGAGCTCGAGAGGTTGGTTATACGCTTGTTTTATTGTATTTTTGTAATTATTGTATCATCTAAATATAGATTTGGAGAAAAAAGGCACATCCAATATTACCTCGTCTATTCGGTAGTGGCATGTCTGACGAAAATTGTATTTGAATGATTGTTTAATTATTATTATTATAAATAGGTACATGAAAACCTAAATTGTAAACATAACAATAGGTATAGTATATTAAAATCCTTTTAAATAAAACTATCTTTTCGAATTTTTTCTCGGATTTCATTATTTCGATTTTTGGTTCCCTACGTTTCGAATGCTTTACAGCAATCATGGTCATTGGAGAAGACTGGGAACCAAAAATCAAAATAAATCCGCGAAAAAATTCGAAAAGATAGTTTTATTTAAAATGGCAAATATTCGCGTATTAAAATCCTATTAACTACCTACAACTACTTTTTATAACATAATTAAGAAAAATAATATATTATTTACAACAATCCAGGTTCAACCGTCTCATCAGCAAATTACAAGTAACTCTAACACAACTCCGCAAGGCTTTAGCGGGCGAGATCGGCATGGACGCGGTACTCGACAACGTGTCTAACAGTCTGTTCAACGGTCAGCTGCCGGGCGTGTGGCGCGGCCTCGCGCCCGACACCAGGAAGGGGCTGGGAGGTTGGATAGATCACTTTATGGCCCGCACCAAACAGTACACAGATTGGGTGAGAGATTGTTAATTCTAGATAAAACAAATGGATAGTTTTATTTATGAAGTATATTAATTTGGAAATTGATGTACTCAATAGTAGGTAATTATTGCGCCTTTAAGAGGTGATTTTTTTCTTAGTCATCTACCATGAAAGACAATTACTTACATAGATAAAATGTCACGTATAAATAAGAATAATAAAAGTACCAGCCTATGGTTTTACGAATTATTATTTTACGGTAAATAAACAAAAATATAAGATACGTATAATATAATTTTATATAATAAATATAATTTTTACTTATGTGAAGCTCGCCAGATAGATAAAACATACGTGGAAATTTTCGGATACCCTCATCCTCTTATTGTAACGTATTGGAAATTGTATAAGGGTATAGTTTATACTGTCCATTGTATAACTAGGTACATACAAAACACCCAATAAATTCCAGGCAACCATAGAAGAGCCAGTAGTGATCTGGCTGTCCGGCCTCCACATCCCCGAGTCGTACCTCATCGCTCACATACAGATGGCGTGCCGCCTCTACACGTGGCCGCTCGACCGCTCTACGCAGTTCACGCGCGTCACCCGATACACCACCCCGGATGATATAGAAGAACGACCTGTTACTGTATGTATGGCTTTTGCTTTTGTTGAAATATTATTTTCTTTTATTTATTTCCATTTAGTCTCTTGTGATGCAAATCTGGGTAGGTTAAAAGTTAAGCAACTTCGCCAACGGTTGGTACTTGGATGGGTGATCGTTAGAGGATAAACACTGAATCTCGAGACTTTATTGTAATATATTTATTAGATTATAAAATTTTGTGCATTTTAGTCGGTAAGATTATATACTATTCTGTAAGCTTTACTTTACACCTGTCGTTAGTTCCGAAAATAGCCACTAACAAAATTTAATCATCGTGAATAATGGAAAAGCCATTCACGATAGCAGATATTCGTGTATATAAATTATAAATATTTCTTTCAGGGATGCTATGTCCGAGGCCTATACTTGGAAGGCGCTCGCTGGGATACTGAAGACGGTTGTTTAAGACGATCTCATCCTAAAGTTCTGATAACAGAGTTACCCATCATGTATATTATACCCATTGAAGCACATAAACTTAAGTTGCAGGTAATCTAATGTTTGATTTTATCAACTTGTAGAGTTGAAGAACTTAGAATATCAAAACCCATGTACTTTTAAGCAAAACTATCTTCGGATCTTTTCAGGGATTTGTTTAGATTTTTAATTTCTGACGTATTTGAACGTTTGACGAATGTTTTGCAGCAATTATGATTCATGGTCACGGGAGAAAAATCAAAATAAATCCACGAAAAAATCCGAAAGGATAGTTTTAATTAAAATGTCAAATATTCGCGTAAATCTTAGAAAATATTATCCTGGATGTCCTCGACAAATTTCATCAAAATCAGTTCAGCGGTTTACGCATGAAATGACAACAGACAGACAGTTACTTTCACATCTATAATATTAAATTAGATTAGAATGAATACTCGTATATCTCATCAAAATTTATTTTGTTATTAGAACACTCTTCGCACGCCAGTATACACGACGTCGTCACGCCGAGATGCAATGGGCGTGGGTCTGGTGTTCGAGTCCGACCTCTGGACGGCAGAGCATTGCAGCCATTGGGTATTGCAGGGTGTCTGTCTAGTTATGAATACAGATTAAATATATTAAAATTTGTATACCCATAACGAGGACAATCGTTTCTGGTGGCATTGACGTTGAAAAGTATTTGTAAGCGCGACACCAGTTTATCAGGATTTTTTCTTAGCTCTTCTTTTAAATCGTATCTGCCATAATTAATCAGGAATGGCGCAATGTTTACAATATTACTGAAGATCCGCGAAGCAAAACTTGCAAAGAGTAAGCATTTCAGTCTCATTTGACATTTCTAAACACCTCTCTACACTAGCGCCTCTAGCGGCGAATTGAAGCGCGGTAGCCTTCATTGTCTGTTCGGGATAGGATTTTTTTTGTGACTTTTCTTCGGCACTAAAGAAAAAATTTCAGGAAAAGTCTTATCTTTTCCGAATAGAGCTGTCTATTATCACCAATGCTTATTTTTATTATTAATATATTATAATTTTAAGATTGACTTCTCCAGGTATGAGTAAAAAGTATTAAAAATATATGGGTTTGTATAATTGAGGATGTGACTGACCTCTATATAATTTTTTTCATTTTGTATTTTGATGTCAGTTATATTTTGTATAAGGTAAAAATGGACTGAATGCTGAAATTTTACTAGTAAATTATAATTATTGATTAAATTTTAATTTTTACAAGTTAGTTATTAAAGAAACTTATTTAATTTGTTCCAAATATTATGTTAAGTATGGATATGTCATATGCTATTAAGTTTCAAAGGTATATGGAGTTTACACAATATACTCAATGGAGTTTACACAATATACTCACCTTGGCTTGTTTACTCAGTTTTACCGATGTAGTTCTATGATTTGTGTTTTTGTTAAAAGTTATGTTATTATTAATGCACCATTGTAAGTTTTATTGTGTTGATTTATGAAACAATAAAGACTAATGTACTTTAAATATCTTTTCACTCATAAGATTTAAGACTTATATTGAAGCTTGAACGCCATCTCACATGTACTGTCAATTTTTTAGGCAAGTAAATGATCAAAAATTCCTTAGGTATTTATTTATAGACATTTGACATATTTTATAGAAATTATGTCCATTTTCTATCTTCAATAGGGAAAACGTCAGATTTTTTATATCCTAGTGTATCTGGTCCTAATACGGTACAAGCCTGGTACATAAACTTATCTATGAATTTGTTTATCTACATATTTAGGGTTGACCTATGCATTTTTTTATTCATTTTCATTCATAAATATGAAAGAAGAATAAAAATATAAAAGAAGATGAGTTATAAATTTGGAATAAAATTGAAATACTAAAAACATTTAAATGATTCATAATTTTTAAAACCTGTTTATTTACATCTGACAGTTTGGTTTAACTTGTGGTAGGCACAAATTATAAAATGATGTGCTTAAAAAATCTTGAAGAGGTTGCCATTTTACCCAGCCTTTATTTTGCAAGAATTCCCTCGATGGCTCCTTACCAACGTAATGTGGATCCTAAAAGAAATATTGAAATTGTATTTTGTGTACCACTACTAGTGAATGTTCTTTACCAATTGTAAGCCAATTTTTTAATTATTTTTTTAAACTTCATTTTTTTCAAAATTATTTTTTTAAACTTCTAATGAATATGTTATTAACGAAGTATAATTCAAGAATGGTCCCATTAAAATTAAAAAGAATATAAATAATAATGATTTATAATGATATGTAATATGTACAAGGTAATTCAATTTTTTTATTATTATTATATAACTGCTTTAATATAAATTATAATACATAAAATAACTCACCACAACCAATAAGCTAGATCGGTCACTGTCTACATGTATGCCCATAATCCCTTTAGACGAACAGTCAACATCACCACCCATCATTACTGGACTACCAAACTTTTCAAAGTGATTTTTCAATTGTGTAACAATATTTTCTAACTGATCTCCTTTATTAACATAAACAATTTTACTTGGTATGTCATACAATTTATCTATCACAAGGCAAACCTGAAATTTAATTCAATAAAAGTTAAAATTAAACTCATAAAGAAATAAAGTGTGATAGAATTAACTATTAAAAATTATTATTTCTAATATTTTAGTATAGGATAAGCCAATATGACTTTTTATATATCAACTACATATTTTCTTGCACTGGCTAATCTCATGTTATGAATTTACCTCAAAGCTTCCAATCCACCGCCGTGAACCTAAAAAAGATGAAGGCTTATCTTCTAGATCAACCAAAATTTTCTGAACATCTCTGATAGTAGGAACACTTTGAGTGCTATTGTAATTAATATTTAACCAGGAGCATATTGTTTGTAGGGTTCGATAACCACATCCCCAGCCCTGAAAATTAAAATGGTTTCAAATGTAAGTAGGTAGCAATAAGTAGTAAAATCACCACTCTGTAATGCAATGTAAATGCAATTAATTATTTAGAAATATAATAAGTATTAAGTACTATTATTTACAAAACTGAAACCTACCCTATCATCAAAACCATCACAGAAATAGTGGTAATATTCGTAGCTTCCATTTACTAAATAACAATTATTGGAAAAATTTCTTTGCAATCCATCATGAACATCTGTCACAAGTTGAGGTGACATTTTGTTTTTTTAATTTTTAATCCAATGAATGCAAAATGATCTATCGTACAGCCAATTTAATAAATTTATGAATGTAAAATCGAAATTTATTTAAAAATGTAATGTACCTAATTAAAAATGTTATAATTTACACTATTTCAAATAACTACTAAAACTCTTCAAATAATTTTACTACGCTAGTAAGTCGTACCTACTGAGGTTTTGCAAATGTAAACCAGTACTTGCCAACTAGGTAGTCTAAGTGTAACAAAATATAGTAGGTTATATTAATTCATATCATTGATAAAAAAATATAGTTCTATGAATTATTATTGTACGATTACATTTATATTTTATATTTATTATTAGTTACTGAAATAATTATGTAATTGATGTTATAGATAATATTATTAATGTTCATTTATTGTGCATTACTTCCTTAGTCTAATCATTAATGGTTATGTACCTATAAAACATACCTATTCATTCTTGACTATAGGTCGTATTACGAGTACTGAGTTCGATTCTCGCGTCGCGTCGGTCCCACAATATATGTATATATATATATATATATATATATATATATATATATATATATATATATATATATATATATATATATTATGCTTAATGTACTCAAGCTGAGTATACACTGAGTAGCCCGAAGCCCGAAGTTGTGAAATTCGCAGTGCCTCGTAGAGTAAAGCTGTCCATATCTTGCACTTTATTATTTAACGGTTATATCAAACTGTCATCCCACCGGATTATGAAAATTAAAGTAATAGAGAAAAAGAAGTAAACTTATCTCTCTGCACACATACTAATACAAATTGCAATATAATATTTGCGCAGCTGCATGGTTAGCTACAATGGCTGAGGTGGCCATAACCGAAATCATTTTAATTTTTACATTATAATTATGTAACCTAATCAACTTTTATAAAGTTTAACTTCTATCTATAACTAAAATTTGAATATTTGTGGTTATTAAGATGTAATCGAATTTAACGCAATAATCCCTGACGAAAAATGACATACCTAGTAAATTACATTGAGGCCTGGAAAAAGTATTTTTAGGCCGAGTCAGAATCAAAGCGAAACAAGCAGTTCGCTTGTATGTATTATAAGGTCGAAGGCGGGTCAAAATTAGTAGGGTAGTTAAATTGTTTTTTTTTTTAAATAAAGTTGGCTAGTATACATGTATACAAATTAAGCTCTCTATTCTACAAGCTTATACTAAATTACACACACTGGCGAAGTCAGTGGCAGAATCGCGTTTCGAATTGAAAGGTATATACTCGTAAGTATGTTAAACTATGTACACTCAAGAGTCTATAGTCTAGGTCGTCTTTATATCATCACTAATGTAAGAACATAAGTAATATGCTATTAGTTTAACTTTTAAGGCAATGTTAGTAGTGAATGGTCTTCTATAATTATTGTCATCTCATCGATTGCAGTGAACTTGAATGGAGGTGAATGCTAATTTATTTCAATAAATGTCAATATTTACTAAACAAACAAAAAGAAAATCGGTTGATAGAAGATAAAGATACTTAACTGCTTTGCCTTTGCTTATTTATACATATAAAGATACTCGTATTAGATACAATAGCGAGTTACTATTTATTATTAAAAGAACTTAAATTTCGCAGGAGACAACTGAGGGAAAGAACTGTTTAATGTGTATCAAATCTGTAGGTGGGTACATGAAAAAACGGAAAATATACAATCGTTAGGTACGTGTTGTGTACAGAATATAGACCCCAAAACCATACGTGTTGAAATTTTTATCCGTTGTTATGTCTATTTATCTTTTTGCTTTTCACGCAAGAAGTACTGAACGGATTTTAATTAAATTTAGTTTAGAGGTAACTTACTCGGGTCAACGTTTAACATACATTTAACTACAGGAAAATATCTTATTCTCAGATATTCTCTATTATTCAAGAAGGGAATGCAAATATTAGTACGAGCGACTATTAAAAATATTTATTTTGATACCCCACCAAAAAATTCCAAAACATACAAATCCTCGATAACATAATAACTTCGATAAAAATACATCGGCGCCCAAAATCCGCCATTTTGGTTTTTAATAATATCCATTTAACCTATAACACTCGCGTTTTCAAGATAATTTTGATGACATATTAATAATTAAAATCGGTTAAGCCGTTTAGTAGTTACAAGGGAACAGAGGGTCGGACACACATAAATGCAGGTCAAAAACATAACCGTCCTTTGTGCTTCGCCGTAGTCAGGTAAAAAAGCGTAGGCTTTTTGAAATTGAATTTGAAATTGATGCTTTTCTCTACAGAATTTCCTAAGGTACACTCACAATAACCATTATTATCTATTTAAAACGTATCGAGCGATGTAAGGATAAGTCACTAGTTTAAAATATTTAAGATCCATCTTGTTGACCTTGAACTGCACGCCTTGACCAATCTTACATGCGTTGCTTTACAACTTATCAGTTACCTATCCGAATAAAGTAAGTACCTACATATATATTATAATGTTTATATAACACAATGTAATATTTATGATATTTCCTTAATTATATGTATTTACTTTTTCAGTTGTTTTCATTTGTTTCCTAAATAGGAAAATGAGTCTGTGTGTTCTTTAAAATTTAACAAGCAAAGTGATGACTCAATTTTAATGAAAATCAACACAAGCTTTACATGCTTCTTATGAACGCAACTTTTCATTCTAAAAAAGGATTAGATATAGTAGGTACTGAAACTATAGAAAATGATGATGATGGATCATCACAGGATCACGATGATAGATAATTTTTCTCATCACAGGATGATGATAGGTAATTTTTTTTTAAATAAACGTAGACCATTCTTGGCATATAGGTATATCATGTAAACGTCTACGTTACAATTTGTTGGCTTAATTTAACACAAGCGAAATTTGTAATATTTACTAGTATTATCTATACCTACATATAATAAAACTGTAAATAAGCCGAATCTGATCATTAAACATTTTTTGGAAAATCTTATTTAAATAGACATTATTATCGATACAGAGGCCGAATCTATAGTTTTTAGAATTTTTGTTTGTCGTGACCGCATCACGGAAAAACCACTGGAGGGATCTTGATGAAGTATGATAATAGCTGGTTATCCGGGTCAACATATAGGATACTTTTTACTTTGGGAAAATATCTCATCTCTAAGCTAAACATTGAAATGTAACTAGGGACGAACCCGAGCAGAGCGAGGGTGAGTCGCTAGTAAAATATATTCACAAACACTTCCCATTAATCTGGAGTAAAACCACAATAACAGAACCAAAATATACTGTTATCATCAGCTATTTTATATAAATAATAAATATATACCTACTGTTATTGTATATTATTCGCATAACGATTTAGCAGAATTTTGACAGGAAAAATCTGTTTGTCTGGCAATATTTAATTACTAACCAAATATTGACTCGGGGCGCAGGTTATCTCTCGCTTTATAAGACAGCCGCTAAAAAGCTCATAAGCTATTGCACGTCCGAATCTTGTCTTAATTGGTTGTTTGTGAAATAAAATATCATCATGAAAGGTTTTACGGTACGTATTAAATTAATTTTAATCACATATATTGCTTATTATATATATATATATATATATATATATATATATATATATATATATATATATATATAATTATTTTTTGACAATTTTCAAAATTTACTTTAATTTATTTAACACAATGCTGTTTCCGTAAAATATTTATTATATAGAAAAAAATTAAATGTGGCACTCGGATACTGCCGCGGTAAAGCTATTGCATAGCATTTTTTATCAACTTATGCAAGCTTATTTTAATATCAAAAATTTTGGTTATCTTTATAGCAGTATTATATATAAATTAACAAAACAAAAAATAATACTGCATTTGTGATAATAATAATAAAATGAATGTATATAGAGTACTAACTCATTTTCTTTCACTATTTTTTCGTGACTTTCTTCTTTAATAAATGCACTTTGTTTATTCATATTTAAAACACTGTACACAAATTATACGAGTTTAGATATTCACTGTTGTACATAGATGATAAATACCTATACACCTATATACTTTCTCACAAACAGCTGATTACGGTAGTTTTCCAATACAACCAATGCCACCTAAAGGCGGGTTGCTGAACTAAAGAGACAAGCGTGATATTTCAAAAAGTCATTAAAAGTTCTGGTATTTATCGATAGATGGAAGTATCACCGCTGTGCCGGTCGGAGTGCGGGGTGTTAGGTTTTTTTCGTTACGGAATTTCTGGATTCGGTCCCACAGAGTACATCGGTCCCCACGCTCAAGGCCCGCGATAGAAGCTATGCAATAGATTAAAAGTAATTAATGCAGTAATTAATAATTACTTTATGATATTAATTGTATACAATATCAAGGTGTAGAACACAGGTAGTGATGTTATTAAATGCAATAACAAACAATTAATTTATATCGATGGTATGCCACGAGTTTTCCGGATTTTGTCCTTCACATGTTTAAGAGCTCAATATTAAAATAATTTACGTCCTAATCAATAATCGATGTGGGAAAGATAAAATATATAACTTTACTTCGCAAGACTAGAATGATGTTTGTCTACTCTTTGATGTCAAGCATAAAACATAATAATATAATATTCGAGTATTTTGTTAAACTTAATAATAGGTTTATCAAACGACATTAACAAGTTTATTAAAATTTTCAAAAAAGATTAATCATCATTTATGTAAATTAAAATATATATCTTAGTTAGTTTGTATGTTTGACCGAGCATAACACTAACATGTATTATATAATATATGTACATAATATATAATTTAGAATACAATTGTTGTTATTATCATCTCCTAAAGGTGATGATAAGTAGTGAACTATATTTGCCAATTAAGAAATCATATTATCTGTCGAAAAATGTAAGCATATTTTTTTATTGAAACTTTACTATCTTAAATTTAGTTAATACTAGCATTGCCCGCGAGCCGCGGCTACGCCCGCGTTCTGATGACCAAGAACCAAATTCTTAGGTTTTACATATACCTAAGTATACTCTTACATTGCAGTTTATGTATTTTTCTCAAAAATGAGACATTTTCCCGTGGTAAAAAGGAGTCTATATGTTGACCCGGATAACCAGCTATCACCATATCAAATTTCATCAAAACCCCTCCAGAGGTTTTTCTGTGCTGCGATAACACAGACAGACAGACAAAAATCTAAAAACTATAGATTCGGCCTCTGTATCGATAATAATGTCTATTTCAATAAGATTTTCCAAAAAATATTCAAGGTGCAGATTCGGCATAGTAACTATAAAAATTTTATTATACCTATGTATAGATTTTTGGTGGTTTCTTTTTACATTCGTCATGGTGTCGTAAACTATTTTACTGATAATGCCTAAGCCTACGCCACGGTAATATTACATGCAGTACTCCATCTTCATACAAACGGTCGGAAATCGAGTTATACCTACGCGCGTCGCGTTCGGTATACACTCGGTAGACAACCGTGCGGTGCTGCCATATCGTATAATTTGATACGATAATTGTATAAGGTGGTTATGTTATGTAACTTATATAATTTGATACAAAAATAAACATTTTATTCCTCCCGTAACTTCGCTAATGTCAAACAAAAAAGTACCGTGACATCGTAAGTTTTAAAAATAAAAATTAATTAATTAAATTAAAAAAAATCATTAAATTAAAAATAAAAAATAATTAATTAAATTAAAAATAAAAAATAATTAATTAAATTAAAAATAAAAATTAAAGTATTTTAATTAAACTTTTTATCAATAAGTTTTTCGTACGTCTCAGTCGAGGCGCAGATATCTTTAAATCTCAAATTTATAAGGGTCACATACCGCCCTTATAAATTTGAGATTTTTTAATTAAATATCAAGTAAGTACATGAAATTAAAATACTGGCCGGCGGGCACTCGGGCAGCCCTGTCGCGTGGGTACGTGCCGCTCGGCTGTAGGTAATTATTTCAAGGACAGGCCCGAGTTGCAATACTGTATGCATTGCATTACCGTGCCTACGCTATGAAAAACAGTTTCAAGGGGTTTAGAGGAAAAAAATTTATATGAAATTTTTAATTTTTTACTTAATTTGGTTCTATTCTTTTACGTACAATCTTCGCCAGTCATCAATTAATTTTTATGAATCTTTTTTTAAATTAGTTGTACTTTGTTTAATTAGTAGGTACTCAGGAATTCCCATAAAAATTGCTGAAAAAATCTAGTCAAAAAAGATTGGTGTATAAGAATGGTATGATAAATTGGTGTACTTTTTTTAAAATCTATCCAGCTTCTGTAGAATATTAGCTTAAAAACGCGTTGGTTGTACTCGGGGGCTGAGCAAAGCGTGGGTGGGTGAGTTGCTAGTGTAGATGTAAAGTAAACGATTTCGATATAACCACCATATCCGGTCATGTGATCATGAAAGTGAACAGGTAATATCTTAATCTACACGCAGATATCATTGCAGTAGAAAAAAAAACAGTTGAAAGCTTGCATGGAGAAAATCGCGAGTTTTTAACTCTAATATAAAATGGACATAGATTATCCATATTAGATAAATAGATTGATATATCTATCTTTTAATTGTACATCATATTAGAACAAACAAACACAACGAAAATAATATATAAAGTAAAGATGAACTATACGGTGCAGGTTGGCGGTCTTCACATGTCTTTCGAAAACTTGTTAGAATATCTCATATATGCAGGTTTTCTCATGATGTTTTCGTCCAAAGTTTTCATTTATAGCAATAACAATTCAATAGACAAAAAATCAGTTTTAATATTAGTATAAAAATATAAAACTAAGCAACATAATCTTATCAGTAGATAACGTCATATAAAAATTATGTTCCATTGTGATTACTCATGAACTCAAATTTCGGTACAGACAGCATTGTGTGATTTCTATTTATTCTGAGTTTTTACAAAGTGTAATTTCGTGAAAATGAACAAGTGTCTATTATTCCAGATTGTTCTACTTGCCCTCGTAGCAATGGCCACCGCTCAAGGTATGTAAATAATTTAATATGCATGTGTGATATTTGCTGTGTGGGTGACGCAAATTATTATATATTACGTAGGTATGTACTCTCTATAGATATTAAAAAAATATGAACATATATATATATATATATATATATATATATATATATATATACATGTATGTTTCTTATTCTTATAACTGCAGATAACACGACTATTTATCTAAAAGAATAATATTTGACAACTAAAAAATAATTGTTCACGTTTACAAAATTAGGTTAAAATCGTAATACTAATTTTGAAACAAACTTTCGTTCAAGGGTTTCGTACGAAATATCTAGGTGGTTATAGTGTCCATTATGAATTATATATTATTGTTATTAAATAGGTTTGTTATTTATTTTCAGTACAAGTTGTTGACAACAATCCTTCCCACGGTACGTAAATAAACGAACATCGAACGACAATACATTTTTTTTAAATATTTACGTTTACAAAATTAAGTAAATTTTTTAATTAATATGTAATATTTAAATAACCTTCCGTTCAAAGGTTTCTTACGTAATATCTAAGTGGTTCCATTATCACTTATTATATCATTAAATACATCTGTTATTTATTTTCAGTTCAAGTTGTTGACAACAATCCCTCCCACGGTACGTAAATAAACTAACATCAAACGACATTCTAAATTACTTTGAAAATGTTTACGTTTAAAAAATTAGGTTAAAATCTTAATTAATATTATGTCATTTTGAAACAACCTCTTTTCATGGGTTTCTCGTGAAATATATAAGTGGTTCCATATTCAATTATTATTCTAATAGGTTTGTTATTTATTTTCAGTACAAGTTGTTGACAACAATCCCTCCCACGGTACGTAAATAAACAAACAACAAACGAAAAAACATTTTTTTTTATACTTTACGTTTACATAATTAGGTTAAAATATTTATTAATATGTAATTTTGAAATAACCTCCCGTTTAAGGGTGGGTTTCTTACGAAATATCTAAGTGGTTCCATTATCAATTATTATATCATTAAATAGGTCTGTTATTTATTTTCAGTACAAGTTGTTGACAACAATCCCTCCCACGGTACGTAAATTAACAAACATCAAACGACAATTGATTTTTTTTAATAATACAAACAATTTTTAACAACAAATTAATTTTTATATAAATGCAAATACTCAATCATACAATAAACACGAGTACGTTTTCAACGAAACCGTATAATATCTATACATATTAAACTTAGGGATATAAAAAATTTAAATATAAAAATATATTTAGGTATATGTATTTAGTTGCAGTACAAATTGTCGATCATAATTCAAGCGATCCCTTTATAATTAAAACTTCTATACTTTTTTATTATACAAGTTTTATATTCCTGACATGAAACGCCATTAAACTAAAAACTAAAGTAATAACATGATACAATTTTATTTATGGCATTCTTTACATTGAGTTTGATTTTTATTTTCGATTTAATAATTTATGTACACACATTAAAAATAACGATTTATTTATATTTGAATAATTCATTAATTTAAATTTATTTATGTTCAAGTAGTCGATGATAATCCTAGCTGAGGTACTTGTAAATAATTTTTTCAAATATAATAATAGTTTTAAAAACAAAAAATAAATAAATAAATACGCTAGTATAATTATTACTCCCAATTTAATTTATTTACATAAAGCGTTTATTTTTAAAGCTATTTATTTATTAAGTTTTTTTATTACAGTTCAAGTCGTGGATTATAATCCAAGCCATGGTACGCGTAAATTTTTAAAATAATAATTATAATATTATAATTAATAACTAATTTTGCAAATACAAATATTTTTTTATTTATGTATTTCATCTAACAAAATATATAATTTTAAATCTTTATTAGAGTATTTTCGGCATTTTTATTAATCGGGTTACTTTGAATTACAGTGCACGTAGTCCGTCGCAACCCACACGGTATGTTACACGTAAAACCGTTAAAGGGTTTTATCAAATAACTATGGGAGGTTTAAGAAGTTAATAACATTATTATTATACGGTTTTATTGTAAAAAATATTTTTGATATGGACTAATATTTTTCACAAATAACATATTCTTTACGTTTATATTTCGGCCATTTTATAACTAAAATCTATTAATACCAAATTTCCTTTAACAACTATAATATATTTATGTAACAAATGATTTTTTTAATCAAAATTGAAGGATTTATGACATTACTACATATTGTTAACTAAATTTGACTTCGGTGAAAGTACTTCGTATTTATTTTACCATGACTTTGTTGGTAAAAGTTCTTTCTTGAATCTTCTCTTTAAAACTCTAATAATGCTTGGCTTCCACTAACAATTTCTATATTAAGTAATTGTAGTTGAAGTTGTTGATACTGCTCATGATTTAAACTAAATATGTACTGGAATACTTACAGGTTAAAAAATATAACACTGTAAAATGTAAATATACTTAAGTATCTACCAGTAACACAATTATTGACAGTATTTTAAAAAAACAATCTAAAGCATTTGTCCTAAAGATTTGACCTTTGAAGAGACTATATATATATGGAAAGTTTTGATGAAACTTCACAATAATATATCTTATACATTACAGTAACACTTTGGTACTAATCTACAGAAATAGAGTAGTAAAGTAATTAATAATAGAACTACACAGACGGAACCGCGGGAAAATGCTAGTACCACATATTTTCTTTATATGCCTATGATACGTTTAAAATGATTTAGAATATTGAATAGGATATTTAATTAATTACTTGTATATCGTAAAATAAATAAATGCAATTTAATCGTTTAAAGTGCAGTCTGGGTTCAACTTTACCTATGTTACCCATACAAAAATGTGTTAGGAAGTCACATATCTAATCAGTATATTATCTAATTTCCATAAATTCTCCAATTGGCTATTGGCGATATCGGTGGTAGAATATACGTCTAAAGGAAATGAAATTATACTAAATAGTTATATTAATTAAACGTATATACCATGTCATTTATTATTAGTCGAAAATAGTAGAACGGAGTGATTCAATAATACCTATCAGCAAAGACGGCAACAAAGTATAAAGGTACTACCCACACTTAAATACCAAATGTTAATACGCGTATGTTTACTTTAATTTCAGACAATTTCAACCCTGACCAAGGATGTAAGTGTAACCTATATATATATATATATATATATATATATATATATATATATATATATGTTTTTTTTTATTTTCAATATTATGACTACAGAATAATATATTCTGCATTTAATTTTACTTAGGTACATAATTACATTACTATTTTTAAAAGCATCAAACATAAAATGTTAAATTATAGATTTAATTAAAAGGAATGTAATATAAAAAAAAACTCAACTGAAAATTTGATACAAAATAACTGTTTTTTTTTTTAAGTTTTAGATAATGTTATGTGATTTTATATTTATTTTATTTACAGTTATTGTTGGCGAGTACTTTTCAAAGCCCGGCCAACATAAGTCTTGAACTACCAAGTTTTTTTAAATCGTCTTCAATATCAAAAAAATATGTTATTAATCCTTCCACGACCGCGGACACGCCGGCGTGTCAGTTAACAATAGATTACTTAGAAATTTAATTAATTTCTTAGAAATTTACCTGGAGGTGTTATTAGAACAAGTGTTTTTTTTTAGTTAATACGATTATTTTCTTAAAATATTCAACTATCTATGGATAGTAAAAAGGAAACAGCTTTGCGGAGAGAATTTATTGAATCACAACATTCTACTCTTTTCGACTTTAAATAGTTTTAATTAAATTGGAGCAGTGCTCTTAATAATAAATTACATGGTATATATTATACGTTTAATTAATATAAGTACCTATTTCGTGTAATTTCATTTATAAGATACGTGTTCTACCACCGATATCGCTAATACAAAACTAGAGAATTTATGGAAATGACATACATAATATACTGATTAGGTAAGTTTAAATATGTAAATGCTTCTTAACATATTTTTTATATAGGTAACTCAACATATTTTTGTACATGTAATTGCAACTACTTCAAGCATTGGTATTAGTTTAATAAATCAAATCATAATATTATAACTTTATCATAATAGACTTTTACAAAATTGAGACCACACAGATTATATCATAGCACCTCGTAAGTAACGATATAGATACAATCTTGTGAAGTCTCTGTTAGAAATACCTATTACCATAACGCCAATCCTTGCGATTTATTCAAACGAACATTTTATTTGTTCGAAAAATTTGCAATACCATATTATGACACTATATATATATTGTACCAATTAATCACGACGTATTGTAGCTTCAAGAAGTATCTAACTGTATCTAACTAATAAATAAATAAATGTAGCACCTATACAGTAACAAAATCTCATAGCTTTACTAATAAAACATTTCATGCTATAAGTATTTATAATTGACTAATTTAATTGTTTTAATTTTACAGTGGGACCAAACGGCAACCACGGTTATGAACCTATCAGTAAGTATTATAAATTTTATTATTTTATAACCTTAGCAACCAATAACTAATTTCTCCTTTTACGAATTTCTCTTAAAAATATTTATTTTATAGTTTTAATAGTTAGTTTATAGTTGTTTAATGAATGAGTGTGAAGATTGGTTATTTATTCAGGATGTGACATAGGTTGCTTTTTATTGAAATACTCACATATTACCTCTGATCGGAGCCGCGGACAAAAGTTTTGCGGCTAATTAAACGTATTAAATCTTTCCTACCTTTCTTTATTTGATACTTAAGAAATTCATCATAATAAGTTAAAACTCTTCTACTTGATCTCAACAAACAACAAAATATTTTATAAATAATAATGATATAAATAATAAATATAGCATTTAAAATAATACAACAAAGATACTGCTTTAATCACATTGTAAATGAAATAAAATTAAAATACAATTATGTTAATATTATTGAACTGAAACTTCTTTAGTCGCGCCATGAGAGGGAATAAAAGGATTTGTGTTACGATTTTTGTAACGGAAACGGTTGTTACGGAAGTGAATATATTACTCAATTAAAACCTCCAGGTAAATTTTTAATAAATTAATTAAATTTCTAAGAAATCTATTGTTAAGTGTAACGCCGGCGTGTCTACGCTCGTTGAGGGATTAAAAATTTTTAAACTTCAAAGAATAAATAAAAAAAAACTTCTTTCATTTATTTTTAAATGAGCGATGGAATCATTTCAAATGAATATTGTTTAAAAAAAAACATATTGAATTTCATAAAAAGTACAGATAACCTACAGAAGTTTCACTTTTTGCGCGTGTACACACTGATACACGCACTCTTTAATCGTTTTGTTATAGAAAATCATAAAAATGTTAATTTAAATGAGTGTTTGCTACATTAGGTCTTGATTTTATTTACTAATTCTTATATAAAAAAAAAAATACCAGACACCGAGCCGCTCATTATCGACCAGCCCAACAACAACGGCGGCTACGAACCCATCAGTTAGTAAAAACAATTTTCTATATTATATTTAAAAAAAAAAACAATTATTTCACTTTATTCAACTTGTAAAAATTTAAACAAATATTTTTTACACTTCTTCATACACGTCAAACGGTTTGAGTGAAATTCGGAATGGCTTATATCCAATTTAATCCTATATTTACATATATGGACTACTTTTATTGCCAATTGCAAAAATAGAATTTTAATTAATATTCAATATTCACTAGCTTTTTATATTATTGATAATAAAGAAAATAAAGACCTAATGTCTTGATTTTATTTACTAATTCCTATATAAAAAAAATTTAACCAGACACCGAGCCGCTCATTATCGACCAGCCCAACAACAACGGCGGCTACGAACCCATCAGTTAGTAAAAAATATTTTCTAAATTATATTTAAAAAAAATATTCAATTATTTTTTTATTTCACTTTATTCAACTTGTAAAAATTCAAACAAATATTTTTTACATTTCTTTTTACAGCTCAAACGATTTGAGTGAAATTCGGAATGGTTTATATCCAATTTTAATCCTATATATGGACTACATTTTATTGCCACTAGCAAAAATAGAATTTTGATTAATATTTAATATTCACTAGCTTTTTATATTATTGATATTGAAGAAAATAAACGGAAAATGTTAATGCATAATTTAGGTATGATTATAAAGATTATAAGCTAAATTCTATAAGTCAAATACATCAAAATTGAATTATCTTTTCTCAAATTTAAATATTTAATTAATTAAAATAGTATTTTTGTTCTTTTTTAATATTTTTTTTTATTAGTAACTTGGCGACCGAGCTTCGCTGGGCGTTTTTGGAAAGTGATAAAAAAAGTTCTTTTTTTTTCATAAAAGACCTTCATAATAGATAAAATTTAAATCTATTTTACAAAGCTAAAACTCTTCTACTTCATTTAATAAATAAAAAAAGTATATTAGATATATATAATTTATAATTATATAAATAATTATTTTAACCAGATACCGAGCCCCTCATCATCGACCATCCCAACCAGAACAACGGCGGTTATGAACCCATCGGTAAGTAAAAAAGATTTCCTACATTATAATTTAAAAAAAAACAATCTAATTTTTTTTATTCTTAAAGGTTAGCTTAAAGGATCTAAGTGAAATTTTGAATGGCTTATTATTTAAATCCTACTCGTATAAATTTACTTACATAGACAACTAAAATTTTAATTAATATTTAATATTCACTAGCTATATTTGATATTAAAGAAAATAAACAGAAAATGTTGATATATGACTATGATTATAAAGATTATAAGCTAAATTCTAAAAACCAAATAATTTACATGAAAATTGATTTAACTTTTTTCACATTTTAAATATTAATTTTTTTACAAAATCAGCTTTTACAAAAAAGCAAAATTTGATACATATCACTAGAGATACACAATATAAATGTTATAAGATATTACCTATGTGGTTTTATTAAATAACAAATTAAATATATTTAAACAGACACCGAGCCACACATCATCGACCATCCCACCCAGGACTACCGCAACAAGCACTGTGAGTAAACTATTCCTAATTATTATATCCTTGAAAAATAAAAAAAATGCTTTCCCTTTACATACATATAAATGTAAAAGATTTACATACTCGTAATCTGCATAAAAAATGTTATGTTTGTTTTTCTTAAAATGAAATTATCATTTATTCATCAATACCTTTAAATACTTCAAATATTCTGGTAAATACTGGCACCTTTTGGAGTACTCCTACACACTAGTAAGACGCATTCGAGTGAATGAATGAATGAATGAATGAATTACTCTTTATTGTACACCCAAAAAGAGAAAACAAAATAATATACAAAATATAGAAGAAGGTACAAGAGACGGCCTTATCGCTAAATTCGAGAATAGCCAAACACTAAACAGATTTTAATTCTTCTTATATCCTCATTTATTAAATCCCCTAAAATCTATATTTTAATTAAATAAATCAACATCAATCAAATCTATATAAAGGTAGAAACATTGTAAGAGTGCAATGCTACTCCGCTAAAAATCACCAGCTTGTAAAAGATTGTCTGCTCAAAGAAAATGTGGCCTTTCATACATTCACAAGAAAAGATGAGAAATCCCCGAAAACGGTGATTAAAGGCTTACCAAAATCAGTGCATGACACCCTTCCCACTGAACTAGCCTCAATAGGTTTTCCGGAATGTATCGTATCCGAAATCAAAACCCTGCATCCAACAGAATATCCACCTGTTCTTGTCCAGTTACCAAGAGGGACGGATATGACTAAATTTAAACAAATAAAATATGTGATGAATTGTGTCGTCGAAATTCAACGTTATAAACCTAACAAAAAATTAGGCACCCAATGTTTTCGGTGTCAAGGCTTTGGCCATGCTTCCAGAAACTGCAATAGGCCGGTTCGATGCGTAAAATGTACACTTGCTCATCCTACATGGGAATGTCCTAAGAAAGAAAACGACGGACCAGCCCGATGTTGCAACTGCCAAGATAACCACCCCGCCAATTATGCTCAGTGCCAAGCACGACTACAATATATTGAGCGAATCCAATCGAAACGTGAAACTTTACGTAAGGCTGTAATTCCCGAAATTACTAATCCAAAAATTAATCTGCCTGGCATGTCCTGGGCTAAAGTCGCAAGTTCAGGTAAGAAAGATCAGACCAGACCAAGACCTGTAACTCCAGTAGATGTAGCTAAAAAGACACTCCTGAGGAATACTGCCTTTTCTCAGCACGATACGAATACTTCGGATCCTGTAGCAAAGACTTCCCAGGACTTTGAAACCTCAGAAATGCTAGAAATTCTCACTGTTATAAAATCCATCAAAAAAGAATTTGCCAAGTGTAAAACTTTCATGGATAAAGTTATCTTAATTTTAACTCATCTTGGGCATTATGTTTAGTTGTTATGAACTTCGCATTATGTATTGGAACGCTGATGGCGTTCACAGTAAGCAACAAGGATTAGCTGAACTTGCGGTGAGTAAATTTAACGTCGACATAATTGCTCTTTGTGAAACTAGGCTAACTGACCGCCTCACTCTCAATATACCTGGTTACTGCTGTTATCGTATAGACAAACGTGTTAATAGAATCGGTCAAGGTGTAGCTTTACTTGTTCGTTCGGATCTAGATCATAGCTTAGTGTCTGCTCCTAAAACTCAGAATATTGAAGTAATTGGCATTTCATTAAAACTTACTAATTACAATGTTATAATCTATTCAGTTTACCAATCTCCAAATCTCCCTCTCCTGACTAACGATATAGACTTAATTTTATCATCTGGTTCCCGAGTCCTAATCATGGGTGATATCAATTCAAAGCACCCGCTGTGGTCACCTGGGCCAAGTAATACCCATGGTAATAAGCTTTACGAACACATGCTTAATAGTGATTACGTTATCCATGCTCCACATGAGTCAACACTTGTGCATTACCGTGTAGAACACAAACCATCCCTGCCTGACATTCTTCTAAATAAAAATTTCAATTTTCTCTATAATATTGTTACTATTCCAGCATTATCTTCTAATCATTTTCCAGTGTTTGTTACATTTAAAACTAAATTTAATCGTCATCCTATTAAAAAATTTAACTATAAAAAGGCTGACTGGTCAAAATATCGTAATTTTCTTAACAATAATATAACACTATCTCCTAAAATATATAACAATACAAATGAGATTGATTCAGTAATTGTTGATTTTCAAAAGTTGTTACTAAAGGGCAGAGACTCTTGTGTCCCCATTACTTCCCTAAAACCGTGGAATATTTCCTCCTTCCCACGACGTATTAAACGACTCATTCAGCTTAGAAATCGTTTTCGCAGGTATGCAACCTTAGAATCAAACACTTTAATACGTAAAATACTAATAATTAATATTAATCAATTAAATTTTCAAATTAATCAAGCCATAAGCGCCTATAATGATAAAACATGGAATATTAAATTAAAAAGGGTTGATAATCCCGGGTCTGACCTCTGGCGACTGGTGAAAAGTATCCGCTCCACCACAACCTCTCCTATCTCGAAATTAAAATGTGAAGATGGCTCGTTTACTTCAACCCAACAAGAACAATGTAACGTCCTTGCAAATACTTTCGAAACTAACATGCTTTTAACTCATAACTGGCAAAGTGATATCATACCAACTATTGACCAATCCATAGCTGAACTTAACGAAAGTACGTCTAATGAAACCATTAAGCTTATTCGCCCAGTTGAAATTAAGAAAATTATATATAGTTTAAAGCCCCGTAAAGCCCCTGGACCCGATCACATCAGTAACATACTCATTAAAAATCTCCCACAAAAGTCTATTGTTCTCTTAACTAAAATATTTAATTCTTGCCTTATGCTTAATTATTTTCCAACTCCATGGAAAGTTGCGAAAGTTATTGCCATACATAAGCCGGGTAAGGATGCAACAGATCCCACCTGCTATCGCCCAATTAGTCTTTTACCCTGCCTTAGCAAGCTTTTTGAAAAGATAATCTTTAAACGATTACTTCGTGTATCCGAACATCATCTCATCGATGTGCAATTTGGGTTTCGTCGAGGCCATTCCACAGTCCAACAACTTGCCAGAGTTGCTGAAACTATTTCCCATAATTTTAAATTTAAAACAATCAACGGGTATGTTTCTATTAGACATAGAAAAAGCTTTTGATACTGTCTGGCACAATGCCTTACTTCATAAACTCATAAGACTTGGGCTGCCTTTTCCGCTTATAAAAATCATCCAGTCATACTTAAATGATCGCAGTTTTCGAGTCCACATCAATAGTTACTCATCTATCTCAAAATCAATACCCGCAGGGGTGCCACAGGGCTCAATATTAGGACCATATTTGTTTCTTCTCTACCTAAACGACATCCCGGTTCAACCACGGACAAGTTTAGCCTGTTTTGCAGATGACACAGCCTCTTTTACTACCTCCTCAGATATAAACTTGATAATAGATCGACTTCAACTCTCCATTGATCAACTTCTATTCTATTTCTATAAATGGAAGCTTAAAATAAATGCATCTAAGACAGAAGCTATTCTATTTACTAGAAAGCGAACTTTACCATCTCGAACGCTGAAAATTGGAGGGTATACTATACCTTGGAGTAAAACAGTTAAATATCTTGGCTTAAAGCTCGACAGTAAACTCAACTGGACCGAAAACACTTGTACTCTACGACTTAAAGGTATTAAAGCATTAAATGCCCTAAATCCAATCTTAAATAGGCGCTCATGTCTAAGTAGTAGCACAAAGCTACGTATTTATTGCACCCTGGTACGTCCATGCATTACCTACGCATGCCCCGTATGGAGCGGCACCTGCAAAACGAACATTAAAAAGCTACAGACTTTACAAAATAAAGCTATCAAATATGCCTTTAATACTCCCTTTCGCACTAATCTCCACAAGTTACATTATCAAATAGGTCTTCCAACAATTGATGTTTATATTTATAAATTATCCGAAAAGTTCTATATCCATCAAAATACTAACCACAAAAACAAACTAATAAATATTATATGTAAAAGTCGTAAAAATAATCTTCCTTATGTCGATAAATATAATCGATACAAATTGCCGCATCACTTATTCCTAGACTATGAACCATTTGTATAGGAACATTCGTCAACACAGGCGCGTGTGCTCTTGCCGCCGCCGCGAGTGCTATTCCCGATCGCATTACCGTGTGATATAAGATCGGAAATAGCGCGCGCGCCGCGGTGCGGGCTCACTCGCCTGCGTGTGCGATAGATAACATGTTACGTTCTTGTTGCTTACTGCTGACTGCTTTTAGTTGGTATTTTATTTACATCTACCGACCACGGTTTATTTTTCTTTGTATAAAATTATGATATAAATGTAATCGCTTTTCTAAAGCCTACATACTTTAAATGATATACTGTTCAATTATTAATAAAAATTATTTATATGCACATGTTACCTTTTGCTATAAGTTTTATATAAGTTTGTGTACTTGTTAAACAAATATAATAGTATTTAATATGTACTTCTAGGATTAAATTTACACTAGAAATGTACTTAATTTAATAATTTATGTGGATTAAATATAGAAATTAAAAAAAAAAAAAAATCAAATCTATACATATAATAAAATTCTAACTAAGTAAAATCTGTACATTAAATATTTTTTGGGAAATCTAATTGCAATAGACATTATTATCGATACAGAGTGCGAATCTATAGTTTTTAGAATTTTTGTCTGTCTGTCTTTCTGTCTGTCTGTTACCGCATCACGAGAAAACAACTGGACAGATTTTCATGAAATTTGGTATGATGATAGCTGGTTATCCGGGTCAACATATAGGCGACTTTTTACCGCGGGAAAATATCTCATTTCTGAGAAAAAATACAAAAACACAAAAACTGCATTGTAAGAGTATACTTAATATGTAAAACCTAAGAATTAGGTTTTTGGTCATCTGTACGCGCGCGGAGCCGCGGGCAATGCTAGTTAATTATAATTATAGTTGCGATTCTACCCTAATTCTATTTTCTCCAAAATAAAGATTAAGTTCTGCAATATAAAAGACAAAACACCTCCTTTTATCACCTCTACTGGTGACATGAGAGTTGGCTCGTATTTCGCCCAACATAATGGCATTGCCATTAAGCGGGTGAATGCAACTAGCATTCTTGCCACAATTCCACGCAGACATCACTTGTACAATAATAATTAAGTGCACATTTGTTTTGTATATTTAGTTTATTTGTAATTAAATTGTATTCTCTTTTCTTGTAAATAAATATTTTTTCATTTATTCTCCAGTGGGATTTAAAAAACGGCAAGCATAATATATCTATACATATAATAAAATTGTAACTGTTGTTTGGAAAATTTTATTGAAATAGACATTATTTTCGATGCAGAGGCCGAATCTATAGTTATTAAATTTTTTGTCTGTCTGTGTGTCTATTATGGCATCACAGAAAAACCACTGGAGGGATTTTGATGAAATTTGATATGGTGATAGTTGGTTATCCGGGTCAATATATAGGATACTTTTTACCGCGTGAAAATGCCTCATTTCTGAGAAAAAATACAAAAACTGCAATGTAAGAGTATACTAATATGTAAAACCTAAGAATTTGGTTTTTGATCATCTGAACGCGGGCGGAGCCGCGGGCAATTCTAGTATCCTATATAAGTCAAATATATATCCTATATTTTATACCTAGTTCAATGCCTATGTCTATGTAATAACATATATTTTTATTTTCAGTCCCTCCCGGTGCTCGTGACTCTAAATTCCAGTACTAAATTAGTCCTTTAATAATATCTTATATATAAAACTGCGAAATACTATGTATTTAGATTTTAAATAAACTCTTGTATATTAAATTTGTAACATTTATCGGTTTATTTTTTATTTTTCTTACCTCTAACCGCTACGGCTGTACAGATAATATTATTAGTCAGTTCTATTCAATGATATACTTTCATTCACAATAAAATACGTACTTGTGCGTATATATTATGCTAAATAGTTGAAAAAACAGAATATTCCATATAAAAACAGCTATGACTCATTATTTGTTATTATACAACCCACGGTCTTGTGAATACAAAATATAATATCTAGATAATTCATTCACACATAGGATCATCGTGCTTTCTGTTTGTTCGTTTACTTTTTTATATAATGTAGCTATTTGTTAATTCATCTATAATATTATTTAGAGTCAGAGTTTATTTGTTAGATCGCGCTAATCTCAGAAACTACTGATCCAATTTGAAAAATTGTAGCGTTAGAAAGCCCATTTATTGAGAAAAGCTATAGGTTTTTCATCATTCTTTCATACTACCCAAGAGAGCGGAGTAGTAATCATATCATAATAAATGTCAACAAATCGGGCAGACTTCCATACATTATTGTAAAATTATATATCTATACTAATATTATAAAGAGCTTAAGTTTGTGAATTTGTAATTTTATGAGTTTTTGACGTTGTTCTGGATCTACTGAACCGATTTAGATGACATTTGGTAAGAAGATAGTTTGAGACCCTGGGAAGAACATAGGATACTTTTTATCTCTGAAATCATCTCATAAGAAGGTGAAAATGAGGATGAAAGTTTGTATTGGGAAGCAAGTTAAGGACGAACCCGAGCGAAGCGAGAGTGAGTCGCTACTCGCTAGTATTATATACAAAGGGACGAACCTAAGCGAGGCGAGGGTGAATCGCTAGTAAATAATATTTTATTATTGATGACTACAGTAATAATTTGTTAAAAAAGCCTTTTAACAAAAAATTAAAAACTGACTTCAAAAAAAAGCACTAAAAAGTAAAAAATAACTGATTGGTAGTTTTCATTTACTATACATACCTAATCAAATATTTTCGAAGTCGGTGTGCTTTGGCTAAGTAATTAAAGCCTACCTATTAAATACATACCTAATCAAATATTTTCGAAATCGGTGCTAGCCCATACAAAGCAAAGCACACCGACTTCATGATTCATCAGATCAGGTCAACAATACCGAACCACTGTACTCGAAATTAAGTATCAACCGAAATAGAAACACTTGCAAAGATTCAAGTCAATATGACAATTAGAAGTAGGTTAAATTCATCATTAGCTATTTATCCACCCTTAGGGGTGGTTTTTTTTGAAATTTAAATGGGACCAATCTGGAAGTATAAACTCTCAAACAAAACAAAAATAGTCCAAATCGGTTAATAAATGACGGAGTTCTGAGGTAACAAACATAAAAAAAATACAGCCGAATTGAGAACCTCCTCCTTTTTGAGGAAGTCGGTTGAAACATAAGTACGTTTTTGTTTTTGATATTTTCAAAATATCTTTTTTTGTTCAGAAAATCTGTTCATAAATATATGTGTGAAGATGGAATTTTTTCCACAAATTTTGTCCATTGCCTTTTTTTCTATATTTAACCTAAAAACACAAAATGGTTTAAACAAAACTGAATGAATAACTAGTTTAGGCAAAACCGTATGTATTGAATAAACATGCAAAGTAAATATTGTAAAGTATAAAACGTCTGCTTTTAATAATTCAACAATTATAAAGTATTAATTACTATACAAGTCTAATTACAAATTGAGAAATTTAATAAATAATAACTATATTCTTTGACTATAAAAAAGTTTATACGCTACAACAATGGAAATTATACGCACGGTAAGGTCAAATATTATATTTAAATATTGTACAATTATTTCGAATTAATTTTTAGATATTAAAATAAATATTTTTAATGTAGCAAACAAAAAAACGTGTGTGTGTTCTTATGTACGCACGTAAGAAGTTATACTTCTTTGGCGTAACAGATCAAAAGTAGCTAAGATTTCATCCCGTATGTCACAACTCTATGTTTGTAGAAAGAATGATACATTAATAAAATAATTAGGCATATTACAATCATATATTTATAGAATATCATTTAAGGAAAGAATATATTATATATCATTTGTCAGACAATAACAACGGTTACCACGACAACAAACAGTTATCAGCTAACTTCATCATGTCGCTCTTTGGAGGTCGGTGTGCGCGCGCATCGTAAAAATGTTACTCTCATTTTTTTTTCAAACCTTAAAAATAAGTATAATTCCAAAAAAATATATATACAAAACTATATACATTATATTATACACAAAATGATCAACTTTAATTATGATTCTTTTTCATGGGTGCTCAATTCATCTTATCTATACCTACAGATAAATAAAATTGAAGTGTCTGTTTGTAATGTCACAATAACAGCTTTTTACTAAATGGATATGGAATTATATATGGTATTTATAAGTATTTATAATGTTTAAAATTTTTGTCTATCTGTTTGTCCCGGCTAATCTCCAAAACGGCTGGGCCGATTTTGACGGGTTTTCACAGGCAGGTAGTTGATGTTAAAAGGAGTAACTTAGGCTACTTTTTTTATTAAAAGAATTAGAGTTTCAGTAAAAGAATTAGAGTTCCGGTTAAAAAAAATTAGTAGATGAATATTATTTAGATAACCCACACTTGGATCACTAAATTACAACAAATATTTTTTAACAGGATACTTTTTACGTCCTAGTCCTGGTGGTGATGGCTGCTCCTTACATTATAACTGATATTTCTAAAATAAATGATTATTATTACGTTATTTGTTTTATTTTAAGCACTTTTTTAAATCAATCTGTAAACATTGTGTATACCTAACTTATTTGAGATATATTTTACAATTACCTGATATTTTTATTTTATTAGGCATGTGTAAAACATTAAAAATAGCGTAGAAATGAAAAATATCTTATAAAATTAATTTCATTTTCAAACATTATTTTATTTTAATTTTTCATATATTTATATTATTAACGTTCCTTTTCACTAATTTTCCATAGCTTAAAATATTATGATGTTTTATTTAAAATTTTCTTACGTTGAGAAAAAATACAAAGAGTAATATAAATTTAAAAAAACTAAAACATTAATCATTACTTGATTTTTATTACGTATATGTCGCAGCCAACTAGCGTAATCAGCCGTTTGATATCGGCCTAGCCTTTTAGTCAAACGGCGCCGTTTAATTAAAAGGTCGAAATGATATCTAGCCAATGCGTCTAATACTACTTTTAAAGAACGGGCTGGCAGATATTTCGGCCGTTCATAGAATAGGGTAATCGTGTGATGAAAATATATAGCTTAGGTTAGAACAGTGACCACAACGCACTAGCTGAGTCGCGCGACCGTTGAGTGCTTTACTTTAAAATAAATGCTTCCTAATCAAATGAATATAGTTTGAATGACTTGGCTAGGCAAATTATTAAACAATATTGAGCCAAGTCATTTGCTTAGCTGTTAAATTAAATGATGGGATGAAATTTAGCCGCTAACAAAACGGCGGCGTTCAATGAAAAGGCTAGGCCGCTAATCAAACACCTGATAAGCTAATCGGCTGCGACATATAGATCGATAGTCAATACAAATCATTACCTGCCAAGAAAAACATTTTAACTTAGTCAAGTAATTAAGTTCTATAAATTAATTTATATTCAGAGATCTCTAAGCTATTTTCAAAAATAATTCCTATCAAGCTGAATTCTTCTCAGTAGCATCATTTTATCGAGACGCCCAAATTTATTTGTTTAAAAATATCGATTGTAGTAGTAAATAGCTAATAAGAAGGTAAAAGTGTAAAACATATACTTTTGTCTAAATTTTCGTACTAAGTTAGTAAATTAGTATATTTTGCTTATAGATCTAGGTGGACTATTACTATAAATATATATTAACACAATTCAAAATTAGTACAATACTAAGTTTCGCCTTGTTGTTATTGTCCCTTGCAGGTGTCGACATGTTCCGTTGAATTTAAGATAATATTGCAATACTTGCTGGCTGCTGCACAAAATTTACTTCTCACAAAGAACCTGTGACCACCTGCAGTAAACGTAGGTAAGCTAACAAGTTAACTCAGCATTGAGACATAAATAATCCGCCTTAATTGACGATTTCGTAAGAGCTCTGGATATAATTTCACATAATTTATTATAATAATACTTATTCTTCTTAATGCCTATTACAGTCAATCAGTCTATTGTTGTTTTTACAAAGTATTAAAAAACGTGTGACCTAACCATAGATTAAAGAAAGGTACTATAAAAGATGATAGTATTTCTGACTTTATCAAAGAGGATCTATAGAAAACAAAGGACATGCATCGGTTGGCGGTAAGTAATTATTACATATATTTTTTTCTATCTGTGATCTGTCCTTTTTAATTAATAGGTTTTCGAAATTTAGAACTAATATTTTACAGATTTATGCTGTAGTTAAAAAACCTTTTGAAATAGGCATTATTACCCATACAAAGGCCCAATCCATAGTTTTTAGAATTTTTGTCTGTGCGTCTGTTTGTCTGAGAACGCATCACGAGAAAACCACTGGACGGATTTTGATGATATTTGGTATGATAGCTGGTTATCCGGGTCAACATTTAGGATACTTTTTACTGCAGCAAAATATCTCATCTCTGAGAAATCTATACTAAACGGTAAAACGTAACTAGGGACGAGTCGCTAGTGTATTCATAAAATCTAAATACAAATTGCTACTATATTGTTTTCATTTATTTATGATAATCATAGGACTTATTTTAAAAATGTGTTTTAAATAAAACTATCTTTTCGCATTTTTCCCGGATTTATTTTATATTTTGGTTCCCGACGTTTCAAATGCTTTACAACAATCATGGTCACGGGAGAGACTAAGGTTTTAAACGTCTCTAAAGTCATTATATAGGTACTTGTTACAGGCAGTGCCTATCCACATATTTACAAAATGATTTCAAAGTACAAAAATGGCAGCAAAGTTTTTTAATTTGAATTATAAACATTTTTTTAAAGTTTTCCGAATTAAAAAAAACCGACAAGATAGTTTTATTTAAAATGTCTAATATTCGCGTAAATCTAAGAAAGTATTATAAATGTGTTATTATTAAACCTTATTAGTTATTACATTTATGAATAGTGTAAGTGATTCTCTTAAGCTAATCAATATTGCTTCCGAAATGTGTTAAATATACCTATGTATGTAATTACATCACACAAACGTTTCATATCAAAATATCACTTTCCTACTTCAGTTTCTTATTATTCTTTTAATTTTCAAACACAGATTAAGGCTTAACTCCAATGTCTTCGTAAAATGATATAAAATTTTCTAATAGGTAATTACATTAAATTATATATTAACTAATGTATGCATTTAAATAGCCTTTCACAGCTTTCCCATACTATCAACATTGATTTAATATTTAAGTAGTCTAATCCAGTGTTAGTAGTCAAGTCAGCAATGTTTAATCATAAAAATAATGCGAGAACAAAAAAATCAATCAACAAATTCACTATTTCGCCTAATATTTCTGTTTAAATCGTATTTTAAATAAAAATATACATATTTTCCTCGTCCTATAGAAAATCCGTACAAAGTGATTGTACACAGTATTAGGTAAATATAATTTAACTAAACAAATGCATGGCTCGTGCGTTCCAACGAGTTGCGTAAAAACCTAAACTAAAACCACAGATCATATAATACTATACTAGCTAAAACGTAAAACTAACCAATTAATTTAAAATACGTATACATTATACCGCCCCTATAATTATTATTTAACCACGCAAACATTGCAAAAGAAAGATTGGTTATAAGTTTAATTTCAAACATTACTACTCGCCTCAGTGACGGAAACTTCAGTGTTTGAGAAAACCTAGAAAAAACTGATGATGATGTTCTCCTGACCGATTGCGGCCACGGCGGCCAATCTCATTGAGACTAGTCACTGCGCAGGAGATATTATAGTGCAAAAGTGTACGCGCGGACACAACGTGCACTCTCTATTCCTGTCACTCTCATACTCCGGTGGGACGACTGTTCGACACGACCAGTGAGAGTTAAGGCTCAGGGCCGACGGCTTTACGTGTTCTCCGAGGCACGGGGGTGAAACACCACCAACTTCCCAACTCCGGGCTGTTACTGAGACTTACTATACAGAAAGACTCAATAACTAAACTTGGCCCGACCCGGGACTCGAACCCAGGACCTCCGAGTGTGCAGCCGTACATGCTAGCCACTACACCACCGAGGCAGTTAGCGTCGTGGATTAGAACCTAATCGTTAAAAACAAGGAAGTTTTTCTCTTCCGTGGTTAAAAAGGGCCCAATTATTTTTAATACAGACACTTCGTCGTATTTAAAAACTGGTATTTATAAGCGACATGTAAACTAACAATATGGTGCTAGTTTCAGAACATCTAGATGCTTTTACTTGAATAGGTTTAATAAAAAACAATAAATATCGAAATTTCATTGGCCGAGAGAAAGATTTTAAGATACAGCTTGATCTCACTTGTACTTAGCTGAGTCTAGTATCTATGTAACTCATTCATAATAGGGTGTACTTTTCATGATTTTGATCCCCTGTTCGATAGAAAGACTTCTAGTTTTTAAGCAAAAAGAAATAGCCTTTGAAATCATCTTAAACACACAATTTTAGTCCTTTATATGGTAAATATCAGACGGAAAGTCGAAACTAATGATTGATATACCTACTTTATTCTATAAAATAATATATACTTTATTCTATAAAAAAATTAACTATTATTTTATGCCATTTTATTTCAGATATTCTTTTGTGTACTAGTGCTGAGTACTATGGTACTTTGCGAAGACCACCCGAACCAGAAATCGGATCACCATCCCTCGGAGCATCCCTCCAACGAACATCACCAAAATGAACATCACCAAAATGAACACCACCAAAATGAACAACACCACGAGCATCAAAATGATCATCAAAAACAAGCAGGATCAAACCCTAGAATGCCTGAAATGCCCAAAATGCCAGACGGCAAACCACCTGGCTTGAACAATTAAAATATGATTTAAAGATCGATTTTTGATGATGAAATATTAAGTAGTCGGTCTGATTACAAAATGTAAGCAAATAATTGCAAATTCTTATTATAACTCGGAAAACCTGATATGCCTGTATGTATGTACGTACCTCTACAAATGTGTTATTAATGTATGAAAAGCAATAAAGCAGTAGCTACTGAATGTTTTTTTTATGTACAGTATTCTTTACTTCGACAGGCTAATATTACATCCTTATCAATGGGCGCCGGGAGAAGGGTGCAAGGAGTGCACTTGCACCCCTCTGCCATGAAGGAAAATATATAGAAAAAGTTAAAGAAATAAAATCATATGAGTATAATCCCCGCTTAAATTTAGGTATTTTCCAAGAAAGACGATAAATAAGATATTAATAAAAAAAATAAACTTAATTATTTAAAGATTAGTTAGTAGTTTAATGTGAAAAAGCAGATGCACCTCCATGAAAATAATTCTACCGCCGCCCGAAAGAAAGACAAACAAAGAAACAAAGAAACAAACAAACAAACAAACAAACAAACAAACAAACAAACAAACAAACAAACAAACAAACAGAAACAAACACACTTTCACATTTATAATATTAGTATGTTTTTATTTAGTAGTATGGATATATTACTAAACGAAAAGGTATAATCAAAGTGGCAATAAAAAGCGAATTAAATTCTACAGTAACATGTACGTGTTACGTAAGAAATGTTTAGTCTACTCCTCATAATAAAGCGGTAATAGCGGTTTGTCTTGTTAAGTACATATAATCACATTATTATAGACACAGCTCATTGGAAGCATGAAGCAATAATTGTAGCAATTATTATTATTTATTCGATCTTGGGAAACTACTTCGTTCTCTTCCACATACAATATCGTTTTATAGCTTTCAATGGAAGCTTATTGTATATACTAGCATTGCCCGAGGCTCCACCCGCGTTCAGATGACCAAAAACCAAATTCTTAGGTTTTACATATTAGTATACTCTTACAATGCAGTTTTTGTATTTTTTCTCAGAAGTGAGATATTTTCCCGCGGTAAAAAGTATCCTATATGTTGACCCGGATAACCAGCTATCACCATACCAAATTTCATCAAAATCCCTCCAGTGGTTTTCCTGAGATGCGGTAACAGACAGACAGACAAAAATTCTAAAAACGATAGACTCGGCCTCTGTATCGATACTAATGTTTATTTCAATAAGATTTTCCAAAAAATATTTAATGTACAGGTTCGGCTTAGTTACAATTTTATTATTTTATTTATATTTTATTTATATTATTTTATATTTATTGTATAGATTATTTTAAATAAGTATATTTAAATTAAAATAAAATAAAAAACTGAAAAATGTAAGTTTACCGATGGTTTGTAGGTACTGTAAATTTCACTACATTCATATTTATTATTTATTTATTGGTGCTATAGTTTATATGGCGTTATAACTACGCGCGGATGCATCCCTAGGTGCTTAATAGTAACCTATGTACATATGTGCTGCTCCAAGTCATGTCTATCTGTGTACTAAATTTGATCAAAATCTGCCCGGCCCTTTAAGCTTGAAGGTAGAATCGTAATAAACTACTACATTTATAATAGTAATCGATAAAAAGCAGGAACGCTATTCTGTAGGTACGCAACTTACTTCGTCGTACAACAGATAAGTAATGTAAGGAACTTAAATGAATTATAATTAAGTAAGATTATATTAAAATATTATTCTTGAAGATTATATTTAAATATATTTTTTATAATAAAACTAGCATTAAAATGCTATGGTTAAGTTAGATTACATACACCACACAAAAAATAACAACTTTAACTCTTGCTATATTATTTATTTATTATTACTTAATTGTAACGCCACTAGTATCCGAACTCTTGGTATCCACCTCTGTGACCTATTAAAAATAAATATATGTTAAAAATTGTTAAAAAAATAATTAATGATATCATTCATAATATTTTCAATAGCGATTTAGCAAGATATTATATTATGAAAATTAATAGCTTTTACCATGTTGTCCTCCGGGTCCCCCTTGTTGTCCATTAAACCCTGCTTGTCCTCCTTGTAGCCCCCCGAAACCACCTTGTCCTCCTTGTGATCCCCCTAAACCACCTTGTCCTCCATGTGGTCCTCCAAAACCACCTTGCCCTCCTTGTGGTCCAAAACTACCCTGTCCTCCATGTGGTCCTCCAAAACCACCTTGCCCTCCTTGTGGTCCAAAACTACCTTGTCCTCCTTGTGGTCCAAAACCACCTTGAATATAAAAAGCAAAATTAGATATATAGATAATATTATTACTTATTATTAGCAAAAGTTATTCTCATTTGCGTTTATTTTTAATAACAATAATAATATTTATAGCTCTACATTCATCCACTTAACAAAAAGAAAATATACATTAACATAATAATAAAAAAATGTTTTTGATGGAATGTTATAAAAGCTAATTCAGTTTGTTTTTTTTATCAGTCTCTTTAAACGTGCATTACTCGAAAACGAGCTTTTTTTGTTATACAAGCGTAGGTTAGTTTCATTTTATTTTAATCTATGAATTTAAAGCTATTAGATATGAGATATTTGCTTTAGCTGGTTGTCGCTGAAATTAAAATACGTACAAAAAGATGTGTAGGTATATAACAATGAACATCTACAAATGAATAACGAATATTTTTTTAAAAACACGAGAAATAGTTCTATTTTATTTTTTATCTTTTTATATTTATTTATGTTTGTGTATTTGTGCATTAATAAAAAATATTATGATCACGTATTTATGTGAAAATCAGTAAATTGCGACACTGTATCGTGACATGCATTATATTTTTCAACACATAACATACCTATGTACCTACATATGTAAATCTATTTATACATTTCACCGATTATCATCTCAATCAAATGAAAAGTTAAAAACTGCATACATTACAATCAGACAAACAAACATACGTTTTAAAAAAAAGTTATATATAAGCTTTACCTTGGCCTTGGCCCTGTCCGTTACTATTGCCAGGACCATAAGCGAAACCGTCCCCGCCAGCGTAGCCTTGGGGGTGTCCTAGAAATAAGTATATATATTAATTAAATTATGGTATTTTTAAAATATTTTTAATATCACCAATAAAGTCTCAATGTCTTATTATATTAATATTAATTATTAAAACATATACAATGGAAATAAATATATTTTTAGAAGAAGGATAAAAAACCTTTTAAAGTTTAAAGTTTTAAGCAGTTTAAAGTTTTCAAAAGACATGTGCAGTCCGCCAACACTTACTTGGTCAGCGTGGTGGACTATGGCCTGATCCCCCTCGTATTGAAGGCAGGTCCGTGCCCAGCAGTAGGACGTTGAAAAGGTTTGAATACAATATATACAGTAATGTAAAATTCAACTCACCGTAAGCTACCATAACCAGTGCAAGGACTACGAGTAGAGTCTGTAAAATGACAAATGTATATGAAATGCAAGATATATCTGTAATATATTAACAAATTAAATATTTAAAATAATTTATTATTGATTTTCAATATAATAACACTTTTATAGATGAAATAAATTAAATTTCACATAAATTAATTTTAATATTAATTGATAGCAAAAACTAATAAATAGCCTTAAGTTCATAAATAAAAATAAATGTATGTTTATTAATATAATAACTCATTATTATGTCAATTTTAATATTTACTAAAGAAAAATATTAAATTATATCTTTTGTTGTTATCTTATTTTTGCCAGTAAAAAAAGAATGAATAATCTACACAAAAAATATATTTTTAATATTTATTTACAGTAAATACAGAAAAATATACATGAAAAGTATGAATCGTGTCAAAAATAAATCATTAATTATTGCTAATTATATAAATATTTTATTTTTTAACTTTATTTGTATACTCACTTTGAAAGCCATTCTGTATGTACAAATAATAAAGTACTATGACTATGAGGACTCAACAATCTTTATATAATAAATTATCTATCTAGAAATTGACATTTGACCGCATTATGTTTTGTAAATATAGCTTTATCTTACCAACATAATCAACATACACTACGAGTTAATAAACAAATTTAATCTATCACAGGAATTCATTTTAAGCAATTTCTCTAAATTATTATAATATGATAACTCTACAAAATAACAACTGATAAGTTTTATGGAGACGTGTTTTATTTTGTAAAATTAAGAAATGAGACCTAAATATTTATATTAATTTGGTATTTTTAAATGAAACTAGAACGAATAACTAAAACAGCAGCAGCAATAGCAATTTTTGTACTTGCAATCTCCACTCAAATATAAATCTGAAGAATTTATCTCCTCGCTTGTTTGATCGTATGATATCTCTAAGTCGATTTGATTAGCTTCATAATTCATATTACCTTCCTAGAATACCACCTCTTTCTATTAGTGAAAAGCGCCATGAAAATCCGTACGGTAATTTCTGAAGTTTGAGTTCAGGATACTTAACAAACATGATTTTGAAATTATATTTCTTTTGGGACGTTTGGAAAAAGATATTAGAGTAAGCCACCAAGAACACCGACAGCCGAAAAGCGACATGATGTAATTAGCTGATAACTGTTTGTTGCCATGGTAACCGTTGCTATTGTCTGACAAATGATTCTTTCCTTAAATGATATTCTATAAATATATGATTTTATATGCTTAGTATGTCATATTTAATTATTCTACTAATTTATCATTGCTTTTACAGAGAGTTGTGACATACGGGTTGAAATATTTAGCTATTTTTGTTCTATTAAACCAAAGAAGTATAACTTCTTGCGTGCGTACATAAGTACACACACAGGTTTTTTTTTATTTTATTTTACTTTATAATATAATTTCTATAATGTGTAATAAGACTGTACTTTATAATATGTTGTGATTTATTAAGCCAAAATCGCTAAAAAAACTTTCTATCTTATTATGTAATTATCTTATTAACTATTTATTTAACATACACACTTGATTTTAATGTAGAGATACAATAAACAAGTATTATTAAAGTGATAATCATTAACAAGATACATTGTTCTCTTCTATTTTATAAGTAATATTTTTAATCTGTAAGGGAGATTTTTGTACTTACAAATAAAAAAATCATTACCCTCGGTATATAAAATGTAGCAACAAAAAATAATTGACTTCGAAGCTCCTAATTACAGTCGATTAAAAACTGATGATATAATATTTCAATTTTCTAAAGACAAAATAAATAATTATTGTATACCACTAGAACATAATTATTATGATTACTTCATGTTCTATTTTATCTATTCATCGTCGTAGTAGTGGTCGTTAACATTGTTTAAATTATTATTTATCTGTTGTAATGTTTTATCAGAACATTCATCATATATCTGATATATTTAATATTAAACTCTTGGTAGGACTCAATCTATAAATGCGGGTAAATAACATTGAAGTGTCTGTTTGTAATGTCAAAATAACAGCGTTTTACTAAATGCATAAAAACACTTTTTTTTTAAATGTCTGTCTGTTTGTTCCGGATAATTTCTGAAACGGCTAGACTGATTTTGACAATACTTTCACTGGAAGATAGCTGATTTTATAGGGAATAACATAGGCTACTTTTATTTTAGAAAAAGAATTAGGGTTCCGCTAATAAAAAATTAAAACGTACCCTAGAGACGACTCACCCTCGCTTCGCTCGGGTTCGTCCCTAGTTGTGTATATTATTTAGAAATTATTTAATCCCTGTATATTAATTTCCTTTAGAAAAAACTAGAATTGTCATACGTTTGTATTAACTTCCTCAAAACTACATATATCGCTGCATGATAACATATAGCAAGAGGTTACACGAAATAAAAAAATATAAGTATATATCGATATCAGTTTATTGATAAAAGTATATTTACAAAATGACTCCTTAATTACAAAACACTGCAAACCATTTCTACGAAAGATGGTAAGTATACGTAGAAGTCGAATTTCTTTTATATTTCGATCGTCTTCCTAGAAAGGAGCGATGTATTTATTAATTTAATGGCCTTTTCCATAACCTGCGTAACCTCCGTAACCTCCATAACCAGTAATGCCGTATCCGCTGGCAACAGCGACCGGAGCAGCTGCTACAATCGCTCCACCAGAACCAAGTCCATTACCACCCAGGAATAAACCTCCATCTTGAGTATTTCTTGCAACCGCATCGGCAACAGCTTGAGCTTGCGCTGCGCTTGTGGAAACGGCGGCAGCTTGAGCTCTGGCAGCGTTAGAAATACGGGCTGCTTCTACAGCGCGCGCGTTCGCTATAGCGACAGCTTGTACTCTTGCAGCATTGGCAATACGTTCTGCTTCAACGGCGCGGGCGACTTCGACTGCGGCAGCAGCAGCTGCACGTCTAGCGGCTTCAGCAGCACGGGCGTTCTCATAAGCCGCAGCACGAGCTCTTTGAATATTAGCTATACGAGCAGCATCTAAAGCCTGCGCATTTTGAAGAGCGTTGGCCTGTCCGGCTCTAGCGGCAACTTCGGCAACGCGCGCACCCTGTATAGCGGCGGCAGCGGCGTTGGCGATCTGAGTTACTTGTACAGCTTGGGCGTTTTGAATGGCACTAAGTTGTGCAGCACCAACGGCGGCAGCATTGTTAAGTGAGCCACTGCTGCCTCCCAGGCCTGTGCCGCCAACGAGTCCTAATCCGTTACCGACTAGAACACCTGATCCTCCTGAGATAGCAGACGCTGCAGAACCAAGCTCATACCCAGAAGATACGGCAGGGGCGGCAATTATAGCCCCAGAATAACCGCTTTGGGAGGCACTTGAGTCTCTAACGGCACTTCCTCTTCTGCTTACTAAAACAGCAAATTATATTTTTCTTAAATAAAGTTTCATAGATTTATATTTTAAAAGTTATTTATTTAACAACTTACCATCTCCAAGAACATCACACGCCAAAGCGATGACAAAGAGAATCTAAAAAAAAATCAAGAAGTTTATAATAGAACTGTTGTTTATAATATAAATAATTATAATAAATATAAAATTATTGAATATAAAATTTTGAACACTATTATCTAAATTCTTACCGTAAATGGAGACATTTTGTTTGTTCCGTTAGTAGACGTTGCTTAAAAGGAGTAATATGAGTTAATAATGCTTTCTACAAATTGCTTGCACTTTTATACTGCACCCAATTGTTACAAATGAATCTATTTACAATTCTAAAAAGATGTACGATACTAGTCTATTTGAATATTATTACGTGTAGTCGCTATGAAAAAAATGATTGGCGAACCTGAACACACGAGAAATATAACGCTCGACCAATCTTTAAAGAAAAAGTTGATTGAAAATCGTCTATATTCGTTCACTTTAAATGCTATATTGGTATGCTGAAAATATGTTAAATAATTCTGAAAAACACATAATTTATTTGAATTTTATTCACATTTTGGCACAATTTAACACCTCACAATTCACAGCCGGATTATGAATTTTATAATGAAAATATCAGTTTTTGGGATACGGTTGGCATATTTATACAGATATTAAGTAATTTAGAGATGATTCTATACATTTAGAAGCAGGATATTGATTATCATAAAGTTCCTTCGAAAGAATTAGATCAGAGATCTTTTCAAAATATAAAAAATAAAAATATAATCATGACGTTCTCCTGACCGATTCCAGCCACGGCGGCCAATCTCATTGAGACTAGCCAACTGCGCAGGAAATATCATAGTGCACTAGTATACGTGCAGGCACAAGTGCACTCTCTATTCCTGTCACTCTCATACTCCGATGGGACGACACAAAATACGGCCAGTGAGAGTTAAGGCGCAGGACCGACGGCTTTACGTGCTCTCCGAGGCACGGGGGTGATACACCGCCAACTTCCCAACTCCGGGCTATTACTGAGGCTTACTATACAGAAAGAATCAATAACTAAACTTCACCCGGACCCGGACTCGAACCCAGGACCTTCGGGTGTGCAGCCGTACATGCTAGACACTACACCACCGAGGCAGTTAAAATATAATATCCTAATATTCTATCACATTCTCACAAATAAAGGAACGTAAAAATTCGTGTGACCAATCCCAATGTTAAGTAAGAATTTTAAAAGAGGCAACTATTTTATGTATTATTCTTTTTCGGCTGTCTGCCGCAATGATGACAATTACGGTAACGCAGTCAAAGACTTAATCCGAGAATGCTTGTTTAAATTATTAATAATAGAAATATTTTATCGTTTTATTTATTAAACGCTAACTAATTTTCCGGTTGATGTAGTAGCATATTCGTGTGCCAATAATAAGGTCCTAGGTTAGAGTTCCGGGTCGAGAAATTCACGAAAATGACGTAAAAATCTCCTGCAACTATTAATCCATTTAACTGTATTGTTTGTTAAGCAAATCGTCTAATAAAGATTTAAATTGTTAATAGAATCGATCAATGAAGTACATTTGACATTTATAATTTATTTGTGTGTACTTAATTAATGCACAGGTGACATAAGCGTATACTACTAGTGCAGATACCCTGCAGAGAAATTAGATCGGCCTTATTTGGTATATTATCGGTTAGTAAACTCTAGATAGCGCTGTAGGTAAAGAGCCAAAAAGCGCTATCGAATAAATGTAGTTAAATATAATATTTTAAATAAAACTATCTTTTCGGATTATTTCGCGGATTTATTTAGATTTATGGTTTCCGATGTTTTGAATGCTTTACAGCAATCATGGACACGGGAGAGGCTAAGGTTTTAGACGTCTCAAAGGTGTTATATACTTGTTACAGACAAGTATATACAGGACTGTGTGTTGTAAATCTCTTAAACACAAAATGAATATACAACTAGAACAAAATGATTACTATTAATCGGAGTCGGTAACATTGTGTTTAATTGTTTTTTGTTGTAATATTTTTTTGAAACGTTATTCATGTACCTGTTATAAATATTTAATGTTTACTTGGTAATAGAACATAATTAGTACAAGGTATTTTAGATATTAGTTATTTTGCTTTTTTTTACTTTTCTTTAGAAAGAATAACAATTGTCATTTGTACTTACACAATGCCATTGAAATTATATGATATAGATACCAAATGAAAGGGTTTGCTGAGAAGATAATAACTAAAAAATAAAAAATAAACTTTAAATTACATCAAAACCATTTACTACATTACACAATGTATATGGTATAAAAGCTTTTTTTTGTGGAATTTGAATTGGAACAGATCTAAAATATTATACTAATGAAATCAGCGGATAGGAACATAAAATATTCGTATACACTTAATGATACACGTATCCTGCTATTTACATATCCTATCATTAATTTTCAATGAACTATAAAATATGTAGATAATTCGCATAAGCATTTATTTCAATCATAATATTAATTTTTTATGGCCTTAATAATTTTACAGATAGCATAAATTATTATAACTCCGCAACCAATTGTACCTACGTTTCCGCAAACGATATTATTAATAGAAAACGATGAGTATGTGGTGTCATAATAGGGTGATGTCATTAACCTACTTTAAGTTAGTATTTAAGCTATTATATCTTATTATATTAGAGACTTATTAAAGTGTATTCGAACCTAGTGGTTGTCTTATTACAATCCCGCTCCGAACCCTATATGGCGACCCTGCCAGCGCGTGCGCGAGTCCGGTGTCCGGCCGTATATGGCAATGATAAAATAAACACTAAGTGAAATGTAAAGTTAAAGACAATAATTATAATTATGGCGTTTTTATATTGCAAAATCCCATCCAGAGTGACTGTGAATTTGTGGCAAAGACTTTATCAAAAATTAAAAATATGGGCAAGCAGCAATCCAAGGAGCAAGAAATTATAATCGCTCAAAACGGAGCTGGGAACTCTGCCTCCACGGAGCAATTATTGTGGCATGCCACCTCAACATCTTATGCTCTAATCGCAATGTGTGCTCTTCTTTTTTTGTTGGGGCCGCGATAATCCTGTTCCGATATTATCGGAAATGCCATGGCGAATGGATCCAGCGTGGGATAGAGGCTTATGACTTGAGAAGGTCTATGAGCACGCTGCAGCGACGAGAACGTGGGTCTGCTGCTACAGGGAATTCGCCAGTGTGAGTGTGTGTGCGTGATGGTTCTTAAAAATGCGTAAAGAATATTATGTGGTTATTGAGTGTTAGTGTAATCCTAGTTTAACATATTAATTATGTATTAATCTGTAATCATTCTAATATAAGTGTAAACCTATGTAACCGTATTAAAAAAAATGTATTATGTATCCTTAGGTTATGGCAGATGAAATTAATGAAATATTAATAGAATTAAAGCATATTAAAGATTACCTAACGAAGTTAAGGCCTAGTAGAAGGACATCTAGTGTAAAAGACAAAAAGAAGGCCGAAGCAAAATTTTTATATGATAAATTTTGGTTATTAAGTAAGTCGATTATAAAGCAAGTAGAAACTAAGGAAATAAAAAGTTCGGAGAGTCAAAAGCTTTGTGAAATATTCGATACAATTAATTCGATTTATTCGAAAATATTTCAACTTTGTTCTGAAAACATAGGTAGGTATCATAGTACAACAATCATGGAGAAGTTTGAGTTAAAAACTGCAGTTTCTCTGTTGCCAGTTATGACGGGTGATGAGAATGTCACTAAACAGTTAATTTCTAATATAGAAATGTATGAGTCAATGATTGATGATGATAGCAAAAAGCTACTGATACAGTTTGTTTTAAAATCTAGATTGTCAGAAAGCGCCAAGCTGCGCATGTGCTCTAATTATTTATCTGTTTCAGACTTAATCAAGGATATGCGAGATATATTGTTGCCTAAAAAATCTGACACAGCGATACAGTCTCAGCTACAATATATTCGACAGGATAACACAAGTATTCAAGAGTTCGGTAAGCAAATTGAAAAATTATTTGTTGATTTGACAGTTTCTCAGGCCAACGGTAACTCTAGCTCTTATGAAATTTTAAAGCCAATAAACGAGCGTATTGCGATAAAGAGATTTGCCGATGGCCTGCGGAATAGTCGTCTTAGTACGATCATAGCGGCTAGAAACTATAGCTCGCTAAAAGACGCTATTCAAGGTGCGTTGGATGAGACCTTATCGAGCGGAAGGGAAGAGCGAATGATGAATTGTCATCATAACAGAGGTAGGTCTAGTTTTCATAACACTTTTTATAACCGTAACCAACCAGCAGGGTTTCATAAAAATGGTTCTAGAGGGAATTCTAGAGGGATGCCCACTCCTCGGATTTTAAATAATCGTGGTCACTGTTATAGTTCTAGTAATCGTGGTAATGGTCGTAATTTCGCTTCTCGCGGAAAAAATAATTATCACGGTTCTAGCGGTTTTCGTGGCCAAGCATGGGTTCGTAGTCAGGCGCGACGGAATCAGATAAACTTTGCTGAAATGAATATTAGAGATAATTCAAAACAACAGTCTGAGGTCCAAGACAATAGTAACAAGGACAAAAATTGTTTTTTTCGTGCATGATCATTTTTATTGCGAAAATATTAATGCGGTTCATATAAATGTTTTTAATGAGTCTTGTAGTTGGCTAATTGATACCGGTGCCTCACTGTCGGTAATAAGACACGAGTTATTACATAAATGGGATGTTCCTTTCCATATAGAGCGCATTAAAATAAACGGTATTGGAGGACATATATTTTGCGATGGTTTTGTTTGTTTAGAATTAAACTATAATAACTTCTATTTTAAACACAAATTTTATGTTTTGAAAAACTTTTCATGTAGAACAGATGGTATATTAGGACAAGATTTTTTAAGTAAATTTAATTCTATATTAGATTTTGAACGAAATATTTTAACGCTTCAACAAGGGTTATCTATTGAAATACCTTTACAAATGGGTAAACTTGGCTATAATAATTATATAAAAATTCCGCCAAGGTGTGAATTTACTTATTTTATGCGAACCGACTTAAAAAATGAGTATGTAGTTATGCCTAAGCAATTGAGTGATGGAGTATTTTTAGCATCCGTTTTGGTTAGCCCTATTTGTGGTAAAATTCCACTGAAAATTTTAAATACTAGAGAAGAAGAAGTAAAACTAA